TCCTCTACGTGTTGGCCCCAAAATTATGTTTTTACATAAAACCATAATTAAAAAAGCCGTATTCAATTTTGCAATAGAAAATGTTACCGTGGCAATCTATGTGATAGTTTCCTCAGTTTTCCCTCAGCCTGTTGTTTCCTTTCTCTCAATGTGTTGGCCTCTAATATAAATTATTGCTTTCTTCTATGCGTTGGCCCCTAATATTACTGAAATCATACTTTTCAATAAAATTACTGCTAAAAACCCGTATTTAATTTGCAAAAGGAAAAAGGTTGAAAAAAGAAAAGGTTGTCATGGTAAGCTCTATGATAATTTTCTTTTAATAAGGGTTTATTAAAAGTATTCAAAAATAGCACCCCAGTGGTGAAATACATGTGAATTTACAAGTATACTTTAAATATTTAAAAAATACGACAATCTTACATTTGACTTTAAAATTAAAAGTCTAAGGGGACTGGGAATTACAAGAGTCAGTAGTTATATACCAATGAAAAACGCTTAGGTTTGCTTGACTACAAGAACTGGGCGTTAGACGCCATTGTTGGAAAAAAAGATTTTTTAAATCTTTCGGTCCGGCATTTAAAGAGTGATACATGGTTTTTGTTGCGCAACTCATAAACGTGGCAAACGGCGCGCTTTGGTGGAATAAGGTGGTACAGCCGTGACCCAGGCACACAGATACCGTCCCAAACTTTCTTGCAGAGTTCGTCTCTTCTCACATTTAAGCGAGTGGAGTTTGCAGCCACAATGGCGTCTTTGTAGCTCAGCGCCGGAAATAATATACGCAGAGCTCTTTTCTGAACTCTTTCGATCATGTCCTTGAGGTAAATTGGTAGGCTAGTAGACCAAGTGACGCAGGCGTATTCGAGGACCGATCGTACCAAGGCATAAAATATGTTAATAAGGTCTTCGGGTGGAATTCCGGACCGCTTGAGCACTCTTAAGATGTAAAGACGTTTTGAGGCTTTGGAGACAATCTCACGCACGTGCTCATTCCACCCAAGAGTGTCGCTGATAGTGACTCCAAGGACCTTGTGTGAGGAGACCCGTTCTAAGGGACGTCCATTGACGCACAAAGGGCCAAGATCTGGCCGTGTTCTAAGCGAACAAATCACAAGTTCCTTGCACTTCTTTGGGTTGAGGTTCATATTATTGCGCGACGACCACTGTGCAATGGCGTCAAGATCTTTCTGAAGGGACGATGTACCGCCTGATGGGATGACCTCGGATATTGTTAGGTCATCTACATATTTCCAGTGGCTCGATAGTAATGGAGTTTCAATCGCGAGATCGTTAATCATCAGGAGGAACAGGATGGGGCCAAGCTTAGTGCCCTGCGGGACTCCAGCGTGCACGGGCAACCAAGGGGATACAATGTTCTTAATCTTAACAGCTTGGCGACGGCCATAAAGAAAACTGCAAATCCAACGGATAATAAAACCACGGACCCCAAGGTGGATGAGTTTATTGACTAAGATAGTGTGGTCAATATGGTCAAAAGCCTTACTAAAATCCAGGAAGCAGGCCCTTAAGAACATACCTGGTTTGTCAATAGAGGACAACCAGTTGTGCATCATATCCAACAGGCAATAGATGGTTGAAGTTCCTTTCTTTGTTCTAGATTTATATTCTTCAAGAAAAATACAAAATAGCCTCTTCTTGACCCGGGTTGAAGTTCCTTTCTTTGTTCTAGATTTATATTCTTCAAGAAAAATACAAAATAGCCTCTTCTTGACCCGGGTTTTTTTGCTCTTCTGAGACTATTTTTTGCTTAAAGTTTGATTTCTGAGTCTCCTCGTGAAATTTTTTCTTTAATTAATAGTTGCAGTGATTTCTTTGGTTTTGGTTTTTTAACAGTAAATCAAAAAGCACCTTTATTTTGAGTTTTACGTCACGTCCTTTGGCTGTGTATTTATATATCTTCATCTGGTACTGCAAGAACACAATTCGTGTCTCCTCGTGAAATTTTTTCTTTAATTAATAGTGCAGTGATTTCTTTGGTTTTGGTTTTTTAACAGTAAATCAAAAAGCACCTTTATTTTGAGTTTTACGTTACGTCCTTTGGCTGTGTATTTATATATCTTCATCTGGTACTGCAAGAACACAATTCGTGTGAATCCTTTCTAAATAGTCTGTTAAGCCGTTCTGATCATAACTCTCCTCAGCATCGTTAAATAAAGTAAATGAAAAAGATTAATTTAAATTACATTTGTTACAGGCGTATCTAGTTTTTAGGATATAAACTAAAACCTAGAACATAGAAAACTATCATATAGATTGTCATGGCAACCTTTTCTATTGCAAAATTAACTACGGCTTTTTTTATTAGCAATAAAGAAAATCAATTAGTTTATAGAACATGACTGATGGGTTCCAACTGAGTTTAATCAGTGCCTGGGCTCAAGTCACCAAATACGAGCGACGGTTTTATTGAAATTCTTTGTCGTCTTTGGTGGCTTTGAGCCTAAGCGCTTATTGAACTCAGTTGGAGCTTATCAGTCATTTTATGTAAACTGATTGATTCACGGTCTTACGTGGCTCTGGTTAATGTAGTCGCAAATTAGTAAAGTATTATTGAGGTAAACACACATTGTCCGAACCACTTTACTGCGTTATATTCAAAATATAGTGTGAAAACAAGAGATTACAAACTAGTTTCTGATCTCTTGCTTACAACAAATCCTTCGGAGTTTGCTTGAAACAGGTTTTGAAAGGAAACGAATTCTTAACACATGTTTATGTCAGACTGAATGCATGCCCAGAATAGTTCCTTGCGGAATATAGTTAAAATAAAGGGGAATTCATAGACTTTCAAGTATTACCTTCCCGTAGTCGCTGTAATCGATCTCAATGCAACACCAAGCCAAGATAACTGTGAAACGTATCCTAGGGAGTTCATTAAAACAACGTGTGATACAAAAGAATTTTGTGCGGGCGAAATTCCGAAAGAGCTAAGTCGCTACATTTCGTTTCTTAGAAAAGAAGAAAATTCAGTGCTCCGTGAGGACAGGCTCCTGGCTCTGCCAAATAGGTTTTTTGCGAGTGCGGATCATAGCTCTAGGCCCTAGGCCTTAGGCCCTTTTAGATCTCTGATCACCTGAACTAGCAAAGCCATGTCAGTCGTCAGCGCTATTGTCATTCTGTCATTTTCCTAGCCGGCGATTGGCTTGATCTTCGGTTTCAAAGAACTGAGTCGGATTCCTTATGTATACGAATCAAACGTAACGATCACACACTTACAGATTCCCAGCTTCTCCAGATTCAGTATACTCTACTTTTTCGGAGAAGTGCTATACTCTTTGAAGCTGTTGCTCGTGTCCACAGGAGTCTTGTGGGTAGGTAATTGCTTGGATTTGCGGATAATTAGTTTCGCAGTTTGCAATGACTTCTTAACGTAAGTAGGTGCTCGCTGGCAAAATAACCAGGGTTTGGCGAGCGCCTCCAGAGAAAAGTTAGCTTATTTCAGTCGAATTGTGTTGATTTATGGTCACTGAAGTAGATTTCAAATATGTCAAGAGAATAAGCTTAGATTTATCCTTGCGAAAGAGCCGAAGTGTGGTAACTTTTCAATTTCAGTGCTTACGGAAAGAAACCCCGTGATCAATAAAGATCTAGGCTTGAAGTTTCTGGCTCCGGATACATATGAAACTTTTAATGAGATTCACATTATTTGAAAGAACTTCTAATTACTGGAAGCTCGTGTTGTGAAATCGGTATATTCTGGAAATCGAGTCACTTTTTCTTTCAGCTCAATATAATTTTATAGATAGATTTTGAACCACCTGGCGATAAGCAAAAACAACGGAAAAGTTTAGCTTTAGTTCCACCGGCTTTTTATTTTTGCTGTTCTTATCCTTGACAAGTAAACGTAAAAACATCTCTAAAGCACAAAAAGGCAATTATTTTCACTCCAAAGCTGTAGTTGAAAGCCTTTTGCAGAAGTTGAAATTATTTCTGTGCTGTTCGCGCACACGTGGCGCCAAGAAACTTCTTTCCATTCTATCTCTGGCTCAACGGAATTCTTCAAAGAAAATTGTTCATGTTTTCTTTAAAACCCTAAAATTTCACCGGCGCAGCTATCCTTATTCAACAAAGTTTACGGTAATTCTTTTAAACTAGTCCGTTCAGTCTGTGCTTGTCGCGTATGATATTTACATTCAGCTGAAGTCACCTGTCAAACTCGTGTCATTATATTTTCAATGCTTCGACGGGAGCTGATTTTCGTGATTGTCTTATTTTGCCTATATTTATGGTATGGGGTTTAAACTTCAAGTGTTATATCACTGATAAAAGCCAGAAAAAGCGCACTGAGCGCTCTCTATTATCAACTTAGAATTCGTACAAAGGTGAGTCCAACTTTTCCAAGCATCGGAATTTGGGAAGAAAGATCAAACTATTCATAAAAATTGATAAAGATACTATAAATAAAGGCAGGTATCTGAACAATGCACTTCCTTATTACATCCATATCTATATATATACTGCGAGCCAGTAACATTTTTTCAGCGGTCATTTCTCTGAGGTTTTTTTCGCGGTGATGGCTTTTATGGATACGGTTAAAATTTTGGCTATTTTATGAATAACAATTAATTTCTTTCCGTTACGGTTGCCTCAAAAAAATTAAGCCGAACTTTTTAACGACGAAAGAATAACGGTAAACCCCTTTGAGACCCCCAAGGGACCCCCATTAGCTCTCTAGTTTGAAATGCTGTGGTGTGGGTGTGTTTGTAAGTGTGTAGAATATGGGCGGATAAAGGAAAAATTGTTCAAAACATTCTTTGGGAAGGCTAGTTGAAGTGTGTGTCCCAGTTAAAACTATGACTCGGTACAATCTCCTAAACAAACAAATTGCAGTCCACTTGCGAAGATAATTTCTCTGCTTAATTTTTATCTCATCGGAGTCCTCATCATTGTGTATATTTTAAAGTAAAGTTAAATTCTTTAACTAATTACACCTAATTTACATGGTAATTGCAGATCACCTGTCCTAAGCTATAATCATGACCACTCCAGGAGAAGCAAGAGGAGGATACGGGAAGTATTTCACTGGTGGACTACACACTTTACATGCATCATCAACGAGGGAAGAAATTGAAGAATGTTATGATAAGTGGGCTGACGCTTATGACAAGGTAGGTATCTAGATGCGGTCGCAAGAGATTGCTGTGAGCGGTAGATTCTTTTACTTCATCAGCGTGGAAGCGGGCTCTCAGTAGCAAACAGCGGCACGAGCAGCGAAGCCCACAACAGGTCTATAAGAAGTCTCATTATCTTTTCAGAACCCTCACGCATTCACATTGCTCGTAGGGTCGCAGGCTCCAAACGCATGGCTTTTGCCGCTAGTGTCGTGGCGCCAGTGAAAGCCTAAGCTGCTTCGGCACAAGCGTTTTTTCAACCGTGGGAAATAATGAAGCCTTGAGCACATAAGCCAGCGAGATAGTAAGGTCTGCTAGGGGTCTATAGCACCGGTATTATTAGTACCAGACCGCCCTGGAAACCTCTCCTGTACTCGTCTCAACTCTTCCTCAACTCTTCCCGCGAGGGAAAAACGCGCAACCTGCTGCGCTGATAATGAGGACCTCCTCTTTCGGGCTCAGTTCGTAGGAAAGAAATTCTACTCTCTCCGCACCTCTACCGCGGAACATAAATTGCCTCTGGCACTGAAGAGAGGACGCCGTGGGGGAAAACGTCGGTTTTTTTCTATTTTCTTATTGGTTTGTCTATTTTTTCGTTTGTTTCTTTCTTTTTTTGAAGATCTTACATTTAATAACGTACGAGGAATGCACTGACAGTTTATAGGTGATAAAATTGTATTTTCCAAAAAGAAAATAAAGCTAAAGCTAAAACAACAACAGCCTTATGCGCCGCACTCCGAAGTTGCTTGCGGCTCTTCGAGGGTTCTGATCTTTCTCCAGTGCTTCCAAGACTTTATACTTGTTATATTTCCCATTTCAGGATCTTATGTCCGCGGGTTGCGTCAAACATGAACCAATGGTTAGAGTTTTCGACGAAGCAATTAAGATAGCCATGCCAAACAAACCGAAATGCCAAGTCAGAATAATGGACATGGGATCCGGGACTGGACTTCTGGGAGTGGAGCTGAACAAAAGGGGCTACACAAACGTAGACGCCCTAGATGTCACTCAGAAAATGTTGGATGTATCTAGGGAGAAGGGCGTCTACACGAAATTTATATGTGCCCATCTAACGGAGGCGCGGACCCCTGGCATTGAGGATGGTGATTACAATGCCATAATTTCATCTGGAGTGGTTACAGCGGCTTACGGACATATTAGACCACCGGCCTTTTATGAGATGATGAGAGTAATTAGCGATGGTAAGTGTGGTGATTTCCTTTCCTTTTAGTTCCTCTCTAAGCCATGCTGACTGAGCAAATCAAGTTTTTCTACTAAGAGAGTCTCAATGGAGGTCAACCGAGAACTGTCAGGACCTCCAGCCCTTAGGATTGGCTGTTTTTTTTCTATACCTCTTACTAAACCGAGTTTGAGTTTTGCACTGTAACTTGCGGACCGAGTTATTCCTGCTTGTATTTATAGCCCAAGCTTGTAACATGCGGGCCACTGATAAGTCGGACGAGGTTTCTTTACTGACTGTACAGACAAAAATAAAGTGGTTAGAAAGATATTTTTCATATCTTTGAGTTCAAATAGAGGGGGAAGATTTCGATTCAAACAAACTTTTAAATTTAGCGGGCCGTACAGTTAAATACACTCAGAAAAATTGACCAATCATAGCGTACGCACTGAGATGTAATAAACAACAACTTTTCACCGAAGTGGTGGTATGTGGTGGATAATTACCGAGCCGTGACGAGGGAAATATCCACCGCTAGCCACCGAGATCGAGGTAAATAGTTGTTTTAGTATATACTTGAACAGTAAGATTATATAGCACATAAGGATAATAATAACTCATTTATTCTTGCAACGGTTATCATATTTTCGGGCGCGAGTTGCTCAAAGGTGAATGGCAAAGGTTATTCAAAGTTCGAGCAGCCAATCAAAGCGCGCCTTCAACGCCATACATTGTTGTAGTATATACTAAAAGGCGCTATTGACCAAGCTAGAGATCAAAGCCACGGAATATCTATAGATCCCTTGCTTTTTTAACAGTCCGAGAAGAAGCAAACAAAAATTACAACAACAACAACAACAACGAAAACCGATGTTTACTATCTGTGTGTCTTTATTTTTCCAATTTTATTTTATTTTGTTTTATAAAGGAGGCGTTATCTATTTCAACGTTCGCACCAAGGAAATTCCTGACTTCAGGCCGAGCATGAAAGAGCTGGAAGATAAGGGCCTGTGGACGCTTATCAAGGAAGAACAAGTACCACATTATAATATTGAAGATCCTGCTCTACCAAAAAGTACCACTGTATTTGCGTTTCAAGTTCACCACAAGGAGCTCCACGTTATTTAATGTTGTTGCTATTAGATACTAGATTTTTCGCAAGGAGGTAGTATACTCGGTACAATAAGACTGTATCGAATAATGAAAACGTAAATGTAAGGGATTTAAGGTCATCGGTTTAAAGTCTGTCAGTGAGTATACAGAGAAATTCTCAATTCACTGTCGAAACATTGCTTTGGTTTTGCTTTATTAAGTTTGTGAGATTTAATTGGCTCTTTGAGGTGTTTTCCTTTCTTTCTGATAGGACGTACTTTGGTTTAGGATAATCGATCGAAAAGCGCTTAAGATCAAGCATGAACTGTCATTCTTGTTTTTCTCGCTGTTAGATCGTATTTAAAACTCACAGATGCACTGTAATAAATCGATCCTTGCTATTTATTTCATTGATTTATTTCATCATAGAAAGTAGAAGCTAAGACAAAATAAAGTATGCTTGCTTCAGAGTTGTAGCAGATCTGTCCTGGTTCGATTGTGCTTCAAAATCTAATTCGGTTCCCAGAAATCAGTTTGCGTTTATGAGAGCATTCATTCGGTAAAGCTATTGCCTTCAACAAGACTTCAGCAACCGGTCGCTATGACGACACGATATAAGTATTGTGACATGCCACCATCTCATTGGACAAGAAGGATCGCCAAGTGTTTGGTGATTCAAAGATTCAAGACTGTATCCCAAGATTAGCATCAGTTTTCATTTACATGTTGATCCACTGGTGACAAGAGATCGCAAAAAGAATCCTTTAATTTTCCCCACGTAAATCGTTCACAATCAACCTGCAACATAAATTCCGTGTTAGATATTTCGTTTTTTTACTCCTCTATCACTGTAGGAACACTCGACAATTTTAAGCAAAGTATGATCTGGATAATTCACAGGAAGCAGATAAATCGTGTTTGACAGCATCTCCTACGACAATCCCCAAACAATTGCATTCGCTCCTGTTGAAATCCAATGCGATACTTTATTCATATGCCACCACAGTGGTCGATAGGCGAACTTTTCCACCTGCTGAGGCGTGGTGGAAAGTAAAGCTCCACCAACGTTAAGCCCACAATAACTACTCAATGCGGTTTCGTCTTGCGGAAAGGATCCTAACTAGCTTGTGAACTGGCCCTTATTAATGGCGCTGAAGGACGCGCGTATCTCGGTCCGCGTGAAGACTTAAGACGAGTCACCGAGAGGTTTTTCCGGGATCTGGTACTCATTACCAGTGCAGTACCCCTTGCAGACCTTCCGCTGGCTAACGTTGCTCAAAGGCTTATAATTTACCGCGGGCGCAGAGTCGCTCGTGCCGAAGCACCAAATAAGGGCCTACTCCCTGTCTAGGTTTCAACCAATGCATGAGGTGATCGTTTGCATAAACGGTCAGTCTTCAAGATCAAGTTGCGCAATAGTATACCAGGGTAATTTACTGCTATAAGTTGATAACGTAAATTGGCCACCGTAAAGAGTTAAAAACTGACGTTTCGAGCGTTAGCCCTTCGTCAGATTCCTCTGAACACTTAAACTTCTTACGGTGGCCAATTTACATCATCAGCTCAGTTGCTAGTACAAAATTACCCTATCATACTCTCTCATCGAGGCAGCACCACAGTTTACTTGGCAACCTAGCCTCTATTTTGCGCAGTAGTAGCCGACTTTCGTATTCTCGGAAATTCTGGGCGAATTCTAGTGGAATTACAGTGGTGGCTCATAGCCAGTGGAGACGAGCGAAAACGTGGGCGCGTGAGAAATAGCAGGATTACGATGACAAATTCAAAACAACACGTTTTCCTGAAAACCACAACCACCGCGTCCACCTGACTTGCCAGTTTCCTTGCATTTAACTTCGTCTACACTTACAGCTCGGCATAGGCTGAGATGCCGTGTCTTAATGACTTACTGCGACGTTGTGAGATCTCACGTGTCTTGGATTTCTACAGAAGTATCGTAGCTTCTTGGATAACTGTTGAGGTGTTGAGTACAAATACTCTGCTGGAAAGGAAAAGAAGACAAATGATCAAAGTCACATAAAATTCGTATTTTGTCCCTCGGCTTTTCACGTAAAACTGATGCTGAATCATAGCTTTAAAATTCTAACATATAATATTATTCTAGTTAAATGTGGATATACTTTCCAACAATGAGGTGCACGGAATAGATTAATAAACGGCGTATCTACTCACAAGGAAATATTTCAGGATAAACTAACTTGTTTGGACAAAGTGGATAACAACCATATTGCACAGCCTCTAACCTAAAAAGAAAAATTATGATTTTAAAATAATCACCGCTACATTTAACTTTGTTAAAAAGAATCTCGGTATGTAACAGTATTCATCTATCCTGTTCACGAATTACAATCAAAAACTTTTATTTCCTGTCCAGTTCAACAAAGGTTACCATTGTCTCGAACGGTAAGAAGGTCAACTAATGCCACGAATCCCAATTTCATACAGATTCTATCCGTTATAAATTTGCCCGCCTCTTCTCCACCCATCTCTGACCATTCGGTATGGAAAACTTGAAACCTTGGAACGCAGATAGAGAGGAATTTGGAAACAGTAGTGTTCAGTATCAGGACGAACCATAACACTGAATGGTGGGCACAATGAAACCTGGAAAAAGCGGAGTCCAGATTACGTGGATACTGGCTCTGATCCCGAATTTTTCCTCGCATTTTTACGGTAAAATGAAACTGTATTCATCGAACACAAATGTTAGAACGACACGGCAGCCACAATTGACTGTATTACTCGCATGAAACCCTATTTAAATTTTTTCCCTAAGAGTGATGGGCATCTTATTTTTCCCAACAATATCACCCCTGAATCAAACGTTAAGGCCATGAGAATAAAGGTAATGATCGTGAACTCAAGAGGCTCTTGATTGTTGGACAACTTCTCCTCGTAAGTATTATAAGAAATCTGTAGAGATCAGTAAGGAGAACTTGCACACTGATGATAGGGAGTAAAGAGTTGTTTTTAATTCTATAAAGGGGAGGGGAGGGGAGGGGAGGGACATAGAGCAAGCAAAGCAGCTCAGCAACTTGTAAAAAAGCACATGGCAATCCCTTTTCAAACCTCCCTGGAGCTTCTCCATATCACGTCAGTGAAAGCCCTGAATTGATTTGGGTTTAACCTTGCTTAAATTACAGTTAGTCTCAAAACAACAACTACAACTACAACAACATATTCAATTCATAGAAACTTACATCGATACACCGAAAAATTCATGTTCTGCAGTGGACACTGCTACATCAGCAGCCTTCAGTATGGAGATATATACCTTGCGAGATTCCTGATAACCCCAGTGAAGAATATGATCATGGATTCGTCTACAAGCTTCCTCAAAAATACCTGGTGTGTTATGATAGGGATGGCATATAAATTATAATAATAAGTTCCAACAAAATGTTTATCCCTTTCTCAAGACAATTCTGAGTGTTTCACGAGTACCCATAGCTTTTAAATTTTTCAGATTTTGATCTCCTGTTCTAAGCCAGCATATTCATCAATAGCTCAAGCTAGGTGGGGCCTAGAATGGATAAAATCTCAAAGACAATCTATAGCACACAGCCTCAAGCCTGAAGTCTCTCAGTGTATGGAAAACACTGTTCAACCAATGACAGACAGATGAGGGGTTCCTCTTACCCTACCTGCTCATCCTCAAATTGTAGAGGTAATCAACTCACTAACGAGTCATGTCCACTTACAGGGCTTTCATTAGAATATGTAATAAATGCATGATCTGAACTGATTAGTTGGCTGACTTGAATTACTCTAACGTAGCAACAGGCCCTTTCTAGTCCTGGAGGCCCAAGGACAAATTCAAACTTTGAGTTGTGATTTCTAGCATTCCGGGACACGGAGCATTCTGGGACACTAAGCATTCTGGGGGACCAGCATTCTGGGTAACTTTTTTTTGCAAAACATTGATGTTAGAAAATGTTGAAAAATACTTATTTTCTGCTTTGAGCAGGTCTGGTCTGATAATGGGAAGGTTTCTGCCAACTACCACCTTCTCACAACGACTGAGTCATACATGTATGTTCACCCACTGATATGGATTGGGTGCAGTGTACTATTGTGACACAAATACCTGGAGCTTCAGAGAATGTTTCTCCTAATACAGAAACCTTGAAATCCAATCCTTGCTCAGCCAACTGATACAGGGTGCGAAAGAACAACTCAGGACCTTTGTCATGTTCCCTAATAACACCAATAAAAACAATAACTAAAACAAACTAAATAAATCCAACTTGTACACTGGCCTTTATAGCTAGTGTTAAGAAGTGTGCTTGGTATAACATTTTTTTAGTACAAGAAGTCAAAATAAATGTACAGTAATACTGGATTACAAGATTTGCTTTTTGACCCCTAGGTGCTCTGTATATTATGATTTTGTTATTCCTACCCATATCTTTGTACAAAGCAGCCAAAAATAACACTAGCTAAAACTTTTTGGAACACCAAAAAAGAATCTGGTATGAACTGGTTTGTACAAATTTAACCAATCAGCTACCTTTTAACTAGTTAATATGGTTATCTAATTCAGATGTAAATTAAGATCCATAGAGACTCTAATACTTTAAGTAGTTTTGTTAATTAAATCTAGCTACCCAAAGTTTGGTATAGTAATACATGTAGGAACACCTAGAAAAAAACATCAATGCATACAGCCTATTTGCAGTTTCACTTGCAATGAGAACGAATATAGCCACCACAGATATGTAGAGGACACAGTGCACACATTGGTACTTCAAAAGTATTTCTGAGTACTGAACTACTGATTCAACATATTATCTGTCTATACCCCCACAACATTTTGTAATTTGAAAATTCAGAGTACATGCAGATGAACACTCAATATTTCAGTAATTTTCTTCTATAGGCAATTACATGTACCAAATTGGCACAATAGGTCACTGTGATGTAAGGCAAAACCCAAACATGAGAGCCTAAACAGAGGCAGTGAGAGGTCCTATAGGCAGCACTAGACTGCTACTAATGGGCTCTTGTTTAACCCTTCAAACCCAAAAGAGTGACTAAAATCTAATTTCTCCTACAATATCACCCCTGAATTACACATTAAGGTCATGAGAATGAAGGAAATAGTACCCAATAAAAGAAGCTTTTGATCAGTAAACAAATTCTCCTTGTCAGCACCTTAGGAAATGTGTAAAGAACAGTATGGAGAATATGCATTATGATTTTAGGGTCTAAAAGGTTAAAACCTGAGTTTTAATGAGCAGTAAAATTAAGGTTATGACATTCTCTACCTTTAAGGAAAGACCAGGTAAAAATCTATTGACATAAACCTACCATCTGTGAGCCCAAACAATATGCAAAGGTCTTGACACTGTTGAGTCCACTGGCTGATCAAGTTTTTCATCTTTAGCATCTAAAGTTTTGTCCAAAAGAATGCTGTTATGTCATTAAGTATCCATTTGTAGATTCAAGTAAGAGATACAGAGTACTTACATGGTGTGAATTAAATCTTTCATGCCAAGGCACAACTAAGAAGTAATTTGTCCCTATAATATCCATACACTGTCCAACAAAAGGTGATGATGTTAAAGACAAAATATCTCCTTGCTTAAAAGTACCTTGTCTAAATAGGGATTGGTAAAGAGAGCTGACATGACAAGTAAGGTTTTGTAGATATCAAGGACAATTGACCTTAACATAATAGAAGTAAGGGGGTTTAGAGTTAGTCATGTACATTGCAGTGGGAAAATATGACCTACATGTAATCCTTATGTTATTCACTACAACACAAATTTTCAGTTTTATGGGACAGTACATAGGAGGAGTTATTTCAAAGCTAAATGTACACTGAAGAATACACCATACACCTTGATGTGTAGAATGTAAAAAAACTAAGAACTGTAAACAGCCACTTACAAGGTACCTCATTATCTATCCAAATCATGTTATTTCTCCAAGCAATATTTTTTATTTAACCCTTTACACCCTAACATCAGTATACATATTCTCCATACTGTTCTCTACACATTTCCTAAGGTGCTGACAAGGAGAATTTGTTTAACAATCAAGAGCTACCTTAAGACCTTGATGTTTGATGTAGGGGTGATACCGTTGGGAGACATCGGATGTTTAAATCACTTATAGGGGTAAATAACGGTAATAGGACTGAGCGGAGTCCAATATGATCAGTAATCATACAAGTGATAAACAAAATCTAACTACTGTGAAGCCTTAGTTGATTCGTCTGAATTGGACGAACCAAAGTCCTACTGCCAATAAATCATGACCCTCACAATTTCCAAAAACAACAAAATACATTAAGGACAAATATCTCCAGTGGAGAGAGAATGTCTAGAGTAAAAAATTCCACAGTTTTTTTTTAGGATAAGTGGCTGTTGCTGTGATTATTGTGATCAATTCTGTGATTGGTACATTGGACTGAAAGAACTTAGTATGATTGGCTGCTTCAGCTGTCCTATTACAGGTGTCTGATTGCAGCCAAACGTCTTATTACAATTCTCATTGTCCAATTACAACCTTACAGAATGATTAGTGAAAAAAGTTAAGCAGCTGATTCACCAATCAAATTTTAGGAAATTGCAATGGTTAAGATTAATAGGTTAAAAGCTTCTTATATTGCTCACCTTTGTATTCTGCTGTACCTATTTCAGGTTCCATCAAAGGAAAGTGCACAACCCTGCATTTTGGTCTGATTATTTGGTCTAATTCCTGGGGTCGATTATCTGGCATTAGTTTCAGAAAGCTTTTGATAGATGGTAAAAATTATTCCATGTTGAACTGTGAGTTAAATACCACTACGTCAGCAACAAGACTGTTGGAGAAAAATCAAGAAATTAATTTAAACCTTTACATCCTACAACAGTATGCATGTTCTCCATACTATTATCCACTGAGTGGATAAGTAGATGTAAATTGGCCGCCACCAAGAGTTTTAAAGCTGACATTTTGAATGTTATAGCCTCTCATCCTTCACTCTGATGAAGGGTGAATCCTAAAAACGTCAGCTTTCATACTCTCTACAGTGGCCAATTTATGCTATCAACTTAGTTGATAATACTAAATTGTCCTGTTATAGTCTCTCACCAACACAGCACCACAGTTTCTTTAGAAACTTATCCTCTTTATACTCCATACTGTTCTCCTTATATTTCTTAAAAGGTGAGATGAGAAGAATTTGTGTTACAATCAAGAGCACGTTTATTTGGTGATAATTTCCTTTATTCTTATGACATTATTGTTTGATTCAGGAGTGATTTGTATTGGAAAATTAGATAATAGTCACTCTTAGGGGTCAAACAGTCAACAGAATAAGTAAAAAACAAACAGACAAAATCATGCAAACAGAAATAAAGCTACATGTACAAGTAACAAAAAAAGTTAAAATATTTATGACTTGCTAGAGAGAGCAAGTTAAAATAAGTAATAGCAATAATTATTATAATAGTAAAGGTAAAAACAATGACAACAACAAGAAGAAGATGGAAAAAAACAAACACACAATGAATGTAAACATGTCTTGATGATAATTGACACCTTCGTGCATTTCTACATATTGATTACCTCATTTGAAACAGTCCCAAAGAGGATGAAACAAACACTAATACAAACATTGAAAATTTACTACATTAAAATATGGTTGCTTATGTACAGCAGTATCACGATTACAACTTTCAGACAACATAGATCAGTAGCACGCTTGTCACGTACAAATTGAAAAATCACGGATTTGCTTGAACTTTTAAGAATTTCTCGGCGCACAATGATCAGATCTGCTTGAGACTTTTCACAATTGTTACACATGTGTTAAAGATGGTTTTGGACTAAACAGAGGTAGAATAAAGGATCTCTGTAAAATATTGAATCGGAGCCGAATTGTAAAGTTAGCGACAAAAACATGGCGTCACGCGTAACATGCGTCGGCTTCGCTATTCACTGTTTTCCTGTTTTTGCCCACTGAAGCCTCGTTTATAACCGTAAGACTTAAGAGATAATGAAAATAATTCCTTTTTAAGCAAAGTGGCAACCAAAATCCTGAAAAAATTGAGCTAAATCTTTCTTAAAATCAACGAAAGTGTTCACCACTTGATGCGTCACGCTTTAAAGCTTAGGAGAGACAGATAATTTTAAATTCATTTTGCGAGTCATAATTCCTGATTTACAGAACAATTTAACCTCAAAATGCAATGCTCATAAGTTGATTTTCAATTTCTTTTCGTTTTTTGGTGTTTTTGTTGAAACTTTGTCGAGATATGAATTTTTTTCTGCGTCCGAAACAGTTGGCGAGCGATGTGATCTGCCGCGCGATAGTACCAGTAAATGAATTTCTTAGTCGAATTGTTTGCGACAAGTGCACTGGAGCATGTCAACTTTGACATAAATAAAATGCTCAAATGACAAGCTAAATTTTGGTACCAAACTCGATCGAATCCGTTAAAAGCCGACGAAAATATTAGCATTTAAGTTCATCCGAAACATTAGGTCTACAATTTTGATCCTCAGGAACATACGCAATCGAATTTATAGCAAAAACAAGTGCGACGCGTTTGTCATTTTGACGGCTTCCTTTACTTCCAAATCATTCCAAAGTCTACTTAATCAATAAGGACTGTTTCAGATTTCCTTATTGAGAATTATAATAAAGTTCGGATATAACGCGCGCTGTCATTGGTTGAAAGGGCGTGCTCCATGAGAGCTGAGCTAAAGTATTTGTTAAATAGAGCATGCTGACGACACTGTTTTCGCTTTGGAAATAGATAGATAGATAGTTAGATAGATAGTTTATTATCAAGAACCTTGCAACCATAGGCTGAATTACGTTTGATTTACAATAAAATATATACTACAAAAAATACATGGCTAAGAAGAACTAATTAAAAAGACAAAAATATATAATTAAGAGAAAAACAATATTACATCATTGCTTTATGGACATAGTGATGGATAAAACTATTTCGAGTACGAATGGTGTGGAGGCGCCGTGTAGTAAAAAGAGTGCTGACTCCTTAAATTGACTTCGCACTCATTCTTGGGAGGTAGTAAGCTATAGAGCTTGTGCGAGGGATTAGACAGGATGGAATTAAAAAGCTTATCACATAAGAACTCGCGGCGGTTGTGTAAGGGAACTAGACCAGTCAAAAGAAGCGCCTCATTGTACGAACAATCTGGATAGATAATACGTAGAGCTCGCCTTTGACATCTCTCAAGATCTACTGAAAGGTATTGCGGGAGGCTATGATGATAAACAGGGCATGCATATTCAGTGACAGGCCTAATACAAGTCAAATAGAAGAGCAAAAGCTCCTCCGACTTGACCTGTGCACGCTTAAGCTGACGCAAAAAATACAGGCGCTTGTTTACTTTCTTTACAACTTCGGATACGTGATTATTCCACGTAAGATCGCAAGATATCTGCAAACCTAAGATCTTTGCTTGCTCTACACACTCTAAGTCCTGATCATTAACCTTAATTGGATCAAAGTTCTTTCTAGAGTGACTGAATGTTATGCGCAGTTCCTTGCACTTGGTTTCATTTAATTGGAACTTGTCAGCAGAAGCTTGCGTCGCGAGTTCGTCAACCGCTTGTTGGACTTTGCTGACCTCAGACTTCATGACTGTTTCAGAAATAGTGGAGTCATCGACATATTTCCACATGTCTGTACCCGGGATGATGAGGTCGTTTATCATAATAGTAAATAACCAGGGGCCAAGTTTTGTGCCCTGTGGGACCCCTGATGGGATGGCCCCCCACTCCGAGTAACAGTCCTGACTAAGTTTAACACGCTGTCGGCGACAGGACAGAAAGTCCACTATCCAGTCAATTATTCCGCTTGGAAGATCGTATGAAATGAGCTTCTGAACTAGGATCTGATGGTCAATAAGGTCAAACGCCTTGCGGAAGTCAAAGAGGATGGTTCTGACAGTTGTACCGTTCCCATCCGTAGCACTAAGCCATGAGTGGACCATGCTTATTAGTGCTTGTGTCGTACTGGAACCTGGCACAGTCCCAAACTGCCGTACATCCACTTTCGCCAACACAACAGGCTTGAGGAAACTCTCCACGACGAAATCTTCAGCAACCTTAGAAAGCACGGGAGTTAGGGATATTGGACGTAGATGTTTGTTTACATCGTGTATTGGATTCTGCTTTGGTACTGGAGTGATGTTAGCGTCCTTCCAAGACTGAGGCAACCGTGCTTCCTTAAACGAACAGTTAAGGATATCAGTCACAGGCAGTGCTAGTAAATCTGCATTCTCTTTAAGAAGCCAACCGGGGATTCCGTCCGGACCGGTTGCCTTAGTTGGATTTAAGGCGGATAGCTTCTTTAAAACAGAGAATTCTGATACCTGGAAAGCACTCTCCTGGTCAGAGTTGGTTGAGGTGTTAGGTGAAAGGGGGGTGAAGACGCGCATAGGAGCCAAGAACGCCTGGTTGATGGTATTAGCAATGTCTATCGTGCTTGGAGGCGAACCTCCCTGACCACAATCAATATGTTGGTAGAGGGTAGCTGGATTAACGCCTCTAGAAGCTGCGTCTGACGTACCACTGAGCTTCTTTACCTCACGCCACCAAACTGCGGGTTTACAGTCCTTCAGATGTTCAACCTTGGAGTTATAGAACTTTGCACGGCATGCTTTCCTCTCACGATTAACGCGATTTCGTAGGGTGCGGTACTGCTCCTGGTCGCCTTGAGCGAGGGCCTTTTGGCGGCTGTGAATGAGACCCTTCAATTGTTGATTGACCCAGGGCGGCTCGTTGGTTTGTACCGACTTAGACTTCAGGGGAAGGAGAATGTCCATTCCGGTCTTAACTATGGTCTCCAGCATTTCCACTTTGCCCTTGCAAGAATCTTTACTATCGATAAGTGTCTTAACGTCCACATTTCCAAGATACGTGCGCATAGCCATACGCGTTGTAGGCCGTAAGTCCCTCGATTTCACGATAAGTTTAGTTCTTGGTTGTTGGGAACGCACGAGCGGCTGAACTTCCACAGAGAAATGATCGGACAAACCGAGAGCAGGGCGCTGGATCGGAGGGGCATAGAACTCCTTCACATTTGTTAACACCGGATCTAAGGTATTTCTGCCGCGAGTTGGAAAGGTAACGATTTGCTTCAAATTAAAGCCGTTACTAAGGCGCGAAGATTTCTTTAACAGAGTTTTATTGAAGTCACCAAGTAAAATTATCCCGCAGCCAGTAAAGCGAGCCTCAACCAAAGATAAACAGTTATACAAATAATCCAGCATAGGCGAATCCGCGGCGCTCGGAGAATGATAAACAACTCCAACAATAATGCTGGTAATGCCCCTTGGGAGACGCGAAGGCCGTATTTGAGTCCAAACAACTTCAAACTTCCTATCCATAATGTCCTCAATGATCTTGAATTGGATAGACTCTTTAATGTACAGACACACTCCCCCATGCACTGCTTCAGTTCGATCTCGGCGGATCACGTTATAGCCAGAAATAGCGACAATATTATTGTCAATGTGGTCTTTGAGCCAAGTCTCTGTTATGCATACAAGGTCGAAATCTGCATAATGGACGACTTCACGGACTTCATCTATTTTCGGCGCCAGTGACATGACGTTGGAGAGAAAGAACGACGGCATGAATAGCTTTGATGACTTTGCAGGTTCGGCTTTAGATGGTGTAGGTGGAATAGCGAGAAGGTTGGCGTTATTACAGTATTTGTGACTGGACTTCAAACGGTAGGGGCCATGGTTGGCTGACCTTGGTGAAATAACTGCAATATGGCGGTGACGATAAACTTCTCGCTCCTTCACTTGTCGTCCAGCTCTGGTACCGCGATAAGATGGCCATTTCCCACCATGAAATCGAAGAAAACCAAAAGAGGGGCGAACCTGGACCATTTTGCGGCAGCAGATATCACATTTAAGGCAATAAAATTCAAAAATTACGGAAGCAGATGAGACCTCGTGCTGCCTTGAAAGGCGCATACATGAACCTGTATATAAAGTTTGTTTTGAAAATTGAAAGTAATGCTCGGGGAATTTAATGGATTCTTTATTATAAAACAAATAGAGAAGCCTTGACTGTGCTCTGTTCTGTTATAAAGCACGCAGGAAGCGGCTAGAGCACGAAAGAAGTGTAGGGAGAAACACTCGACTACGTCTCGTGTTTCTCCCCACTTCTTGAGTGCTTTAGCCGCTTCCTATGTGCTTTGCACAGTCAAGGCTTCTCATATTACATCAGGTGAGGAAATGAGCGGGAAACTTCCTAAGTACATACCGCATGTTTCAAGCATGCGGTCAAGTGCTGTTTTGTTCGCAAGCACAAGGCCGTGAAATTAAATGCAAAGATTAAGGATTCTAGAGTTTCTAGGATTCAGATGTGGCGAGAAAAAAAAATATTCTTTGAAACACGGTATTTATGCATTTTTTACAAAAAAAAAAAAAAGAGCGTGGCCGCATTGCATCATGGGTAATAGAAAATTTGCTTGAAATGCGTCCGAATCGATCGAAATGACATAATTTTAGGCCTCACGGAAAGATACCCCACCCATGGAAACCGTAACCCCCTGAAATCTCAGACATGCGTAGATTACATTACTTTGTAACACTGCCTGATAAAAGGAACGCGGGCTCATGCCGAGGGTTGTTTACATCAAAGTTGCAGATTTGTGTTAATTAATTGCCGGCCGACTCGCTGACGAGAACTCCTGATGGCTCGTAAAAGACCTCACGGCAGCCAGTTTTCTAGTAAAAATAAGCCACCAGCCAAAAAGAAGCTGAGAAAACATGAAGATTATTTTGAAAAAGTTGAAAAAAAAAAGCGTTGCGGTGCAAGTTTGCAACTTTTTAAGTGAAGAAAAAATCGATCGACTCAAGAGAGAGTGCAAGTCAAACAGTCAGCCTAACTGCAAGTGGGTCTGGAAACACCAGTCTGATGTAGATTACCACGTTGTAAAAAATGAATATGATATTACCAATGTTTCAGGGTTGGTTGGGGACAATGCCTCTACCCAAAAGGGAAAAGTAAACGGTCTTTTGGCTAACAATGCCAGAATTTTTGGAAAAGAGATGTTCTTTGTAGGATGCTACCCACATGTACTAAACATTATGCTGAGAAGAATGTGCCAGGCTGGGTTTGGGGCCAAGGGTGACATGAGCAACCCCCATGTTTTACAATTACTCTATAAAATATCTTGGCTCCATCATGAGTGTCCAAGCCAATACAAAGTTATGTATGTTTCTCTTGGTATTCTAAGTAAAGAGCTACCCCTTCCCCAGACATTCATAGACATAAGGTGGACATATTATCATGAAACTCTCCAGTGGTATCTTAAGTATGGAAAAGCTTGTTTACAGCTTGCTGAGTGTCTCCTTGAAAGATTGCCAAAATCAGATAGCCACCAGACTATTTGGCAAGATGTCATTAAGCTGAGCTCTAGTCCTATGATTCAAGTTGAAATCAAGTTTTTGTTTGAATTCCTCGATAAGTTTATCATCCCATCTCTGAATATATCCCAAGCTAGTGGTGAAGAACTTGGATTCTCCAGTGGTTACCTAGCAAGGTTATGGCCAGCAACTGTTCTGAAGCACCATGAAACTTTAAGTAAAATGTTGATGTCCCCTGCAGAATATTTTCCTTTAACATCACAACAGGTGAAGATGTCATTGAAGGACCCAGCAGCTATCAACCATTTTCACAAACAAGTGCAGAGGCCAATGTTACAAGAAGCAATTAAACTAATCAAAGATCATGGAGCAGAGTGGTTAACTTTTCCCAAGTTGTTTGGAATGGGAGCTGATCAGAGATACCAAAGTCCTTTCTGGCATTCAGTTTTAAAGCTTCTTGAAATTCCAGTCAGATCTGAAAATCAACAAGAAAAGTCAGTGAACAATTTCTTTCATGTACATGGACAGAACATTCTAACATTGGTGTCTAAGGATAGAGTTGGATTGATTAAATGGGCCACTCTTTGGAAATTGATGGAACCACAATTGCTCAGTGAGATCAAAGAAATTGCTTCATCACCACACAGCTCACTCATAAGTAAAGAAGCCACTCCAAACCTGTTTGAGTTCTATGCCAAGCACATTTTCGGTCTTCCAGTTAACAATGTTCTTGCTGAAAGACAGTTCAACCTCTCTCAACTGTATCTTAATGATAACATGTCAGAGTTATCAAAACAGGCCTCAATCACATTTGTTGAAAATATTCTGCATAGTGGAAAAACCAACACCAGGACCACAGAAGCAGCACGTGAAGTTCACAAAGAAAGAATGAAAGAATATACCCAAATGCTCACCACAGACATTTTTCAAGAGGCAAGAAAGAAACTAAACAAGATTAGAGAAAACTGCACACATGGGCCACTCACTGCAAAGGATGTTTACCCTAGAGCTTGGGTAGAAAAGAAAGTAAACAATAACTTACCAGAAACAATTCAGTCACTAAAAGCAGATGGTCACAAACTTAAACTTCAAAGGAAGGCTTCTGCCAAGGGAACATCTGCACTGAAGGGACAGAGGTCATTCAACCCAACAGTAATTGAGGGAGTTACTTGTACACCTGATGGACAAGTTCCAAGACTCATGCAGCTAGCGGCACTAAAGGTGTGGAACTATGGGGAGGAGCTACCAATTTATGATTTACCAAGAGAATGCCAGTTGTGTCTACAAAATATTCCAAATGTCTTCCAGCCTCCAACTACTCATCTTTCCACATCCCACATGTCTGAACATGTTATGCTGTTGCCTGCACATGAAGAATAGAGTAGTCATGAGGGGTGGCTCAGTAATTTTTAAATGTTTTAGATTTGTACATATAAGAATTGATTTCAACGACCACACTGCATGAAATAGATATATATCTCAGCATGTATGCATTTTTATACACAGAGACGCATCTAATAATTGATTAATGTTTCAACACAACATGTTAGAATTAACCTGGTAAAAGCACATTGTATATGCCATGTTAGTAAAGTGAACATAACTTAATATCTTAGTATATGTACATGTAGCATGTTAGCTTTTTGGTTTACAATATTGCAACTGGTTTTACAGGGTAAAAGTGAAGTGCATGGTGGCAAAGTTGAGACATGCATGTACAATCATGTTGTATTGGATCTTGAATTAAATGAATTGAATATTACATTCAAAATGAACAGTAGGTATACAAAGCTGTGATGTATCTGATTTTAAATTGTTATGTATGACTGTAGCTTTGTAGAATATTGAACAAGAACTGAATTGCTGTCACTAAATTTCAGCAGTTTAAGAACATAATAAATGTAATACTTAACTACATGTAGATTATATCATTATACTGTTGCACATGTATAACTTAACATATCACTAGCAGTATGTAACTTTTAATGTGATAAGAACATGACTCATGTGTAAGTACTCTTGTTCAATAGGCATAATATTTTGCACAGGAAGGGCAAATCAAAGGGATGCAGCCAATGTTATGTTGCACATAGTTAGTGTTCAATGATTAACAGTTACTGTAATAAATTAGAGTGGAACACTGGATCTGTTAAAAATGTGCCAAGTTTATTATCCTGTCTTTCCTTATTCTGTGTAAAAGATAAGTAATACCATTCTGACCTGTAATTAATCCTCTCTCCCCTTTAAACGTTTTTCTTCTACTGTTAAATATATCTACATCAATGGAATTTTTCTTACATATACCTGACTTGTAATGACCAGTTCAACAACCAAACTTTACCTGGACCTATACTAATTATTGAATATGCAGTGTGGTCGAAAAAGAATCAGTGTATTGGTCAATCCTCTACATTCAAAGTGCCCAAAAGAAATGAGCATTAATTTGACAATCGATACCAGTCAAACATCATCTCCGTAATCCGTAGTAAGTACCAACGAGTACCCGAGAAGTGATTGATAAATTGTTCTTGGCTCCTGTTGACGATTAAACCGGAGTTCACTCTCGATCTCAAGTGGGCGATATTGAAAGTAGGCTAATTGACCCTTTATCACTAACACACCCTAAGATAGGGGTCAAGATAACTAATTTATATTCCTACCTTGTGCATTGTTCGCTTGCTGTACTTTCGAGCTGCTCTGAGTACATTACATCAGTCAATATATTTCACTCCTCTATGGTATCTTGAGCGCGAGTCAAAAAAATGTGAATAACTTTCAAACGAACAACGATGGACTCTAAAACTCAGTTTGCCTTGAAAACACAATGCCCACTCCTAAACTTGTCCATTTCGAAATTCCAAATAATAAACACCACACGCAATGAACAACAAAACAGTACGAAAAATTAGAATTTCTACCACTTAGTCGATGAAAAGGAAAAAATAAAACGGTAGAATCTTCAACTTCGTCGCAGTCTTCCCGGTTTATGTGTTAAACTACCTGAGACTTCGTGTTTTGACAAGATATTCAATGGCAAAGTTTTAAGAGTGTTGAGGAGAGAAGTAAACATAGGAGAGGGCCTATTCTGCGCATGTCTGAAATTTTCCTTACCTCAAGTGCATACGCTGTTCCGTGAGGCCTAAATTTCAAGATAGGAACCAACTTCCTTCACTTTCTGACTTAATTCTAATAAGAATTGATTCTTAAATAAATTTTTCAATTTTACCCCAATGTTACGCTTTTGTACATCAGAACTATTTTTCACATTACACACACATACTATACTCAATCCCCTTAAGTCCAACCACAATAAAACTGCCTTGATGTACACATCCTAGAGTCAATTGGGAGTTCTTATCTTAGGCCAGAATCTAGAAGGTGTACATCGCAGCACGTAGGCTTCTACTGCTCATGTCTTCTTCTGTCAATGCATAAATAATATGAAATTTTAAATTCATTTAAGTTTCTATTGGTAATTGTTTTCATTGTTCTCACCATGACAAAATCTGATTATATCCATACTGAAAGTCTCTTTCCTGTTGCTTCCTGACTGGGTAAATCAGCTGATTCTCATGGAAGTAAAGAACTTTCTTTAACTGAGTAAGATCTGGTCTCAGTGCCATTAGTTCTGCTAAATTCAAGACAGAGCTGGCAAACAACACCCTTAAGAAAAAACAAAATACAACAAAAATAAGAATTAAAAAAAAACCAACTCAAAACTCTATGGGCAATTTAAGGACAATGTACAGTATGCATTATCAACTGTGGGCATAATCCAGGGGTTTTGATAATTTTTTCCATAAGCAGCTGTGGATGGTATAATAGGCATCTGTGCTTGAGCATACTTGTCCATTACATCCAATCTGAATTGATTCATCTACAGTAGTTGACAAATCAACTCACTGGAAGTGCAATCATTGGTTTACATGCTGGAAGTCAAGGGGCATGATCAATATGAGAAAATGAGTAGCATGAGAAAATGATAACATGAACCTTCCTCGTTCCTAAACTGTGATAGAGCTGGAAGTCCATTGGCTGAAGGTTACAGACAAGACAGATGAATCTTCCTTGTTCTTAAGGCGTTAGAAGGGGGTAAGATATTTTGAGGAATGGATATTATTCACACAAGTGGATTTGAATTGCCTACATTTAGGTCCATCCGTCTCACTGGATGATGATTTGCAGAGGAACACATTTCACTCTAATGTATTAAATGAGGGTATTAAATTTTGACAAATCAATGATATTTACATGGGTTGACCCAACTCATCATTAGCTAGGTTGATTCACAGAATAAACACTCATGTGTTAAATGGGGGTATGCAATGTTAACAAATCAACATGATACATACATAAATATATATATATATAAAGAGTAATTTGACTTACGTAAGACTGCTCAATACATAGGAGTAGAGTGATGTATATATTGAGGGAGGAAAAAGACAAATAAACTACCAGTTCATATATATATATATATATATATATATATATATATATATATATATATATATATATATATATATATATATATATATATATATAGGAAGTCTGCAAGTCGATTTTCGCGTGGAACAGTGCTCAATACGTTGAAGCAGAGCAGAATAAATATTATGAGAGGAATCAAGTTTATCAAGCCACCGTCACACAGAACGACAACAACACCTCTGAAACATACATTGGACTCACAAAAACCGACTTCAAAACAAGACACAGAAATCACACCGCATCATTCCGCCACGCCAAGCACAAAAACTCTACCGAACTTAGCAAACACATCTGGACACTCAAGAACGACAACATTGACTATTCTATTTCATGGCGCGTCTTATCATCTAACTCTCCCTATAACAGCTCCAGTAAAAGATGCAACCTCTGCCTAAAAGAAAAATTCCTAATAATTTACCGACCCGGTTTGTCCTGCATACGTTATTCAGCTCTGTCTCTGCGCAAGTATAATTTTCGACATTCTTGACCAGCTGACGCTTCTTAACAAACACTAATATGGATCCCTGGAATTGTGTGGGTTTGTGCAGAAATCTCTCCAAATTCTTTGGTAAGACTTAAAACTTACTCACTTGTACGTGCTGTTGCAAGCAGCCGGTATATTCTGGTAAAAATAAAGTGCACTAGTTCTCATTCTCCAATGCCATTTCTTCGCAGGTAAAGAGTACAACTTGCAGCCTGGTACTTCTTTAATGAGCAAATCAACTAATTGTTTGTGCGATCCACCATAGAACGGCTCGATAAGGAGGACTATTCCCCGGTGGACATCACAGTTTTCTGTGTTATCATTGCCAGACGAATCCGACGGTTTACCATCGTAAGACGACAGCTCCATCAGGCAAGCTATATGGAAGGTTCTAATTGTCAGGGGAGATCCACGGCTTAGGGAGCCATCAGGACGTTGCGGACGGAAAAGGCCATCACACTTCCCTTGTTTTTAACAATGACATGATTCAATGTCTGTTTTCTTTTCCTTTTCCAACTTCTCTACCAGCTAATGCTACTCACCCTCATCTTCATCGCCTCGTCCGCCATCTTGATTATTTAGCATGTAAAACGCATGTCCAACTAGGGAGAAAATTTTAAAATTGCAGGCTCATGTTATTCTAGTTTCAAGATGGCGGCCCAATCGAGCGAAAACGAATTAGAATTTCCATTCAATACCAGTCGAGAATTCGAACTGAGACTTGGAAGTAGTTTTCATTCTAAAGGAGGACCGAAAACGGCCTTTCATACAATCAGATGTGAGCTCACTTATTTATCACTTTCCATTCTTTTTCGTGAAACAAAACCTTTTTTCTCATGCGCATTGACAATTGACTACATTTTCAAGTTGTGAACGAACAGCTGAATTCAATGATTTTTTTCGTTAACATATTCATTTACACTTTCCTATTTCGAAGTAATTTTTTTGTCTTTATTCCCTAAATATTCTGTGGAGTAATAGTGCGTCGAAAAATTCTTTAAAACCCTCGGTACAGCTGTAGTTCAACAATAAGCTCAATAAACCGAAAATATTGTATTAAATAGTGAATGATTATGTCTTCCTTGCTGAAAATCATGAATTTTGGCCTTTTTATCCATTTCAAACTTTTTATCAATAAGTTATGTATAACCTAATTTATTCATTTGTGGTTCAGTTATGCATTTGACATTTTACCACAGATGACTTCAAACCAGCCTCAGTAGACACCTCGAGACCGGCAGAGCTTGTTGTAGGTGACAAAAATGAGGTCACAGTCACTGTTCCTAATGTACAGGTATTATATGAATTCATCTAAATGCTTAAAACTTAATGGCTGCTGTTCAATCCCTTTAGTAGCCATCTTTCAAAAGTAATATCCCTGAAAAGTTGTATTTTTCACTAAGAAAATAGAAGTAACAGGGTAACCAAACATCCTCTTTGATTTCGTAAGTACAAACTCTGAAGGAAAAAGTTGAATAACACAGCCAGCTCTAACTGTGAAATATTTTTTATTCTTATTAAAAATAGTGCATTATTTTTTTTGTTTGATTTTCTTGATTTTAAATGGTCCATGTATGTTTTAAGTTAAAAAAAAAAAAAGATGTAGCCAAATCATTTCTGGCGTCTGTCCCGTCGATCGTGTCGCCTAAAGTGTCACACAAGCTATATGCAGTTGGAGTTTACTGCTCCTGGAATGGCTCAGAGTTGATACAGGGGAGGAGAAAGTTGACTTGCTGCATGCGTAAGGATAGCTTAGGCGCTGTGTAAACTACATTGAAATGGGACAAGAGTCTGAAGACCTTTAGAAGTTTATGGGTAATAATAACTGTAGATTTTTATTATTATACTAAGCTCAATTTTTTAAAACTGTTGAAACATCATTGACAAGTGTATTTGAATTACTTATTTGTGTCATCTTACGCAAGGCCTTTTTTTATATTGATATTCTTGCATAATTTTATAGGATTCTGGTAACACTGTTTATCGTGGCTCAAAAAGAAGTTGTACGAAGGAATTTATTTTGGTGGTAGATAAAGAAAAAAAGGTATAAACCTACAGTAATTACATTGTTTTAATAGAAATGATGTCTATGTAGAAGTTTGTTTTGTTTTTATTGTGGAGGCCTTGACTTAACAGTTGATGTGCTGGACTCTGAGTGAAGAGGTTCTTGTTGGAGACCTGGCAAAGTCAATGTGTTGTGTTTTATGGGCTGAAGACACTTTACTCTCATCATGCCTCTCTTCAATAGAGTAGAAAATCATGCTAGCGAACTGTCAGGGAAAGCTGACCAAATGTCTGGGGGGTGGTAAATACTTGCCGGATCATCAGGATCACTTGGCTTGAGAACAGACCTTACCTTATGCCTGCCTACCTTGTTTTCAATAGGCAATGTGATAATGAGCAAAATTTTTGATGTAATCTCTACTAAGTGGTAGTTCTATAGAATGATGTAGCTCCTGTATCAATTTCCTTCAGACATTTACACTGGAGAGAATTGAGTCTACTGTTCCTCAGCTCAAGAAAGTTAGGTAAGCTTAAAGCTTTAATATATTTTGATATATGTCTTTGATGTTTTTTTAATTTAAATTTAACTATGATGAACACACACTGCTCAGTTTTCGTGTTATTATAATCATGGTAGTTCCATTTTATTCTTCTTTTAGGTTCTGTTTTATATTTGTTATCATCCATCACACTCAGAAGGCTCCTTAACCTTTAACTCCTAAGATCTGCATATGAATTCTCCCCTCTAGCTGCTACACATTTCCTTGTTTGTGTTACCCTTTTGCTGGATATTATAGAGAGAAATAATATGTTAATCACTTCTGGGAGTTGAAGGGTTAAATGCATATTATGATATAAAAATACTACAATAGCTTATTAATAAAAGTAGGTAATTACAAACTTTTCAAGGGTTAAAAGTCAAATCCTGCCATCATCAATTGTTGGTTACAGATCAATCCTCAAGACAGCTGTAGTTAGAATTCTTCTGGATGGTTGATTCCTCAGATCCAAGGGCAAATAATCTGACAAGATGAAGATGAAACTCTGTTTTCAGCTGGATATGAAAGTTTCTGAAGTACAGGCCAACTTTCATATCCAGCCAAACCCCTGTTTTATCTTTATCTTGACGGATTTTTATCCCCTGGGTCTCTGAGTACATGTATAGTTCCATTGAAATAAATTATTTTTTTTAACATGTGGATGCTTCGTTATTGTAAGGTCATCAAATCAGTCAAATAAACCTGTGAAGCTTCCTGTTACTCCGTCAACTGCAACTCTCACAAAAACACAGAAAAACAAGACCAAGAATAAAAAGAAACCAGTGGAACAAAAAACAACTAAACAGTCTGTGTCTCCTGCCAAGAATACCAGCATACCTGCCCCCTCTAGCTCACAGGTAACAGGTTTTGCTTGTAGCCTGAGGTACATTATCATTTGCTGAAATTATATTCTGGAAAAATAAAAAAAATTAATTTGTGCTTCAAGAATATTTCTGTGTCAAATTCACCGCATAAAGTTATTTTTACTTAATTTTTTTGCTTGATTTTTGGTGATTATTTTTCACTTGGTTGTCAGACTAAAATGGGAAAAATCAACTGCTTGTGACACACCTATTGTGAGTAGTGTAATGTTGGTTAGATTTTATTGCCAGTTCATGTAGTTGGTTGCTGCATGGCGTTCAAGGTTTCTGTTAATTTGAATTATTTTATATTAATTTAGACTTATTTAATACATCCAACGAACACTTGTGTCTGTTATATAATTGTTGGATATGAAATTGTTTGATTGCATTGGAGGGATCATTTACCCTTAAACTTTAAGTGTGACTAGTATATAATTGCTCTTTATTTAATAATATCACCCCTGAATCACACATTAATGTCACAAGATGGATGGAAAAGATCACCAACATAAGAAGCTCCTGATTGTTAAGCAAACTCTCCATGTCGGCACCTTAGGGAATGTGTTGAGACTAGTGTGGAGAGTATGAATACTGATGCTTGGGCGTAAAGGGTCAATGTTCTTTTTTTTCTTTTATTTGTTTCTTTTATATTTATCTTTTCTTGCAATACTATTTATTTAATTTTTAATTATTTTTTGTTTCGTTTTTTCTGGTCATTTTGCTAAGGAGGTGAATACCATACCAGAAGAAGTACCATTACCGGCTGAAACAGAATCTGGTTCTTCGTCTTCCAGTGATAGTTCAGATGTGGAAAAAGATGGAAATGAGGATGATGACGAGTTTGATGACAAAGATGTTGAAAAACTGAACAGTCTTGTCACCAGTGTAAGTTTGATACTCTTGTTCATCAAATATTCATTGTTGAAATATTTTGATCATCATTATTAAGTAAATGATTGTTTTATTCTTGGAAGAATATTGTATTTCAGGTTTTATCTTTCTTACCTCTTATCCTGGGGGCATGGTTTCCTTAATTTTTTTTTTTTTCGGTACTTTACATGTCTGTATTCATTTAATGAGTCATGCAATTTTCATGCTTGTTTATTCATTTGTTTTTGCATCATTTGATCCGGTGTAGACTTTTTTGGTTTGCTCTTTTGTTTGATAATAGCTCAGATTATGATTAGTTAAAGTTTAGTTTTGAATTTATCATGAATTAAACAATTATTAATTAGCCATCTAAAATAAGTCATGAGTCATGAACCTTCCATTTTCTCTTGCAATCTTCCTCAACTAGATGGATGAAAAAGAGTTTGCAACAAAGAAGGAAGGTTTTAACACACTCTGTAAGTATTTTTAAATTATTTTTATTGCATAATCAAGTGATCCTTTTTTAAGCTTGCATAGGAACTGAGGTACCGGTACTGGCATGCATTTTACTTATTTGCTATTTTTACTTGATTTGATGTATTTTTCTCTATTGGTTATTTATTTATTTTGTTCTTTTTTGGGATATTTTTGGTGGAAAGGGTTGGAAAGGGGAAGCACAAAACAATGGATTTATTACATTACAACAGCATGACCAACACAGTGAAACAACATGAATGAGATATGAAACTTGTGGTGTAATGATTCATATTCCTTGCAATTCAATTCAATTTTGATTATTGCCTTTTGATTTCAATTATTAAAATTCGATTATGCAAAATCCTAATTTTTATTTAATTCTTATAACATGATACACAATGTTAACAACATACAACCGTATACCCTTAATTTGAAGATACACCATACAAACCTGAGGTAACCTAATCACACTGAAACAATTATTTTAATGGTAAGCGGGGGATGTTAAATAACCCATGCACTTCTTGTAAAGGGAAGTGAATGTAGCTCCTGGTTTTGTGATCTGATCATTTTTCCAAAGTTCACAAATTGGGTGCATCTCCCAAATTTCTTGTGGAAAGAAAAGTAAACTGCTCAATGTGGTCTGGCTTAGGTCCTCTGTAAAGTGTTGTAAAGTGCATTAGAGCTTATCGATATTGAGAGTGTGCCATCTGCTGGTAAAAACATAATTATCATCACTATCATTCTAATTTTTTATCTGGTTTTAATAATCACAATCGACGACACTAGGAGCAGGCATTTCATTTGTTCAGTGTTATGTTACACGATATGCAGCAGGTGTAACAAAGTCGGAAAGATATAGAAAAACCTGCTTGGAATTAAACTAACAAATTACACAAAAAATTAATTTTTTCTGACTTCGTCTACTATCTTATTATTTGGTGTATATTTTCTTGAGTTATTATCAAGACGTTGCAAAATGTAAAATAAGTTCGCTAGCCTGTGAGTAGACCCTCCTTTTAAGTGCTTCGGTGCCTCCTTCATCCATTTTTATGGGTTTGATTTGTTTGCTCCAAAAAAAACAAACAAACAATATATAACAACAAACCAAATTAAATAGAAATTAATCAATCGTGTTAATCGTAGCCGTTTTGCTTCATTGATGATGTCAGAACTTATGAGTCCTCTTTGTTCCATTGCTTTGAAAACCTTTAATCCGATCCAAGCATCCAGAGCAGCGTATTCAATCTGCTCCAAGGTCAGCGGAAAGTTTTCCCAGTTGCTTCTTGTCACCCGCTTACTCTTTGCAAGTGTGATACCAAGAAAACGTTCCGCCAATGCCTTTAATCCAATTTTTTGCGTAGATGAGGAATGAGACTTTGCCACGTCTTGTGTATCGACGATTCCATGGCACACCAAGCCTCGATCTCTTCTGAGCTTAGACACATCTTGCTTTATAGCACTACCGACTTTCAAGACTGTGGCGTCTTTTAGAATTGAGACAAGCAGATTTGGCAATTTACTCATGTGATGAAGGTGCAGCACTAAGCAGGATGTGTCGACTCCCAGTTGAAGAACGGCAGTCTTGTTCTCGATGCCTCCACGCTTCTTGCTTACGAACTGAGGCTTCCACTCCATGTCGAAGCCAACGGCTGAAGCTGAACAATCTGTGATGTGTGTTCTCAACCAGGTCTCAGCTTCGTGTACGTTTTTTGTGTAAACGACCTCGACTCCTGCAGCTTCGGCAGGTTGTGTTAGCTCATGTTTTGTTGTTTCCACACGAGAGAACTGCTCGGTGGATGGATCAGGAAGATGTGTTTTTTTTCGCGGCTGCTCGGTAACCTGTAGGCTTCGCCGTGAGATAACGGTGTGCGGGAAGCTGCCAACACACTTGGTGTGGCTGGTGTCTCCCTGTATCTGACGATGCCTTGTTTGTGTAGTCATACCAAGGTCCTTGCTATCCGCCATTTTGGTTGCTAAGAAACTAGTTACAAATGCGCTTGTAGTAAGGTGAAACACATGTGCCCCTAATTCTAGCACAATTTGTTCATCACGCGTTGTTTGAGCAGGCCGAAGGCTCAGGTCGCAAAGGAGGCAGGGTTACTAAGCTAGTTTTCAACGATTGTTTGTTGTGGTGAGCGTGAATAGGGTCGTTAGAAACTTTTGGAAGAAAACTGCGGCTTAGCGTCGGTTTCAATTGGAAAATTGAGTTGGTAGTGAATTGAAATGAAACTACAGTATGTGTGCTTGGATTCTGCGTTGGATTTGTGGCCGCCCGGCCGGGACATAGCGGGGCATTTGACAAGCGCTCACTTCTAATGTTACAAAGTGCCCCACACCCCAAGGTCAGGTTTTTCCTCTAATTGAAGCTAACGACCCCGCTCACATCTCCCGCTCTTGTTGAGTGGAAGGCACAGGCTAATGTAAATGGTTTAAACTTTATTTGTCACTTCTTTCAACAGCATTTGCAAGTCTAGACTTCCCTCTTCAGAGATACACATCACGTGTCTCCTCTCGCCAAACTCGACAAGCACCCACACAAAATTTGCATCAATGAACAACAGTTTTGTAGCACTATCACGAACAATACAAGACTTTAATTCAGACCTATCCGTGTACAGACCTATCCATGTACAAAGTATTTTTTTAAATATGCACAAGAAGATAATATAAACACCTGATGACATGCTTGATCGGTCAAGTGATTCTCAGAATAACTTACGAGTAAAAATTGTGACAAAAGATCTTTGTTCACAAAACAATCAATTATATTTATGTGACGGCATACTCAGCCGAAGATATGAGGTGATTGAGATAAAACGACTCTTACCTACTTTTCATGGCCAAAAGCCGCCATCTTGCCGGACTAGCGATTCTTGACCTAGTCCACCTCGGTGGAAAATACCCCGGTCCACTCCCCCGCTGTTCTTGGATGACGTGCAAAAGAGGTCAAAGTCCCCGATACCTGCGGCCCTTTCGCTCGTCAAATAACGGAAAATTCCCCACAAATGTCCCGCTGTGTCCCGGCGAGGGGGGGGGGTGCGGGGGTTTACATTGACTGGTGCATAGCTTCTCCCAATAGTATCCACACGTTATCCAGCAAACAGGTAATGAGATTACTCAAACTTATCGGGTACAAGATTTGATCTTGATTGAACACCAAATTCTCGTAATCAATTCACAAGGAAATGTGTAGCAGCTAGAGGAGAGAATTAGCAATCAGATCATGGAAGTTAAAGGGTTAAGAGCGGTTGTAAATGTTCCCCGCATACAAACTCTTATAATTTCGCCATGACTCCTATTCCACAAGATGATCATCTCACAGCTGGAGCTTAGGCTGCCTGTGGGTGAAAGTGTGAAAGTAGGAGTGGTTCTTTGTGTAGTTTTCGGCTCTGGCGGCAGAAGTGATCACGACAAAGAGATTGGATATTATTGAATACCATCAGTTATAAAAAATAAGTCTGCCTTCGAAGAGGAGACAACAACAACAGAGAGGAAAGAAAAGTGGATACAAGCGAAGAGTAAAAGTGATGCCTGGGCAAAATGAGGTTCTCAAGAGCAAACAGGTATGCTGCAAGCATTTTGTCTCTAGAAAGCCATCTCCTTACTGGCACAAGCATGATGTAGATTGGGTGCCAACTTTAGAGCCCGGAAAGAAAAGTTATGGCCGTGAGGTAGACTAAAGCAAAAGCAAAGAGGCAAGAAAGAGCAAAGAAAAGAGAGAAACATGCTATTGAGCAACAGGAACGTGAATAGCTAAGTACCAAGTACCTCCACAGAAGAGGGAAAAACTGTAGAAGAAGGAAATAAACATTCCATTTCTGATGATCTTGCGACATGTGATGAAGGCAGTGAAAGGACTGGGCAATGTTTTTTTGAAATGCTGTATGACTTTCAGACGCGCCTTTTCTGCCAGCATGATGGCTAAAAAATCTCGACCCACTAGTTTGATCCCTTATGTTGAGTATTACTTTGTTTATGTTTTCATCAGAATTATCCAATGTCTTTTCAATACATTTTGATAGTAGTTTTGGATAATCAAGATCAACATTTCCCGCATCAAATAGGTCGGTAACAATCGGCAGTGAGTGGCTTTCATCGATAAACTGGTCAGCATAGAGATCGATAAAGCTAAGAGCAGCAGCTTTAATTTTCTAGGTATTTAGCTTCGCGTACACAGCCTGCATTTCATCTTCTGATGGAGACGCGACGGGCGAAGTTTGATCGCCTTTTCCGCTGAGCCTTTCTGCTGTTCCCCGAATTTGGATGTAGTGAGTCGATTCTTTGGTCCAGCGTCTTTTTTAAGCTTTTTCGCAGACGAAAAGTCGATATCCTTCACCTTCGAGTGCGGCACTTCTGTAACATAAGTTGGGAGAATCCACGTGCAGTTGGTTTGAGTACATGCGAGTTTCTCTTGGATTCTTGTCCCTGCTTCGATAAAGAATAGTACACCCGCTACGTCTGAGCGGGATTCGGCAAGGCCTGCCTTGCAGCTTAAACGAGATTTCAAATCCCGGACAGGCCTGAATCTTTTTCAGGCCTTATTTTCACTACTGCTCAAATAGTGTTCATTACTGGGAAGATTGCTTTCATATTCACATATTTATTTGCATGAAATTTCACGGCTGAGATGGGCACCAACATGGCGGCCCTTAATTTGCATAAATGTATGACGTCAGCTGCATACCGAGAATATGCACTTGTATCTCTGCGGAAATTCCCATCAACGTTTTGCGTCCCAACTCCATGAAGTTGAGGGAACTGGCGTTAAAACGCGAAATGTGGTACGAAGCTTAGATCTGTGCAAATAAGTTGTTTCGGTTCTCCGTTTTGACAGAGCGATCCGTTTGATTCGCTCTTGATGGGTATCGAAGTCACTTCACAAGTTGTCCGGAGTTGGCCGCTTCCTCGCTCGCCTTAAAAAATACGAAGAAGACATTACTGATAGGCAGATTCAGTGATCGACTCAGATCTCAGATGCAGTTTTTTTGCCGGATAAGGTGAGGATAACTCTTCTCTAGGCGCGGAATCTATTCAAAATGTTGCTTTAGCGAGCAATATTCATACAACAGAACGGTACTCTCGGAAGCTAGTTTGTGAGACTTGACTCCTCCTTCGAAATTCGGACGTGATGTACAACAGGCGATTTTCATAAATATTCGACTAAGACACTGGTGAATGCTTATTATCTGAGTTGAAGGGGAATACTTAGTTGAAGAGGACGCTGATTTCTTCTGATTGGTCGAGAGCATGTAGTCAATTTGTGAAAGGGGCTCCGAGTTACTCAACTCGGAAAATGTAGTTTTCACCTTAAACACGCGATTTTTCATACAAAGAACTGATTTTTACAGTTCACCTTTGGAGTGACTAAAAAATTATCAAGTTCAGGCACAAACCGCTTCGATTGTCTACGATGTGATGCAAAACAAGAAACGTAGGAGCGGTTAAAGTTTATTGACAGACTGATTAAATTCAACTATCTTATGTAAATAGTGGCAGCTCGATCGATCAGTAACACTTCAACTGACGAAAATGAGCATGTGCTTTTCTGAGATAAAATAAAGCTCGTTTAATTCACTGCCTCATATCTTTATTTTCTATCAGTCAAAAAACACTTCTCTCTCAAAATGTGTTCTGAAGTATTTTGTTCCGAGGTAAAATACTGATCTTGGTTTATTATCATATGCAAGTTCACATATGATCGGCGCGTTACAAATGCAAATTTTATTGAGCGCCGTAACTCTAGGAAACCATGGATTTATTACATTACAACAGCATGACCAACACAATGAAAAACTTGAATAAGACATAGTTAGTAGAGGAGACTACTAACTATGAATAAGACATGAAACTTGTGGTGTAATAATCCATATTCCTTGCGATTCGATTGAATTTCGATTATTGCCTTTCGATTTCGACTATTTCAATTCGATTGTGCGAAATATTAATGTTCCTGTAATTCTTACAACAGGATACGCAGAGAAATAAGCATACGACCCTAAACTCTTAATTTGAGGATACACTGTACTATACTGATGTAAATTAATCACACTGAAACAGTTATTGTAATGGTAAGAACGGGATGTTAAAGAAAGCTAACTTTGCAAAGCATCACCGTTCTCTATGGGTCACAAGTTTTTTGTTGAGTGGTTTATGTTGTCTTTTTCTGCTCGTGTGCATGGTGGACTTTTTGCTTCATCAATGATGTCAGAACTTATGAGCCCTTACTTTGTTCGATTGCGTTGAAGACTTTTAATCCGAGCCAAGCATCCAGAGCAGCGTATTCGATCTGCCTTAAGGTCAGCGGGAAGTTTTCCCAATTGCTTGTTGACACCCGCTTGCTCTTCGCAAGTGTGATGCCAAGGAAACGTTCCGCCAATGCCTTTAATCCTACTTTTTGCGTAGACGAGGGATCGAGAGACTTTGCCACGTCTTGTGTATCGACGATTCCATAGCACACCAAGCCTCGATCTCTTCTGAGCTTAGACATATCTTGCTTTATACCACTACCGACTTTCAAGACTGTGGCGTCTTATAGAATTGAGACAAGTAGATTTGGCAATTTACTCATGTGATGAATGTGCAGGACTAGGCAGGATGTGTCAACTCCCAGTTGAAGAACGGCAGTCTTGTTCTCGGTGCCTCCACGCTTCTTGCTTACGAACTGAGGCTTCCACTCGATGTCGAAGCCAACGGCTGAAGCTGAACAATCTGTGATGTGTGTTCTCAACCAGGTCTCAGCTTCGAATATGTTTTTTGTGTAAACAATCTCGACTCCTTCAGCCACGGTAGGTTGTGTAAGCTTATGTTTGGTTGTTTCTTTTGTCATGGGAGAGAACTGCTTGTTGGATGGATCAGAAGGATGTGTTCTTTTTGCGGCAGCTTTGTAACCTGCGCGCTTCGGTGTGAGATATCGGTGTGCGGGCGGCTGTGCACGCGCTTGGTGTGGCTGGTGTCCTCCAGTATGTGACGATTCCCTGTTTGTGAGTTCAAACCAAGGACTTTTTCCTTGTATTTCCTTGTATTTGACTTCGTGTGCCTGCTCTGTCCTTGAAGATTCCATGTAACATGCACTTGTATCTCTTCGCGGAAATCCCGATCGACGTTCTGCGTCCCAACTCCATGGCTGGTTTTTTCCATAATCTGACGGTGACCAGTTTGTGTAGTCATACGAAGGACTTTTTCCTTGTATTTGGTATCTATCTCCGTCGTGTGCCTGCATTGATCTTGAAAATTCCATGTAATATGCACTTATATCTCTGCGCGGAAATTCCGATTGACTTTCTGTGTCCCAACTCCATGATGTTGAGGGAACTGGCGTTAAAACTCGAAATGCGGTACTGGGCTTAGATCTGTGCAAATAAGTTGGTTTGTTTGTCCGTATTGACGGAGCGATCCTTTTGATTTCCTCTTGGTGGGTATCAAAGTTCTCCGGAGCTGGCCGAAGACATTGAAGAATGAATGAAGACATTGCTGACTAGCAGATAAAGCGATGGACTCTGATCTCAGATGCAGTTTTTTGCCGGATAAGGTGAGGATAAGTCTTCTCCAGGCGCAGAATCTATTCGAAATGTTGCTTTAACGAGAACGGTATTCTTGGAAGCTAGTCTGTGAAACTTGATACGTCTTTCCAACCCGTTTCAATATTATTTTTCTTTCTGCCTCGTGACACCCACGTGATGTGCAACAGGCGATTTTCATAAATATCTGTCAAAGACACTGGTGTTTGCTTATTATCTGAGTCGAAGGGGAGCACCTATCTGAAAAGTCTGAAGAAGGTGTTAATTTTTTGTTTGTTTCAGTTGTTTCAGTTGTTGCCATTTTTCATGCTAGGAGCTGATTTTTACAGTTCACCTTTAGAGTGACCCAAAAATTATCAAGTTCGGGCACAAATCGCGTCGACTGTCTACGATCAGATATAAAAACAAGAAGCGTGGGAACAGTAAAAGTTCATTGGCTGACTGATTAAATTCAATTATCTTTGGTAAACAGTGGCGGCTAGATAGATTGGTATCACTTTTATGAAAGAAAATGATCATGTGCATTTCTGAGATAAAACTAGACCCTGTGAGCAGGGTAACTGGGAGACCTGGATGGTACTGGATCCTTAGAATCAAGTGTAGTGATACTACGGGTGTCGGACTAGTATACTGAAATAGTGCGCTCAAGTCTGGCCAAGGGCATACACCAATTTCAAAACATAGGCATGCTATGCATGCAAGAATTACTTTTTTGTGCGGTGGGTGGATTACTTGAAACATTGTGAGTGATGTCTGCATTCTTACAAAAGGAGAGAAGAATATTAATGTGGGAAAGAACGAAAATGTCGAATTACCTCACTCACAGGTATTTTGTGGTGGATTATTTGTGTTTCGCGAATAAATGTAACCAAAAATTAACTGTATTGGTGCCACGGATACCTGTTAGTACATAATGCAGACAGCAGACTGCAGACCTACTACAAAGTATTAGTAATAATAATGCAAAGTGGGTACAAAATGCAGACTAAGACTATGAAGAGTTTTTACGTCTAGTATATAATAACATGTCATCTTACAGCTTACCGAGCGTCACGCAATCGTTTTTCTGCGATCCGCCTTCACGATTATTTGCACTATTGTGAGATATTCCTGGCCCATTTCTTGATGAAAATCGATCGCAATATTATTTCAAGCCTTCAATATAGTCTTCTTAATTTGCGCGCGAGTTGGTTGGTGTGATGTCTGTACAGATTTTACCAACGTAATAAAAGTAGATGACGTGAATAACAGTGATGGTAGAGCAAGCTTAAAACGGTAGTAATCGCCAGAAAATACAACGGATACACAGGGTATGAGTAAGTTTTATTGATTTTACGAGAAAAATGTTCATATTTCGAAATATGTATCGTTGTAAATCGATCATACTTCACAACGCGTGACGCGTTCATGAATTAATCGTTGGCTTTTTCTCGAGACGTGACCTTGGGCTGCCTGTGACAAGACAATTGCGTAAACAATATTTAACATAATATCATTATACACAAAAAAACACAGGGTTTTGGATCACGTATATATTAAAAAAGAATATCCATACAACTACAATGAAAACAAACATAAGATTCATAAGATTCGTGAAATTAATACCATTCGTACTGTTGTCGTGGCCACGTTCCTTACCATCAAGTGAATCCAACATGTCGTCTTTCTTCACAAGCAGTTTGCATCCATTATAGTTATGTTCTTCAGTCTCACGGTAGTAGTGTTGTTCAATAGATTGCATAGAGTATATGCAGTTTGGTTTCAGATTTCAGATTTTGCTTTTTACAACAATTGAACGTTTTTCAACTAAGACATTGGCATACTTAGCATACAAGGCATTCAAGGCTTTCATGGCTTTCAAGCGTTCGCGACTCAATCTGTTCCAAAATTACCGCTCAATAACATCTTTCAGTGTGGATTAGCCGCGATTAATACGACTTGTACATGCGTCTGTAAGTATTTTGCGCGTTTGCGCCATAATGCTCCAGGAGATCGCAATCCAAATACGTTGAAATACAAAATAAATTACCAGAGTTTTATAAGCAAAATCTCGTGATTCGTCCCTGTCTGACCTGGCCAATCATCATCAAGATAACGCGTGTCAGCATGACAACACTCAATCACATCATCAAGGGATAACACGCGTGATCAGCATGTGAACACCTCATTGGATCACAGTTAGTTGTCATGGTGTTGAGGGCCCAATGACCTTTGGGTATTCGTGGGAGTTAAATCGCTAAAGTTATATTTGGGAAAATGGTTTGTTTTTGTTACTGGTATCCCAGTCATCATAGTTTTTACTACTCTTATCATCACTCATTCTATAATCTTTTGGAAATTGCACGATATGTTGATTAGTCTCAATTTGATTGACATTTTATATGTTGTTATTGCTTTATCTTATAAACTATAGAAATTAACGGTTTAATATCGACTAACGTTGTATTGGAATCGTAAAATCAATTGAATTAAAGGTCTTACATCCTGGTGAAAGTTTCTTATAGTCAGGTCTTATTTCATTATCCCAAAACAGGCTGGTTTCCACCACCAACAACAACAACTAAGGTCTTACATCCTTGTATTTAATCGTAATCAGATGAACAAAAACAAAATAATTAGGAAAACAAAATAGGAACACCAATGGAATTGGACACAGAATGGCTCTCGTCTCTTGTGATCCAGTAGAAACTTGATTGTTGGCCAGAAGTCACAAGGACCTGGAGATCTTGAGACTTGGCCCTGTTATTCGTTGTTTCTTCCGAACTGGCGTTCCAGCTGATAATTCTTTCGCGCTCTTACGAATACGACTCCGACTCCGACTCCGACTCCGTTGATAGCGAAAACTGGTTCGCCTGTTTGAAAAGATTGATTGTTTGTTTGTTTTTTTTTTAACAGGCGAAGATCTTCAGCTGAGTGAGTCTGGGAGCGATAGTGATTGACAAGGCGATTCAGCGGTGTCTATCTAATAGGATTCATAGGATATTTTAATATAATTTTGACAAGAACGTTTCCGCCTTGTGGACGTCAATCAGTGGCGGATTTTTCACCTACTGACTCTGTAAGAATATCGAGGGGATGGTTTTTGGAAACAATTATCAGGTAGTTTTATCCGTAATATTCAGCGATAGTTCTCGTTTCTGATGGTTCTTCCGTTTCAAAGTTCTCTACAGGGTCTTGACACAGAACGATTTAAAAACGAAAAAATACCCGTTTCTTTACAACGGCGATTTGAATTTAGGGCGTAAAATCATTTATTCAGTCATGAATATCTTAACAGACAGCTAACTGAATATTGATAACCAATGAGCGCTCGAAAAAATTCTTGCTCATAATTCATAGAGGGTGCCATCTTTATTCCAAAAATTCTGCACCGTTTCTTGTCTATTCCTCAATTAATCAATCAATCAATCACGCCACAAACACAGTCAGACGTAATGTGTCGTACTTGTGACTATTCTGAAACAGGTTTATCCCTCAAACAACAATATTGCAAAATAGAACAATAATCACCCTACTTCCATATTCTATACCCTTTACTGTGCTGGCCCTCACTACCGCGCCACAACCTTACATGCCCCTTCGAAAGTTGGTCCATTAACTCCCAAGATCTGATTGTTAATTCTCCCCTCTAACTGCTACACATTTCCTCGTGAATTAGTTATGAGAATTTAATGGTAGATCAAGAACTTCAACCTGATAAGTTTAAATATTCTCATAATATAAAGAGAAGTTGCATGTTTATTAATTAAATGAGAGTCAAGGGGTTCAAAGACTCTTGTACTTTGACCCGCTTTGCTTTTGCAGCGCACACATACTCTTCAGTCAACATTTTTTTTTTTCGAATACAGCTGTAAAAAATGTATTTAAGCATTAAGGAGCAGTACACGGACCTCACTTTAGTGAACGACGCGGACTGGGCTTCGTTTTCAGACTGTTTAGCCCTAACCTGCGAACAGGCCCCTTATTGTTAATGCTTCGGCACGAACCGTTTCTTCGTCCACGTGAAAGTAGCAGGCCTTGAGCGAAGAGAGCCTGCGAGAGGTCCGTAAGGGGTCTGTTCTGATTACTAAAGCCAGACTCCCGGCAAACCTCTCCCCGACTTGTCTCGAATCTTCTTGCGGTCGGAGAAGCGTTCGTCCTGGGGCGCTATTAGTAATGATGGGGTAATTTGATATTATCTACAAAGTTGAAACGTAAATCGGCCACCCTAAAGAGTTTAAAGGCTGATCTTTCGATCGTTAGCCCATCGTCAGAGCGGTTGAAGGGCTAACGCTCGAAACGTCGGCCTTTAAACTCGTTAAGGTGGTCATTTTACGTTATCAACTCAGTTGATAATACCAAATTGCCCTGTTATACTCTCCCACCGACGCAGCGCCACAGTTTCTTCATAAACTTAGCCCCTTTATTCAATAGTACTGACGGCCTGCTCACAGGCTAGTTTAGCTCACACAGCTGAAAATCGAGCCCATGTAAGTTCAGGACAGCTTGTAAATATTTGAAAACAAATACGTAAGAAAACAAATGTAGACATGTAAATTTAACTATAAGCGATGAAAAATATTAAAGATGTTCGAGAACGTGCGTCGTGTTTCTGGACAATTTTCCAATCCAAGGTCTATTAACTAAAATCTTCCGGTGGACGAAGGAAGCCCTTCTCATGACGGCCTGTCAATCACATTTATTGGTTTCTTTTTTTTCTGATTTTCGTTACAATTATATTTTTGTGCTTTTGTCGGTTAGCTGGTTTGTTTATTTGGTTGATATTGTAGTTAGGCTGACACCATATCACATATTCACTTATAAATAATATAACAGAAATTTTATGTTATCTCACTTCAGTTAAGACCAGCGCATTACGTGTTAATTCTCTCTTGCGGAAGCTTTCTTTCACTAACGAGCGCCGTTTGTTTCTATTGCTGTTGTTGTTGTTGTTTCGAACTGTTTATTTTCATTAAAAAACAACACCAATATTGTTTTCTGGTCGGACTTATGGGTAAAAAAATATGACAAACACGTTTAAGTATTCAAGAAAGTTACTCTCTTGGGAGAATTTGGGCTCGTTTCGTTACAAGGATGGGAGTGAAAGTCAATCCAGAGAGGTAAGATATTTTGGAGTCGCTTGACTTCTAAGTACCATTTTCCGTTTGCACCTGTTTTTGCTGGATTAGTTTTACTTTGTTCAGTAACAAAAATTAAAGCAAAATTTTGCATGACAAGGGTTTCAATAACCTTTTTTTCCTAAGCGGTTGCCGGCCGGTTATGTAATAAGCGGCTGATCTCGGAAAAGAACCCGAAGGTGAAACACGAGAGTCTGCGAAACAGACGGCGGTAAGGGGTCATAAAGGCGGCGGTAAACCGCCTGTAACCGACTTTTATTGAAACCCTTATAATGCCACTGAAGATGCGGGGCTACTGTTAACGCACAATATGAATCGCAGCTACTAATTCTGCCAAATTTCTGTAAAGATATTTTAAAACAAACTCGTCGCACTCGTTTGTGAGCAGTAAGTTTTCTCGGCCCGTTTAGATGGCCCCAAATATTGATCAATGAATTGATTGATGCAAACAAAACGGTTTTTAGAAAATGCAAATTTCTAATGTAGCAGCAACAGTTGGAACTTCGACCCCACGCTGTTTGAATATTCACATCTATTCCATGCTAGACTGATCATCATCAAGTACCTGAACAAACAGAAGCACTTTTGGTGAATTGCTTTCAAGTAAACATTGCTTTGAAACCATTTAAAAGGTTTTATAGACAGATGGTGAAAGCGTTTGTTTATTGGTCAACAGGAGCACTCGCATTTACGAGGTGCACTGTTGATGAATCAAATATTTATGAATTACGATCAAGTCTGTCTTTGTTTATAATCGAAAGTGTACGCTCGCGTTACCCTAAGGTCTGAATTAACATAAAGTTCTCGAGTGAAATTTAATAAACACTAGCAATATCTTGTGTGCGAGATTGGAGATTGTAAACATGTATTCTCCTTAAAGGCGCCAGCTTAATCACCTTTTGTTCGATTTTAAAGGAGTATTCTAATGGATAAAATATCGCCACAGAAAAAGAGCGCGAGAGTACGGAAAACTTCGGCGAACAAGGGATTTTGGGCCCAGAAAGCGACTCGAGAGGCAAGGAATGTCATAGACGCATTTGAAAACTTACTGCGAGAGAAATCAAGGCAACAGATCTTTGGAGCAGGAGTGGCGATCGCTATAACCCTGATTATATTTTTCTACTCTTTGTATATTGGAAATTATCTTATTGCTTTGATAGTGATCGCTGTTTGGGTTGCAACATGAAAACGACCCCGTCATCATATCTTTGTTGAGGTTGGAAAACAGCGTTGCTTCGACCAAAAGCGGAAAAACTTTCGTGTGCCTCGAGCAGAACATTGTCGACAATTAAGAATAAATTATCACGATTGACTTGAGTGAAGAATGAACAAAGACCACGAGTTTTCCGTGAGAATAATGACTTTGGAAGCTTTTGATCTCGACGAATGGAAGATAGCGAGCGAGAGGTTGCCTCTTAATTATAAAACGATAGATTTGCAGATTTGAAAAAAACAAAAGCAAAACAAAACAGTCGTAATGTCGCTTCAAGAAGAGGTTCATCCCAGCTTGATGAAATTCATTCCGTTGAATACCTGGATCATATAGAGACACCCGTGTAAATATTGTGGCAATAAACTTGGAAGATTTTTAGGAGATTCATACGACAGTTTTAGTGAACCAGCGTCAGTGCATTCTTTGGATTGTATGCTATTCCCGAAATAGACTGAAATATTTGAAGAAAATGTATTTGGAAAAATCAGTTTAAAGTCGGGGTCAGCTAATGCAGGCGAAAGGTTCAACTTAGATGCAATTTTACAATGTAAAATAACTATTGATGGAGAATTAAGGTTTGTTCATTAAGGATGATCAGTACTTTTACTGCACCGCAGCGCTTTGCGGGGAGTTTTTCGCTATTGTTGCCCGCAAATACCAGTAATACTGCACGCTCTTTAAAATTTAGCTGGTTCACTTAGCACAGTGAGAAACTGAATACAAACCCTCAAGACGGTTGGTTTAATTGTGAGGTGCAAATGGGTCTGAAAAGAAGGGTGGAAATGTTATTGTTTTGAGACCGTTTAATGGTACAAAGCCTTTTTAATTTTTAGCGAAAACACAGGGTGTTTCTTTGGGAAAAGAACTAAAATAAAAACATCCAACGGTAGATAGATGGTGACGGATTTTTCAAACCATTTTTTTTTTTTTTATTAGTTTTTCTTACACCTGCATGTGATGAATGTTGGTGGAAAATTTGTCATATGCAAATAATTTTTCATGTAGGCATTAAAATGCCATTTTACCATGCATGAAGGAGAGGATATTCACTGTTAAGGGAGCGTAAATTTATGAATTTGTGCATTTGCATATTTTTTTGTCTGCTCTTTTTTTTCGGCTGAAACTATTAAAAGTCTATTTTCCAAACTGGCAAGACTCGAGTCGATTTTGAATCCTTGTTTTTTAATACTCCGCTGACTTCATTTCAATGAAATATTGATCTACTTGGTAATATTGTGCTTAATTAGACCGTAAAGTTATTTGTCTGGCAAACCAAATATTCACGAGGCCGACTGAAGATCACTTAAAGGACAGAAGACTTACAGCTGCACTCTTAATTTACAAAATGGCATAATAAGGGTCTAAGGTTAATTGCCGCATCCGAACCGGGAAAAGTATTGGCAAAATAATTCCTTGATCGGTTTTCGTGTTTATTCTTATGTCTTCTTCAGCGAATCATTCTAAAAAGATTGACCTGGTATAAGGACTGATTAAAAGATGTTTCTCCTCCTTTAAGTTTTAAGTTAATGGTCCATCTCCAAGGGGAAATGCAACTGGAATATATAATATATACCCGTGCGTTTTATTGCATCAGAATTACGTCTTTAAGGAGTACTACGATGCCGGCTGTATTTTTTTCATGAACTGCTTTTTGAACTGAGTGGCTGTTTGTGTATCAGTCGTCCGAAGCAAAGCTTCGATATGAACTGTGCCGTGAGATACGTAAACAGTCATAATTTGCCGGAAGTCAATCTATTTTCCGGTATAGCCTGTTCCATTCTGTCAGTCAGTGGTGTCAAACTGAGGAGCGGGCCAGCGACAAACGCGAGTTGCGTTTGTGGGGAAGGCATTATCCTAACATAGTCTATCTCTAGCTAAACACTAATGGCAATCGTATTGATCATAGTTTTGCATAGAAATACTTACACAGGGCGCAACTTTCCACAAAATAGTTCCGGAAGGATGCATGTTCACAATTCATGTCCATATCGGAGACAAGAAGCCATATGCAGCCATAAAGACCTCTAAAAATGATAACAGCAATCTTCTTTTTTAATCATATTTTATTAATTTTCTTTTCGTTTTCCTTCTACCTGACAAACGAGACTTGCTTATCCTAACAGACTGTTCATCTCCTTTTTGGAACCACTGATTGCACACTGGCCCCATGCTATTGCTCTACATGAAAATTCAAAACAGACAAAAAGATTCATGATCATTGATTGACTCCAATTAAACAATAGAATATCATTAATAACTCAACTCAACACCCTAAGTTAAGCGGTACCTTCAAGATCCGTGAAATCACATGTTAACGTACCTACGGCAAATTGTTTCCTTTCAACTTTTCTTAGATAAGATGTTGTTAAAATCAATTTTGAATTTGAATTACCTCAACATCCGTAGATCTCCATCCTCATCGAGATATGGCTCTGATAGGTCCAAGGATGAATTCTGACAAAGCGAGCCGTTATAGGCGAGCTCAGAAAGTTGTACACGATGGTATCTCGGTCGTTGTTGGCGGAAAAAATCTGAAAGACAACATCCAAGTAACCTGTTATACTTGAACAATTTTTTAGGGAAAGCTAATGTACATTACTGATTGATAATTAACCCTCGCACGTCCATCTTTCAAAATCGACGTAGTTATTCATGTTGTTGTTCTTGCTTGCAAAATTTATTTACTAATTTGTCCATTTATTAAAGAAATTTTAAATTGACTGCTGGAAGTGGTCGGGGATTATTTGACGTTTGCTTTACTTTGCTCTGTGATTGGCCACAAAACTCATGCCACTTCCTCAACCAATCAGATATAAAAGGGAAACCAATCACGTCTTGGTTACGCATGTTTTCCCGCGCTTGAGGCACTCAGGTCGGTTTTACCTTGAGTTCTCATTGGCTCTTGAAATTTTATCTTCCTTTCTTCTGATTGGCCGTTGATATTATTTTGGTTTTAGTTTTTCATGAATTTATTTGAATATCAGGTTGAATTTTAAGAAAGATTTGGTTGAGCTAATTGCCAAGTTACAAGTTTATCGTAATGTTATTGGCTGAAATACTCAAGTAGCATGTTTGCGTTGTGTACGGTTATTAGATACGGTACCGGTCTGCAGTTGAGGGCGTATTAGAGGATCTCATCGTGGTTAACCTTTAGCCGTACAACGGAGAAAAAATTAGCCATTAGGCGTTAAAATTGACGAACTTCAACCGTTAGTCGTGAAAAAAAAGCTAACCGCCAAAACGTTTTCTCTTGATCACAACGGAAAGAAGTTAAACGTTAGACGTAAAATAACCAAAATTTTTCACCGTTAGCCGTAAGAGACATCAACGCAATGAGACCTTCGTATTAGGCCTCACACCCATTTCGTTGGTGATTTCATTGTCTTAAACATAAGTCATTTATTGGGTTTTAGTAGTTGTTAACATTTGTTACAAAATAGTCTGTTCCAAGGCATTGAGCCAAATTTTAGGGTCAGCGTTCAAACAAATCTAAATGGCATAACGGGTTTAAAATTCATTACAGTATCAGCGGAAACGATTATTTGTCGTAAAGATCTGTTTTTCCACTTGATCGTTCAGTTGTAGGAGGTTTGGCACTCAATTACAAGGCCTTTTATCGATGTCACAATTCGTTTCTAACCCGGTATAGTTTCGTTCTGCTCGCCTTAACTTTTGCGGAACATTGTAAAACCATAACTCACCGATGTAACGCATAAAAAATTTACAGATCAAAATCCAACATACTTTGTCGGCGCCTTGCTCTTTGTAAAACTGAAAGGTTGAGCCATCGTTGCTGAATTCTACCTTGTAACTTTTCACCCACTGGGAGTTCCCATTTCTTCCTTGTGTTGCAAGATGTGTCACTTTTCTGACCTTCCTAAGATCTGCTTGAAGCCATTGGTTCTGATTGTTTGCTTTAGCAGACCACCCTCCTTGCTTTCCTCCTCCTGCTTGAAAATTCAGTCGTCCTTGAATGGCTGCGTGGTTGGCATCCCACTGAGATGAAGCAGATATCTGAACATCGGATATGGCGCGACTTTCCATTCCGAGAGGTGAGTGGCACCCTGGGGGAGGAGAAGAGGAGACAAGCAAATAATAGTTCAACGAGTCCATGAAATGCATGTCAATCGTATGCTCTGTTCGACCTGATGAGGGTGGGCCTTAACAGGACTGTTAAAAGTAGAAGTGACTACCGTTTCGACGACCTTAGCACGAATCATCATCGGATCGGAGTCAGTCGAGTGTTAGAAGTCTGATTCGTGAATACTGATTGGTCGGTTTTGTTACGATCTTATTGGCTGGAAAGCGCAAGTATCTTAAGTCATTCGTAATTGGTCAGTTTCTATCCTTCGGTAGTTACAACGCACTGTTTGGTTTTTGCGTTTTATCCATGTCGCACATAAGGCGATCGTTTGGTCCCAGTAGTTTTTGACATCTGTTAAGATGAGCCTTTCCATGTATCTGTCTGGCGATAATCTAATTTGCATTTGGTTATCTAACAGAAAAAATTGCCACGAATTAACATGAAGTAGTAAACGTGTTTCCCAACACTCATCACGTTGACGATAATATTCACCACTTGACACTTTTCCCGGTCTTCACAAAAGTGACAGAAAGGGCCTCTGGGTAAACTTTCATATTTTGGCCCTTGGGAAACATTTTCATGACAACAAGACAGCCCTGACCCACAGTGCTCAGTCTTCGTACAAATATGTAGGATTGCTGGTTAAAGGGTTGATAAAATAATAACAATAGCCAACTCAGACTTGTGATGTATCCCACGGTCTTTAGGCAGAGCACTAGAACACATGTAAGAATCTGGTTTCTGACTGCTGGTTGCTTGCCTTCGCCGACGTCTTTCAGCTGAGTTCCGAAAGTGTATGGTTTCACTATTTGCCCTCCAGTTGGAGCAAATTTGGCTGGCAAAATGAGAGGTGTATTACCCGTTGGTGATTAATTAGGAGTTAATTTTCGAAAGAAATTTATATTTTTGCTATTACTCTGAGGATTTTTAGTGCGGGGGTTCCTCACATTTTCCCGCGCGTGGGTGAATTTGGCTGTTTTAACTCACATTTCTCAGTGGCTCATTATTTTCCTTTGTCCTTATTGGTACCTAAATAAGTCTCTATTTTATCCTAAGTTACCTAAACATCCGTACAGCTCCATCCTCATTGAAATGTGGCTATGCCAAGTCCATGGAATGACCCGGATGTAACGCACCTTCATGGGAAGGGTTAGCTTGTGATATACAACTGTGTCTCTGTCTTTGTTTGCTGTAAAAACCTTAAAAGAGAGGATGCTTATGAAACCACAAAATTTACGTCTACCATTCAAAAGTATAAAAATATTATATCCTGAAATTAAAGGGACTGCGTTTTGAGCTTCGAAAGATTTACCTAACTTGCAAAGATTTTCTTCAAATATGCTGAAAGTTAATTATTGTTTACTATATCGGCGTTCCAAGTGAACGAAAGACGAAAATACATTGGTTTGGACGGGATCTAATTCTCAAATCGCCAGGGCCTGTATGGACAATCCTCAACATCACATTCTTCCTTAATAAGCTTGGGCTTAGACTTAAAAAGTTATTACTTTAGGAGTGGAGCATGAATCAGCGCTGGTTTATGGCCCTACACACAAAAAATAAGACGCTATGATAATGCGCTGCAAATGTTTATATCAACTCGTAGTGCTGTTTTTCGTTTGAACTTAATGGCTTTCGAAATTCAAGATAATCACGCATTTGAAAGCCTGAATCGGTTTTCGTTTCATAGAGCCTACAGGCTGCCATCTGTACGAACTAGAAATTAATAGCTCCTACATAGCTTATCGAAGCGTTTAGAGACACATAATATTTCACTGCCGCATGCCTTGTCTATGTTGCTTCCTGGATCTCTGTAATACTGAAAGGAGCTGTCATCATTGCTGTAGTCTAACTTGTAACTAGTCACCCACTGATTATACGCGTTCCTTCCTTGGGTCCCTATAATTTTAATGTCGCTTTCGGAGCCTAGATCCACTTTGAGCCATTGATTTTGATTGTTAGGACGGGCTGACCAAGCCCCCTGCTTTCCTCCGCCGGCCTTGAAGTGCAAACGCGCCTGAACTGCAGCATGGTTCGCGTCCCATTGAGAAGAAGCTGTTATTTGGGCGTTAGTGATGAAACCTCTTTCCATTCCCAGTGGTTTTTGACATTCTGAGAGAGATGTCAGAGGAATTGCATTAGCTTCAATCTACTAATGGCCAAAGTTTAAAGTTCAATACTTATAATCAACAAGTAATCGGGTACGCGGCGGTCATTACTTTATTAATGATAAATGTAATGATAATAATTCAAAATGAATAATGTATATTTGATCGATGGTTGATTTCCGATTTATTAAGATTCACGGACTATTGGGTTTGCATTTTATTTTGCCCCAAAGTAATGGTTCCATGTTGGAAAGGGGAGAAGGTCATGAAAGAAAAAAAAAAAAGGATAAATTGGTTGCAAATGATAAAGGCAAGGTTGCGTCTGAGTAAAGTGACTCACAAGCCGACGGGGGCCTATCCCTAGCCTCCGTAGCATCAAGGGAACAGGGGTACTGCCAGCCCCCCTTCCCTGGAAGGGACACCAGTCCATTACAAGTTACTCCCTTCCTCCACAGTCATGATTTCGTCAGGCTTCCTTGAAAGTTCGCCAGCACCCATTCACACTCCTGGGTTAGGAGAAGCACCATGGAAGTAAAGTACTCCGCCCATGCAAGAACACAACACAGTATCGCGGTTGTAAACGTTGAGCTAGAAAAATTTGATCTAATTTTGCTGAATGCCTCAATCGTGATCTAGATCACTTGTTTACCTGCAACCTGAGTTTTGGATCGTATGGCCTGTATTTGCTCCTGTGATAAGGCTACATTATAGACCTGCATCTGAGCAATCCTTCCCTTGAAGAACCTTCCGTCTCCTATTTTTACTCCCATTCTGACACTATCCTGAGTGGCTAGGAGAAGATTTGTACCAATATTCAATTTCTGGACCTCGTTCCCGTCAACCCACAATCTTGCGTCGCCAGATGAGCTGTCATACGAAGCACCAACGAACTTCCATCCATCCTCTGGTTTCAGTTCAGTGTGTAGCAAGGCGTTTGTAAATGAATAATCTCTTTTAGTAAAGCGTACAAAAAGTTTGCCGGCGACAACCCAGAGATGGACTCCCCAACTTCCGGTATTCCTGTAGTTGAAGAGAGGACCGTCCTGGCCTCCCGGAAATAACCAACACAGCATCGTCATGGAGTTCTTGGCATCCAATCCTGCACCATTCGGGAACTCAATGTAGTTGGTACTAGTTCCGAGGAATTCGTAAGAGCTGTCAATATTTCCATCCGGTCCGGGAGCAGTATAAACATTACTGGCAACTCCAGCCTCTAATCTGTCTCGAATTTCCTTGGTTCCATGAGCGGCATCGAGAGGATACAGGGCGATTGGATCTAGATTTTGATGGAAAAGAAGTCTTTTTGTTTGGGAGTATGATGACACTCCTGTCTCTTGACTAGCCCCCGCGCTGATTCAAAGCGGCTCTGTCTAAGGATTGGCCAATACGGGCAAGAGGAATAGAAGCAAAGTGGACAAAGCGAAGTGGACCCCTCACAGAGCCGCTTTTAAATCGTCGTAGGTCTGTCAACATTTTCATACAAATATATGATACATATTCAAAACGTAAGTATACTGTGAGCTTGTGAATGATCTGGCAATGTAAAAGAAGGGTTTGGCAATCTTCCCAGCGTAATTGAACGGTAGTATTAGCTAAACCATTAGTACTCAGTAAAAAAGGAATAAACAGCTTTATTTAAGGAGGGTAGCACACAACAGTAATTCAACTGATGAACTAGTGGTTCTCGATCTTAAAATTACCATGGATAGAATTAAAATGTATTCGAGGATTATACAACTGGTCGACAGGTCTATAAGAATATAAGCTAAGAACTAAATAAACTTAAACATGCCGCTTAGGTCAGGTTTAATCGCATTCGGACTAAAATGTTCTACTTCATTATAGCTCGTTGAAAAAATGTCTGTGAAAGGCCTTTCTGAAAGACACAACTACTGTCGCCTCTTTCTTCAGGTTAATGGGTAGTTGGTTTCAAAATCTTGACGCAGATACGCTAAGAGTCTTCCCTCCCTCTGCTTCGCGATTGAAACGAAGGTAGGCGAGATTCAATTTACTATAGCGACCAGTTCGTGTGTGTAGGTTTGCATTAAATTTGATTAGATCGCACATATAGGCAGGACAGCTTCATTGTAAACGCTTAAAGACTAAATTCCTCTTATTTAACTTAATTTCGTCATAGAAATACGGGAACCTGAAGTTTTCAAAACAAGGAAAAGATTTTGCTCGTGCCAAGTAACCTTTAACATTCCGCCAATAATTTATCGTTCGAAATTTGACTTAGTGCGCTTGTTATAAAACAAGTTGAGGCTTCACCAGCATACCAGTTTTTGATAGATAATTTACAAAGTGATCTGAGTCTTATTAAATTTCGTGAGGTTTGCGATAAGAATAAATCCTTGTTTCTTGTTTAAACATAGTGATGCCGACATATTTGGAATTCACTAAATCAAAATCAAATATTCTCTTTAGTAAAGTGACGATAGTAAGTCAAAAAAGTAAGTTAACAGAGAAATACATTGAACATATTGATATCTCTTTACTGACCTTGGACGACAACCTCTGCTTCACATTCATCTGTATAACGGTATAAAACAAAAAACAGAATCAGCAAAAACGCGCAACTTAAAAAAAAAAAGGTTACGGAAGGATTGAATTTGAAATTTTTATTTCATTGATGGTCATTTTCATGACGAAGTGAATTTCTTCTCATACGATATGGCTCATAAGTAGATCAGTTTGGTTGGCTAGGATAAACGATTTTTTGACAAGCTGCCATTGAAGTCGCTAAGGAAAAGTTTGTTTCTCATATAAGGTTGATGAATATTTCTATAGGAGCATTTTTTTCTGGTGTAGGATAGTAAATAGACAAACTTTATATGGATAGGGTACATAATTACAGCCAAAGACTGCAGTCTTCCTTACGACCCTACAAATATATATTAAACTATACAATCTCTTAATTATAAGAGTACAACAATGTTCAATTAAAATGGAGTAAAACTAAACTAGCATATCAATATTTCAAAGCTGTCGTGCGTGAATCTCCCTAAAGTAACTTCTTTTAAATTAAATTTCTTCACAGTGGAAAAGAACACGAAATCATAAAAACTGTCCCACAGTCTAAAAGTATTAAAAAGAAAAAAAAAAGCGTTTGAATGGGGCATAGTTTTGACGTTTCAACATTTCTATACAAAATTGATAAGCTTAATGAAGCTTGATATAATGTTGTAAAGATGACTTCAGGAGGCTGTTTTTTTCTGATCAGTTATCTTTTAAACGGAATCATGGAAACAAAGTAATTACCTTGAGCATTCAAATTAGCAGCGTGAAGAAGGAGTATGGTAAGGAACAGCAACATGTTGTTTTGAAAACAAACTCACTCAATAAGTGGGATCCTTGCTTGATTTTTAATCGACTCTGAGGTACTAGATAGTGTGAGCTGACAAACAGACCTGAGCATCATCAGTGAGTAATGCTTAATTTTTTCCTTACGCAAAAAGGATGTATTTACACAGTTTTACAAACTGTCACTTAAAACGACTTTGATATTTGAGCCACCTGAAACATGTGTTCAAACAAATACATTCAAATTAGAGCACGAGCAGAAACGAAGGCAAACTTTTCGAATTATTCTGCTCCAAAAATAACAAAGTTTCAACAATTTACGTTGAAAAGTGAATCCTATTACCACCGATTTTAATCTGTACGAGGTAAAGAAGGACAATAGGAATTGCGTGTTTTAAGTTTCATCAATTTAAGTTTCATATATAATTACTTCAAAAAAAGGTAAATAGAATTGGTGTCTTTATGTACACGGTTGGAGAAAGAGTAACAGTTGTATTAATGAAGATTGATTGAAAAAAATCTAATCGGCAAGACATTCCAAAATGCCTTAGTTGTGACCCAGTTACCAAGAGATTTTGTGTTGGGGTGTTAGGGGAAAATAACTGCAGCAACCCCGCCATGCGGATCAACAAAGCTTCCTTTCAAATGTACCGCTGCCTTGCTGTTACAACGTCTTCAGAATATCCCCTCACTCTCCTCGTTTCCCGATAAAAATTAAAAAGCTGCGTGCTTATATCCTCATTTGTTAGAGTTTTCGAACCTTACAAGTTGATATTATTCAGAAATCAAAGAAAAGTAGTCTACTTATTGTTGCCGGTAAAATTTTTGCAGTTTATAAATTTTCTATCTGTGACTGTGATCGTTCATTTCTTTTTTCACTTTCAACTTAGGAAAAAATTCTTATCATATTAGTTGGGAGAATTTGATGTCGGATCAACTAATATTCACCTGATTTATATTTTTAACTATTCTCACCACTTGCCTTCTTGATATTGTATTGATATTGTATTGATATTGTATTGATATTGTATTGATATTGTATTGATATTGTATTGAAAGAAATCATACTTATGCTGGAAAATGAAACACAGGCTAGGAGTAATGCCCTCTTAGCTTAAGAAAACGCTACCAATTTGCTGCGAGGATTATTCAGCTCTATAGGACTAGATCCAAATGCAAGTAAATCATTGAAATGCGTAAGAATGTACACGATTTAGAGTTGTCATAGGTCAGGTGATCACCCTCATTCCTCTAATTCAACTGTATTTTATTTAATAATCAAGATAATATATTTAGCGTAAAATACTCGTAATCAGTGATTTTACTTTCACATAGGAGAGTAGAAGTTCCCTACAGTAGTGTCGCCATGTGACCTTATGTAACGCAATACATTACACACGAGTTGGATTTAAAACCTTATCTCAATATGACTCAGAGGCTGATTGGTTACTTTGAAACGCCTTGCAAACTTCGAATTCAATTGCTCGCTCAGTTTGATAGTCAAAAAGTCAAGCATGATATTGGCAGTAACTTTTGCTGAAAAACTTCAAATGAATATGAAATCGGGCGAGGAGATGAGGTATGATCTCGTCGATTAGCGTCCTCAGTTAGGAGACAATCTTTGTAGTTGCGTTTTCTGTCTTGTTCGAAATGGAGAAGGTCGCGAATGCGCGGCATCCATTTGCAAGCCTTTTTTCCCTTTAGCTAAGCTATTTTTCCTTCGCCTCTTCCCATGAGACCCCGCTCGCCTCAATCCATCCTCGTATCCAATCTTTTCTCCCCACAAAACACGTAAATAACGACTGGGTACGAGTCTACCTTTAATGAAGCCAAAGATCGAAATTGATTCAAAAAGACAAATGAATAATGGGGGTAAGTTTCTAAAGAAACTGTGGTGCTGCTTCGGTGGGAGAATATAACAAGGTAATTTAGTATTATCAACTGAGTTGATAACGTAAATTGGCCGCCGTAAAGAGTTTCAAAGCTGACGTTTAGCCCTTCATCAGAGAAATAGGCGAAGGGCTAACGCACGGAACGTCAGCTTTGAAACTCTTTGCGGTGGCCAATTTACGTTATCTACTCAGTTGATAATACTAAATTACAATGATTTAAAAAGAGACTACTTAAACAGCTCTCTCCTCCACGCGCGCTGGTTACAGAGAAATATGCTTAGTTACCTAGGTACAATTATTCCGAAGAATGCTCCCGTAAAAAAATTAATAACTCTAACTTTTCATGGTTTTGGCCCATCCAAAAGTGATCCGAGGACGAAGACATTCTATTTCGCTGGCAGCAACACCTCCAAACTCTAGAATGACTACAAACACTAAATGGACAATCTTGAAATGGAAATCTACCTGTATGTCCAATATTTTTATTTCGCTTGAGCTTACGGACAAAGATTGCTTGAAATTCAAAAGCCTTATTTGGGTGAGGCATGCACGGCTGTGAATGAAATTTCTTAGTAAATTTTCAATTCAAAGAATCATGCAAGAAAAGATACGCACGATTCTTAGCATTTTTTTCCTACTGAGCACTTGACTTTTTTCCTCACACAGTCTTATAAAAAAAGTTTAGGTTGCTGGGAAAATTAACAGCGAGAGTGCTCGGAATGACTTCATTCTTCTAGGACTTCTAGGGCTTTTAGTCTATGCGAATTGATGACAATTTACACAATCCAATCAAACAAAACAAGACACTATTTCGAATTTACTTCCCGCCTCAAGAAAATTGTTAGCTCTTAGCGGAAATGATCTAATACCTGGACGGATAGAATGGCGCGGTTGCCGGTCTATGTCATGGAAAAACTCGCGAGGGCTTCACGACAAAATTGATATGCCTCATCCTTACTTGGGGACCAAGGCCAGTGCACAAACTGCACCAAATACAACAATGTTATACTTTCATCCACAAAATTCTGTTTGCCGGCTTAAGACACCGTAGCTTGTCAAAAGGACTATGAAAACATTTTCAATTACGTACCAACGAAATTTTTCTTTTAGCATTCCTGCACCGATCACTGTGGTAAGTCGTGATTTAAAATTTGATTACTATTAATAACCTGGCTTCATTCCTCAAGTTTACAATTTTAAATTTATTTAAGTCCTTTCAATTAATAACTGTTCTCGTGCTCGTTACTTTTCTGTCAGCGGTATCAGCACAGCAGAGTCATAATTTTCATAAAATCCTCTGTAGCATTCGCCATTATCGTCATGTTCACGAAAACATCAGGTGCCATACTTGTCGAGGCTTTCAAGTTAAACTTTCGATAAAGAATCTTATAAAATTATTTTTAATTAACCCGTAGTTTGTTTCATTAAAATCTCCACCAGAGATTCTGCTTGCTTCATTTGAAGTTTGTATTCACAGATTTCAGACCATCCATATTGCAATTACTAGCATCATTACCAAATAATTTTTCGTATACCACGCGTACGCGAAGATGAGCACATTGTACATCACCGCCACTGCAAGGCCAGTTGACGAGTGGAAAGGTTTCTTTGCTTCTCTGTCACCAGCATCGATCATTCCATCGTTAAAATGTTGTTTCTTTGCCTTTTTCGCTTTTTTAGCACTAGCTGATGACAATTGGTCGAGCGATTCCACTAGATTCATTTTAAATGCCGCACTTTTTCCAAAACTATTTTGTACGATGCAAACTAGGCGTCTTCGAATTTTCATTGTCTGAGCGATTTTGATCGGCAGATGTTTGATTTCACTCATGCGCGTTAAAGATTATCAGGAAGAAACTTGCCTGCGAGATAAATCCACTTGATAACTAGACGGCACTTTGCGATCACTCTGTTATCCTTCAGATTCGATGGATAAAAAGTTGCAAGTTTTTTTAAACTTCGTAACCTCATAGATATGTCTTTTACTAATAACGCGTTTGCTATATCATTCCCTGAAAATTACGTCAAAGAATTTGGTGTTTTGTTAAGACAACACTTCTTACTGATTATTTCGGTAAATTCTCAGAACTTGTTCGATTAATAATGAATAGACTTTGCGAGAAAAAGTTGAATGATTTTTCACCTTTTATGGGAGTTACAAGATAGAGCTGATTACCTGCTTTAAACAGAAAATGTCTACTAAAAACGACAAAACAAAAACGAAAAGACACATAGAAGCTAATGCACATTGTTTGACTTATGGCAAGCGCACATTGTAAAACACACCCTTGCGGCTATGCGATAACTGATTTGTCTTCCATTCACCAGTCACTGTATGTGGGGATAAAACCACAGAAGAGACCATACAGCGGAGCCTATGCTAAAAACTTAACTCTAAAACAGAGGATTGTATCGCACTCGAATAATTTGCCGGTAAAAGATGACGATTGTTTTTATGTTTTGTTTTGTCTTTCATGCGAATTTAAAAAAAAGGCATCCTCGACACCTTTATTGTAATGACCGTCTTGAATATATTTGGTAATCCATATCAGAAGCTTGCGCACGTGAATGTCTGATTTTGGTTCTGTGGTCTGCGTTTTGCTCGCAATCGGCAATCGGTAAGTTATAAAAAAGTAACCGCAGGAAAATAATGTTTTGACAAGTAAAACTCTCGTAAATCTTTCAGTTATTAGATGGCTATTTTTAATGCTTTTATTTCGTCTTCTTTCTTTTATATGAATAACGTGTGACTGTTCAGTTTTGGTTAGCAGCAACTGTATTGGAAATTTAGATATTTCAAATCCTGAAAATACAAACTGATTATTAAAGTCAGATAATTACATCACGAATTCAGTGTTATGTCTGCTTTTGTTTCCTGCGTGAAAAAAGAAAAACATTTGCTTAAATTCCAATACCTGAGACCGTAATTCAATCCGGCCAGATATCTATCTTGGTCCAATCTGGATTTTTCTTTCTTTTCGTCTAATCGCTATAATGCTGTCGGGGTAAAGTGCCAAAAACAAAAATGGGAAAATTAAAACACGCAAATTGGAAGGTGTCAGACAATGCACTGTTCATCCAAGAAAACTGTGCATGTATTAAAAATTGTCTTTGAAATATGAAAGGAGACCTGTATAAATTAGTTCTAATAAAGTTAACTCACAATTTAAAGCGTGTTTTTAAGAACTATCAAAATCTTAAGGGAGAATTAATGTGCACAATCCTAAACCCTATGCCCAGCCCTTTCCCAACCCTATGGTTATGATTTCTATTGCGCTTCTCATTCTTTCCCGTAGCTTTTTTTTGCAATCTTCTTTGACCATATCATGGCAATTAGCTGCATGTCCTAGTTATAATTTGCTGAACCATGACGTTGGCCGATGTGAAATCTCTTTGTGAAAATACGCCGTGAAAATCAATTCGATTTGTTTTCGCGCCATCGGGTGAGCGACATCCCGGAAATCTTGTGAACTGTGTCCTCTGATGATCTTTAGATATGCCTTCAGGGAAGATCTATTTTTATCATAATTTCGTAAATAGCCTTGGCTACCCTCAAGTTTCTAAGCTGGAATATCCAGAGTTCTCAGTGAGCAAATTGGAAACCATTCTATCGAGGTAAGATTGCTCCTTCAATTACCTTTTATAGCATCGAATGGTTCGGTAAACTTTGTTTTCGAAGCAAAGAGGTCTGAGGTAAATAAAACTAATGGATTTTAATCGATAACATCTTTGTTCGACGTGGTCAGACGATTATTGTCGGGCCATTTAGAAGCAGCTTTCTTACTGAAAAATTCTCGGTAGAAGTTAACTAAATCGATAGAGGCTCGTACAGATTGACGGCCGAGAGTGGTCATTTGAATTTAATTGTCCCAACCCTATAGTTATGCGGTTTCGTTTGTTCAAATTTACTGAAAGAGAACATGACGTTTTTCTGTACAAATTAAAGAATAATGTCCGTGCGATTGGAAGCCATTAAGCTTGACTTTCGCACTATCAGCCAAATAGCAACAGCTTATCAACTTGAACGAATTATCCTATAAGTAAATCACCGCACATTAGCCTAATTAGCTTTGAGCTTTCTTAGGAAATATCTGCACTTCTTTGAGTAAGACTCACTCCCTGTTCTTGGCATATCTTCAAAAAAGTAACACCCTTGCCCTTGTCTGTTTCCGGTTCTATTCTTATTTTCAAACAGCACGCTAGCTTTCCAATGATCTTATTGTGAGTGGCCGCCAAGAATTTGTCAGGAATACAACACGTTTAGTACCAACAAAATTATTTGGTTATAGTGTAGCCGTGAATTCATGTATTTCCTGACCAGTTCCTTTTTCTTTTCTTTATTGCGGTCTGCCTTTGTCGACTAAGCCTTCAACAGATCTGGCTCCGATTGTTCGAAGGGTGAATAGCGCTATTCACTGGATAAATATCTTTCCGGTAGATAACGCAGTACGTTTTGTTACTGAACACTTATCCGCTCAGGATGGCGTTTTATCCGCTCTTTAAACAACTTGGCCCAGAAGACCAGCACCGAAAGAAAGACAACAGGCTTACGAACAATCTCTGTGTAAAAGCACTTGGTCATGTCCATTATTGTCTGTCCTTGTATCTTCTCGTCCAGTGCTTCATCAAGCTTAGCGCCAGTGATAGAGAACGAATGTGTTTAAGCTGAGTTTAACGTCATCAAATTTTCGATGTCATCGTCATGCGATTAATTTAAATTTAAAACAAATAATGAATAAAGAATGCCGAAGAACATTAACAACAATACTTTTTTTCGAAATTGGATATTTGCGGTCGGGGCTAATTATGGATATCAACCACGCCTTTCTAAGTGATTCTCTGAGAGTCAAAAACATAAATTTCAGGGTCACATTCCTGAGATTTTGCGTACAAATGTCGAAAACAACATGTGTATATATGTTTTTAAAAATTGGTGTTCATTTTGTGGAGTCGATAAAAAAATTGCACCGTTGAATAATGAGCAAACTCTAGAAAATCAAATAAATGCAAAAATTAAGTTGTTTATCGCCATCGGTCATTCTTCTAACGGACATCCGAAAATAAAACCAAAATTAACGCAGAGTGAGGTCAACACATCAATATTCAGGTATAAATCTTCTAAACGTTTGTTTTTCCGTGCTCGAAAGGATTGATCACCGCTAAAATAAAGGCGGAGTGACCGTACTCTCAATCAAACCACTCCAATATTCTCTAACTTCTGCTCTATTCAGTCAACACAGCGGTCGAAATATAAGGCAGCGCAAATAGGTAAATTTTGCCCATCTACGCGCTAATTTTCCGCGTAACATTTAAGAGGAAAATTTACAGATGAAACTAAAATGAGCAAGGGGGAACTGGGAACGGGGAACTGGGAACAGGTAATCGGAGAATTGTTATGAGGTAGTCCGCATAACAATCAAAAATGTCTGAACCCCAGTTTTGAGCATGTGCTCTCCGAACTCGGTCGTTATAGCAATCAGCATTGGACGATAAATGAAGTTTTTATCGAGGGGTTTTGAACAACACCTTTTAATTCATAAAATTGTATTTGTGCAGGAGACCAAGTAATGAGCTCCTGATTTGTGCTTATATAAATTGCAGGTGTCAAAGAAATCGAGTTTTCGAAAAGGTGGGTGTCTGAGAATCAATCGTAACATCTGATAGAAGACCTCATTAACTGCCGTTTATGGAAATCTGAGATAGGGAGTCAAACTAATGGAAAGGAAACGTTGAGATTCTCGTACATAAAGGTTATCTAATGATATATATGTACTCTTTTGATTGACCATTTTGTTTGGAGCTTTACTGAAAAGCTAAGCGCCTTTAGAACACCATGAATCACCAGTTTATGAGGTTTATGCCCCGAAAGAACTCTGTCAGGTCGTGCTTTAAGACATTTCATTGTTGCAATGTGCGCTCACACTGGCGCAGACTTTTATCCGCTGTGATCATTCGTCCAGCTGATGGTTGAGGCCACACCCAAAAATTGACATATTCGTCAGAGAGCCAATTGTATCTGTCATTCACCGCAATAGCGAATATGACATAAATTTATAGGACCAAGCTCGTAGGTGTAAAAGGAACCACAATTCCTGACCCTGATAATAGTTGTAAAATGACAGCAATGATTTGACCAGTGGAAACACACTTGTCTGGTCACAATCCCTTCATGTTCTTCGGGATGTAGCCCGTTCAGCCAGCTTGGCGCATGTGTATTGCATCTGTAACGAGGAACACACGTTGTCGCCATCTTAGTTCCAGACTCCTCGCTGAATCGGTACCACGATCTCTCTTTTAGACGGTCGCACTTGATTTCATACGCAGGAAAAGAACGGCGTCTATCCGTCTCTGTGAACCACTTGTACCCAACACAGCCTAAATTTAAGCCAACGGAATTAAAAGAAAAGATGTAAAAGCCCTTTCAAGGTGTTTTAAGATTGCTCGGTGACTTTTCCTGGCTAAAATTGATGCAGGACGTTTTCTCTCAGAGACTTTCAAAACATATAAAGAAGCCATTAAGATTTATCCCCGCTCCATTCCCCATGAAAACCATGTGGTCCACCCACGCCCCCCCCTCCCCCCTAGGTGACAAATAACGACAGGTCTCTGACTTATTTACTCTAACTTAGCGGCCCAAATTCGTAATTTCATTCCGAAAAAATGCATGCCCTTTTTCTTTTATTTTATGGCTTTTTCAAATCATATACCTACCTACTGGTGAGCAACTTGTTTTTCCATTTCCAAAGAATCCCTCTTTACAGGTACATTTGTATGAGCCCACGGTATTATGACACACAGCATCACTATGACAACCATGTAAAGATCTACTTTTGCATTCATCGATATCTGAGACGACAAAACGGCAAAATTGTGGGTGAAGCTTAAAAAAATAGAGCAGTAATGGAATGTGTCGTAAAATGACCCTAACGCTGAACTGGACACTACCCTGAGAGATCAAGAAGTCATTACTGAAGGTCAATGAAAGAAAATTTTTATCCATCAATTTTGAAGTAAACCAGGTAAAAATTGAATGTCGAAAATATCATATCTCTTTCATCGGCGACTTTATTAACGACAATAAGTGATGTAGAACAAGTGATGATTATCATCCGCTTTCCAGATAGTGTATTCAACTCGTGAGGAGAATTTGCACGTTGAAAAAATTTTGGCAGTTACAAAGTGGACGCTTCCGGTGATTACAAGTTTCTGCCATAGAGTGGGAGAGAAAGTGTGTGCAGTTTACAGCGGCAGCTTAGACAAGTACTCACCTTTTGATTCGCCGACATCACAATTTACCAAACTCGCTTTTCCTGAATTAACAGACGATTGTATCCAGAATCCACCGCTTCTCATAGCTGCTCCTTCACTTCGTTTTATCTCTGCACAAGATTCTGCGGGTAACTCAGGGATAGAACCCAGAGGAACTAGAGGGAAAATAAAAAAAAATAAGAGGAAAAAAGGAAAAACTGCATGTTGTCGAACCATCTGTTGCAAAAGAATTTCGTGACTCGAATTTATCTCCGAATCCGAAATCATTTCGCACAATAAACACGTATGTCCCAGATTTGCGAAATCTGTTATTAGTTACCTCTCTTTTTCCATCGTCTCACGTAAAGGCATTCTTTATTTGTGACAAAGTCCTCTGGCCTAGCCTCCTTTGTTCGTTTATTCAACTCACAAATGTCCTTTAATAAGACAAGGTTTAAGCTTTGGCATTTGTCGTCTTCGTTGCATTCCTGCACGCATTCTGAGAGGCTCTTAGCCTCAAGAGTCTTGAATGTGTGACCGCGAAGCATCATGCCATGGATAGACGATTCTCTCCCACAATTCGTCGTGGTCACTTTGGAAAGCTGCGTCAGTATGAAGATAACTCGGATGACGGAAAATTGAAGACCGGTCATGTTGCTCAACTTTTGTATTTTTAATTCTTATCTGAAAGAGAGATAATACTCAAGATATCGCAAAGATCAAACTTTCGGCTTCCGTCTAAAAAACCTTTCCTCTTAGATTGCTAGTCGGTTTGGTTCCCAGCTGAAGTTGCTAGCAGTTATCCATCTTAAGATATACGAAACACCCTTGAATGAATGTGAAATATTTAAACCTTAGTCAATGACTTTCCAGAAATTTTACTGTGATGTACATCGAAAGTTTGGACATCTTTTACTGCAATTGATTCTCATGTGCCAAAAGAAAAAAAAAAAAAACAAACTATATGTTCATGTCATTCCTTCACCTCGTCGTTTCCATAACATTTCCACTTCATGTTACCCTTAGACTTAAAACTTGTTTTATTAAATTGTAATGATACATACGTCCTTTCGATAAATGAGGCGATAATTTATAACATGAAATAAATCAGCCAGATCAGTAACGATAAAAACCTTTTTTGGGAGGTGTGTGCTCCATTAGCCGTTCATGAAATCTTCAATCCAAATCTCTGAACCAGAAAAAGAAAGGTATCCTTTTTCAAACAACAGCTTATCTTATCTTATCTGACTTGTAGTCAGCTCACTTTATTCGCCCCTTTTTTTCATATACAGGGATCGAGATCTTGTTTAATTTTTCCTCATCCTTAATTTTTCGCTCGTTTTCCATACCCATCACCGTAGAGTTTGTGGTACCTGCAATTTTCAAATACGTTTAACCCCGTTCTCTCGAAATGTGGCTCAATTAAAAAAAAAAAAGATTACGTTCATAGCTGGAAAAATATTTCGAAAAAAGTAAAAGAAAGTTTTACAGCAAACCGCTTACATGACCTTACCGAGTCTTTTGGTTTCTTGTCGTCACGACCATTCCTGATTCTATTTCCAAGCTAAGTTATCCACTATACCTTGAAAAATGCGATTTTTTCTTTCTTTTCGTGTGAAAATAAATTGAAAATACAGATGTAAAGAGGCCTATAGCTATAGCGGCGAGGTGGGAAACAATTTGTTTGTCCTAAACCTTCTCAGGCAATTACTATCGTTTCAATTTTAAATAAAGGGAACAAAAGAATACAAAACAAGGAAGAAACAATAACGCCATTACTTCAAGCCCCAGCCCTTGCATGCAAATTGTTCCCTGCGTCCGATTTCAAGTTGTAATACATGAAAAAATTATGCGCATCTGATTGGCTGAAACCGAGTGCATTTTTCGTGGAACACGAGTGCTGAGTTGTAAAAAGACTGCAAACTGCAAATAGCATGGGTTGCCAAAATTTCGTCCGTCTTGACTTTCTAGGATGCGTTTCTCACGTAAATTATTAAAAAGTAACAACATGATTTCGAGTGTAATTTGGTGTTAATAAGCACCTATAAATTTTTCAAAGACTACAAATTGCACTCGCGCTACGGACTCGAACAATTTTGTTAGCTTTGTTTATTAACACCAAATTGCATTCGAAATCATGTTATTACCTATACAAGACTATTGAAAGTATCTTTCGTTGGTTTGATTTTTGACAAGTTCTTTTCATTTCATTTCACCTAATTGTTTTCATTCTGAGCTTATTTCTGGGGATGAATGCTTTTCACGCAATTGTTTTTTACAATCATCAATTTTCATTTTGTTTTGTTTCTTTTTGTTTATTTGGACTTTGCCTCCTTCATCGCCTTACTAGAATTTTCTTATCGGTTCCCCGTGCTAAAACCGTTGGACTAATGGCTGAGACCTCGAGACAATTTAAGTATATTTACTGTTACCTCCATGGATTGCAGCTTGCTATTTGGAGAATTAGGAAGGAGACAGTCTCCTGATAATCTTCGTCTGGGAGGATTGACTCTGGATTTGCAAAAATCGTAGTAATAGTGAAAAGGAGTTTGGCTGAGTGAATGTTGACCGCTGTGAGAGGCATTTCTGGAGCATCATTGATTCACATCGAAAACACATCTTTCATCATTTGACACATCTTTTCACATCCTTCAAAATTTGCGATCTCACCTTTAGTTCAATTTTTATCCTCTCTCAACTTAACATAAAATCGTTGCCTTTACTGTGTTATTTTGATTGCTGAAAGATTTTTTTTGACAACCTATCCGATAAGAGAGTAAGTGTAAAACACTTAACACTTTACAAAAAGTTAAATTCAAATAATTTTAAACGTACGAAAGTGATCTAGAATTATATACGTAATGGACATGCGGACACAAGATGACTTGCTCTTAAAATATCTTTATTACACTTGTTTGAAAAGCATTCTTCTATACACAGAGTGCTCTCTTTCGATGAGCGAGCTACTTCTCAAATGAAACATTACTAACCTTTTCTACCATTAGGTGATAAATAAGTCAAACTGCTGTCAGTAGCTGAAAAACTGAAAATAAAAGCACTTCACTGTCGCTAAAGTAACATGGAAAATTATTCCTTTTCTAGTGGTAAATACTCTTTTTCCTCGATACTTTGATTATTCTTGGTTGCATGGTGCATAGGTTTCAAAGTGCACTCAGAAAAACACGAGAACAGTTTATATTCTCTTAACAAAAATTATTTTCGAAACCCGTGTTGCATAACTTACACCTCTCAGCATGTTTTGTTGCCGTGAAATATGTACGAATATAGAAATGCAATTACCAATCCAATACTTCGCTAGAGAGCTTCTGTACAGTATTATCAGGTAATAACCGCGGTGTAAAAAATTGTCACGCTCTGATATGGTCAAGTTTGAGGAAATTTTGAATTGAATCATGAAAGTAAGCTGGGATTTCTTTGGTTTGTTTTAATTCGCTCCGTAATTGGTTCAGAAAACTTGCGCTACTTTGTCAACCAATGAGATTAAAACTAAAACAAACCACAACTTGTTCATTCCCATTTTTCCCGCGCTTCAGGCAGTTTTCCTTTTTTTTTTTTTTTTTACTTACGGTTCTAGTTGGCCGCCTTTTCATTTGTTCTGATTTGGCTGTTGTGAACACAATGGTTTTGATATTTCGACAAACATCGGTACCGGTCTTAATGGATTAGGAAAAGTGAAACACTATGATTATGCTTATACGCAAAGTAAAGTTTTATGTTAGGCCAAGTTGTAGAGCATCAGACCGCGAAATTGTCAGCGGTGCTAATCATGTTAGCGAAGATAACAGCCTATTTTATTTGCTAATATTGACAGTAGCCTCCACTGACAGATGCCTGTGGGCTCAGCTTGAGCAGGTACCTGTTGCCTCCAACTGGTAAAGCTGTCGATGCCGATCCCCTCAAAATTATTCTCGCTGGACCTCAAGGGGTTTATCATCCACTTCCTATTAGCTTAGCAATACTTGTTTTGTTTTGGAGTTGAAACCACATTTTTATTATAATTATCAGTTTCATTAATAAAAAAATAGGTGATTGTAAACAGTTTATAATCTCTTGCAAAACAAAAAAAAAAAAAAAAAGCAAAAACAAAAACAAAAAGAATACGTATACCACCTTATTAGCAATAATGCATACAGTAGCTAACGGGAAAAAACACTCTTATGAATTCTGGAAGAGCAAGAACTTGGACTGGACTTATGAACATGGACTGGTTTTTTTTTTTGTCAAGCAAAAGTTGTTTCTCTGTCTATCAGTTTTAGAAGGGGGTACAAAACGGAAATAGACATACTTTTTGCGGCTGAGCGAAGCTTGAACAAACCGTTACTTCCTCTCCTTCCTCTGACCCCTCAGTCGAACAGCGGGCTCCGTCTGTTGTTGTCTGCTTTCAGTTATTTTATTTTCAATTTGAGTTTGCAATCTTGTTTAAGCGTTTCCTTAGCCCCTGTAAAATATTCCCAGGGCATGTTGAGATCGCAACCAGATGACACTGACGAATAGAAAGGAATAGAACAGTCCAGTATTTCAAAATTCCGTTCCATTGACAAGCATCACTTTTTCGATTGATTGAGTAATCAGATAAATTCGATTGGTGCACAAATAAAATCAAGAAATGTCGGAAGAAGCACAGCACACTTGCTCCGTTCTCCTCTTCCCTCCCCCCTCCCCCTCCCCCCACCATTACTCTCTTTGTCATTTGTGTTCCTTTCGCGAGAACGTGTTGTTCTTCCAAGTTTTGTATTGTTTCAGATGTCGACCGTGTTGATAATGTGTGTACATCAAAGCAGAATGATTGGCTCTCTCGAGTCCAATTGGCCAATCAAATCCGATGTCTCATTTACAATTCAAAGCAAAGTATGTCAACTAAAGGTTATTAGCTGTCAAATTTTATTCCCTGTGCGACCGCGTGACATAGCTTATTGCGGAATTGGAAATTTTTCGTAAATTATTTACCGCTAATCGAGATCCTGTATTCAGCTACAGAAGCGTTTAAGCTGGTTCAAAATCGATAATAGTTGTTGGACGCGAATTTAGTTGTCTAAGGTGAGTTGTCTTCACTGTTTATGACTATAAGCTGAAGCTAAAGTTACTCAATTATCACCCGTAAGTTTCAGCAGCTGAGCTCTAAGCGAATTTTATAAGTCACAAATGACCAATTTATTACCTCAGCGATTTGAGGAGAATCATTGTCTCAAATTCTTCTCAAAGGGAAGTGTACAAAGCGAGAATCAAAGTTGTAACTTCGAAATGTCCAAACTGCAAACAATTATCATTTTAATAGGGCATGACTCGCTTCATTAAATTACCGTAGCATGGAGTATGTTCGTTAATCAGGAAAAAAATAGTTATTATACACGGAGGTCCGCAGCTGTGAATGAAACAAATCAATTTACTGCGGAACAAAAAACAAGTTGCCACACGCAGTGTTCGTATTTTAGAATATAAACTAGCTTTAATGCTCACCGAGGCGTTAAATGAGTGCTGTTATAACCGCAAATAAAGGAGAAGTAAATAACTTGCAAAGAACCATGAAAGAAAATAACTTGCTATACTAAAATTAGAAGACCTTTAGGAACGGATGACCGCGTGCTAATTATAACTTTTAAAAACATGTCCGAATGAACGGAGCAATATTAAGGTAAACAACTTGACTCGGAACTTTGAGTTGCTGCTGACATTTTGACGGCGAGCACCAAACTTAGTCAATAATTGGCGCATTGCATCGACCATAATTAGGGTACAATCTTAAATGCTGTTTGAATGTTGTATCATCGTCCTTTCAAGTATTATTATGCAGTAGTTGAGTAAAATGACTGAAAAATGTCGCTTTGAATCTGGGAAATAAATCCCAAGCGTGTTATTCTTGCGTCTTCTTGTTACAAAAGATCTGCGCACGACACTTAAAATAACTTTTAAATTATCAGTTAGCCACAGGTATTTGCTCTGTGTTGTTTCTGATAATATCAAAACATTTACTGAGCATTGCACTATTTATGTGGTGTTTGCAAAGAAGGCTTTAAATGCCTCAAGGAATTTTTTCAGGCTGTTGATCAGTCATGAAATCACTAAAGCAAGAAATTTTGTTATTTATCTATTTGTTTGGTACGCCATGTTTTATACAGCTCTATCACTTTCTATTATGATTTAAATTCGCATTCTGTCACGCAACAAAACAGAAAGTGCACAGCAACTGAGAGCACACGACCTTCCTTACTTTTGGTTTTACGCACTTCCTGTGTTGAGATTTTCTCACGCTTTGCATCGAAATGTGGAACTTGGCAATTTAAGCAAAATCATAAGCCCTCAAAGAATGAGTGGTTTAATGCTGTAATGTTTTTTATGGAAAAAATACTTAATTGATGACGAGAAACGCCTGATTGCGCAAATCTACTCTTGTGTGATTGCGTGACACCTTATGACGTCAGAGCTGAGAAGTCCCATTTCCGGCATGCCTTTAAACGGGCTAAAATTCATTGAGTTATCAGACAGTTTTAATTATATATAGAGCAAAGGGCTGGATATCAATTCTGAACAGTTTGAGTCCACATTGCGCCAGAGGAGTAGCATTTGTTTCGAGTCATTAAGAGAAGGTGAGGCAAGGCAAACTTCACTCCTTTATAATCAGAGTGAAACTCGAAAATTACTTAATATTGTGAAAGATACGGTTTCGAAACTCATCGATTCAATCACAATTCTAAAATATTTGTTCATCAAGTGATATTGCCTGGTGAAAGCTAGTTTCAGTTTTGATTCTGTCTAGGATTGCCAGCGTTTGATGAATTTGTGAATATTGCTTAGTGGTTTCAGAGACGGTATTTGGTAACAATTATACATCACTCTGAAGTGTAAACTACGTGTCTTCAAACTAAATGCGCGATGTTTAAAAGTCCATTCTTCTTAATCTATGTTTCTCCGAGTTATTTGTTCACTTTCTAAATTTAGCTTGTATGCAATAGCCTTTAATTTACTGACGGAATTTCTATAAGTCCGTTTCGTAATTTTAACGGGAAAATATTTGAATCCCCTTTAAAGTAGACGGTATAAGTGGATTATTTTGGACGAACATGATCCTTTAATCTTCCTTAGGTTAATTAACATGTTCATTTCCCTGTAAAAGATCATCAATCATGTGGGACTCACGAGATTTTACCAATATCCGAAGTTGATTATTTTTGGCAGAGTTCAGCATTATACCGCCGACGGACTTGTGGAGGCTTTTGAAAAAACATGGTCATTTCCGTAAAAAACTTTCATGTCGCAAAATACAGTACGAACTTCCGCTGCTTTTAGCCCAATAGCCCAACTTCGACAACGACCAACACGGTTCGAAATATAAATTCGTGGCTTGACACGTCGGCAATCCTTGTTTGTTTTCTCGTCCCTGTGGTTTGATTGATTGGCAGTGTTTCATTTTTATCGTCATTTAATTTTTTTTTTTATGATTATTTTTTTCAGCCATGCCTGACCAGTTTCAGAAGGAGAGTTTAGACGCGCACAATCAATACCGCGCTCAACATGGTGCCCCGCCATTGAAATGGTCCTCAAAACTGGCGTCCGATGCGGAGAAATGGGCCAAACAACTGGTGAAGTTAAATCGCCTTCAACATCACACTGGAGATGACGGCGAAAATCTTGCATATGCCTCAGGTAAACCTATCAGGATTTTTTGTTTTTGTATGTTTGTTTGTTTCCTTCGCGTCACATCCCTCACATGCACACATAGACTTTACCTAATCTCATACTCGGGTCCTACAAACTGAAATGTAGGATCTTACAACCGCTTGGCCGTGGTAGGTCTGGGTACGAGACTAGCCTGTTCCTAAGGTTCAGTTGGTAAGACGAAGTGAGATAGTAAACGGCGCGATAGAAGCAGTGGAGTGAAAAAACGAGGGAGGTCGCGACCCGACCCATACTTTCCTTGTTCTTTTCATTCCGCCGCTACATTTCTGCCGCAGGTTATTACATGACACTAGGAATTGAAACCTCCGTGAGCTGAAATTTATCGTTTGTTTGTATTGTGTTCTTTTCACGAGTGGAACAAAAAAGTTGTCACGTTCGTTTCCGCTAGTTTAGTGACTCCTTTACCATATGCTGATTTTTAGTGCGTTGCCTAGCACCAAGAGAAAATTAGGAAAGCTCACTATGTCCGATAGGAAAATAATATGTTGCAAAGGCAAACCCCACGTATTAGTGACGCAAATGCGTAAAAACATGGGAAAGACAGGAAAAAAACTGATTGGAAGTGAATCGATATAATAAACCCCTCCTGGCATGTATTTAGATTCGATCGAGGAGAACTTGCTCGAGGTAATCAAGTCAAGGTTTGGTGTTAAACTTTCCGCCCACAGAAATTAATTAAATTGAGACAGAAGAATTTTCTCTTTCGTGGTTTGACTTGATCCATATGGCCTTTCATATCATTAAGTAAGTTCCTACCATAGAAGTTTTTGTCGTTTTCCTGCTGCTGCGTTCATGAAAACAGCGGCTAAACAAGTAGAGGTTGTCGTTTTACAGTATGACGTCTTTATAGTTTACTCGCATCCAAACATGTTGAATTTATTCTACTGCGTCAAACTTTGATGATTTTGATACTTCTCTCCAAGGCTATGAACTAACAGGTCAGAGAGCCGTAGATATGTGGTACGAAGAGATCAAAGACTACAACTTTGGCAACCCTGGATTTTCTTCAGGAACAGGCCACTTTACCCAGGTTATATGGGTAGGCTCACAGGAGGTGGGGGTCGCCAAAGCAAGCAACGCTAATGGCACACAATTTGTAGTTGCACGGTACTACCCTGCTGGGAACGTTCTGGGGCGCTTTCCGGAAAATGTCCAGCCCAAAGGGTCTAAGATTTCCAAAAATGCTGGTAAGAAGACGGAACAGCCTCGAGGTAGCAGGCCAGTGGGTGGCAAAGTGCAAGTCACCGTCAATACCAAAGGCGCTACTGACAAACCACGTGAGTTTGACGACGTTTTTTCCGAACTAATGTTCATTTGTTCTAATGACTGGTTATCTAAAACTCTACTCCGGATTTCGATCTTGGTCTGAAGTTTTCCTTTGTACTTAAACAAGCAATGTGCACCGAGAGGGGGAGATATGGGAATGCAAGGAAAAATGCTCCAATCTTTTGCGATGCAAACGCTGGTACCAAAAGCTGCCTTGGGAATAAAATTTTCTTGCGGTACGGGTTTTTTTTCGCTAGTTTTAGTGTATCCCGCGACAGGTTACAGGTTACGAGAGGTTACAAATCTCATTCATGGGTTTGTTGTTGGATTTTGGTTGTTTTCATTTTGCTTGTTATCGTGCTGGTAAGTCGCAACAACCAATCATTCACTTAGTGTTCTGCAGAGAATTTTTGTGAAAATCTTAACCTTGCTGCAGAATCTTATCCCCAAAGCAAATGGCGCAAACCCAGACTGTTTTGTTTGAATGCGATAGTCAAGACAATTGATCGTACGAATCTGTTTTGGATGAAGTCCAGATAAATGGTTTGTCGCAAAGACTTGTCTCAGCTACTTGATATCCCCTTCAAATTGTTCTTTTGAACTCCTTCTAGTCATACGTAACTCATTAATATCGTTCATTTTCTGAACTAGAAAACACCAGGGAATTCAAGAATGAACTTCTCAAGTCACACAACGAAATCCGCACCCAACATGGTGCACCTTCTCTGAAATGGAATTCGAAACTGGCTGCGGAGGCACAATCTTGGGCAGAAGATTTGGCAAGAAGGAACTGTATACAGCCCAGTAGCTCAAATGACTACGGAGAGAATATTGCTTATATGTCCGGTAAGAGAGATATTTAGATTTTCTGCAGTTTATACATCCAGGAACAACTAAATTACCAGTTGCGCGCAAGAAAAAGAGAAAGAGAGGGAAAACGCACGCAAGTCGTGGACCACTCGCGTGTCTTTTCTCGTGCGCGGCATCCCGGACGTTTTAGCTGGTCATTAGGCGGTCTCGGTTCCTTTTAACTTAGATACCATGGTAAATCATGTCGTCACTGTGGTAAAACTCGAATTCCTTAAAGATTTTGAGACAAAAAATCACTTACTGCAAAGATAAACCTGTAAGACTGCAAAACTCTGCAAAACGCGAGCAAAGTTGGTACTTGCAAAAAAAATTAACAGAAAACATCGATGGAACAACGAATGAAATGAAAACAATCTAGCTTACTACTGACCCTATTTTATAGAATTTCTAGATTCGATTTCATTGTTGCCTTTGTAAGTAATTTGAAATATAATGGAATTTGGCACGCGCCGTTTTTCACATGAAAGATACATTGAGAAGATTGAAAGAAACATTCAGTGATCTAAGTGAAGCGAATTGTAGCACTCTCCTTTATCTCGACCCTTGATTTTCCTCATTAGTTTACTACTTCGTGTGTTTGATAATGTACTCAATGAATCCGCTTTATTTATTGACTGATTTTTTTTTTTTTGTCGTAGGAGGGCAACTTACAGGGAGAAAGGTAACTGATATGTGGTACGAAGAGCACGACAAATACAGCTTCAGAAACCCAGGGTTTTCTTCGACTACCGGCCATTTTACCCAGATAGTCTGGCAAAGTTCTAAAGAAATGGGAGCCGGAAAAGCTGTCAGTTCAAGCGGAGCACAATTTGTCGTGGCGCGATATCAGCCCCCAGGGAATGTCCGGGGGCAGTTCCCCGAAAATGTCAAACCGGCAGGGACCGGAGGGGGAGGTGAGTAATAAAGTCCAATTTTTTTGATTTAGGTCTTTGTAAAATACTTGAAAAATGATATTTTCAGCAGCAATTTGAACGCTCAGGCTTTCCTTCGACACTCTGAATTGTTTACTCAATGGCTCCGAGAATTTGATCCATGATTCTCTCTTCTGATTAACCTATAACTCTCCCATCTAACCCGGCGCTGTCTTTTCGAACCCCTCCACCTTTAACAATGGATAATGAGCCCCTGTCTCTTAAAATTTTTGAATTTTTGACTCCCTGTGGCCCGACTCATCTCAAGTGCATATGCAGACTTCACATTGCAGGCGATCGCTTTTTTTTGAGGTGGAGGTTCCACCGTATCGTGCCGTCACTTCTTCAGCTGCACGTAACGACGTAACGTACTTTTAGTGTTGGTCGTTTAGAGCCTCAACGAAAATTTGGTGTGAAAGAATTTACTCTTTTTTCTACGATTTGTGTTATATATGTATCTTTTTGTTGCCTTTCAGGTGGTCAAAGTTGTTGTGTCATTTTGTGATAAAAGAAATACAAAAGATTTAATCTGGTACTGAAGGCTCGTCGGCGGAACACTGGAATCGAATTTTTTTGTTAGACTTCAAAGAGAAATAAACGATAGGTATGCTACAATCGCGGACGAAACATGTTTGGACAGGATGTTCATTCATGATAGTCTCGCTCCTCAAATCTCACTGGAAAAGAACAAAAAACACACCCCTCTTCACTGCACCCTCCTTGACCCAATATGTCAAATGTATGTTTCCTCGGCGAGGACAAATAACGCAAACAACATTGAATGAGGCACAAAGGCCAAGAAAAGTGCCATATATGAACCAGGATTGAAAAAAGGTTTATTGTAGGTCTACTCTTTATGGTAGCCAATTCAGATTATCGCCTCGGCAATTGATAAAACCAAATATCTTGTACTACCCTCCACTGATGCAACACCACGGTTTCTTTAGAAACCGTTACCCCATTTACACTTGGCGTAGTTGTCTCAACAGTTTTGTCCGCGACTCTCGTTTTAGTGCTTCAGAAAATCATGATTAAAAACGGCAGATTGGAAGGCAAAAAAAAAAACACTCAATAGATTATACCGCACAGGAGATGTTAATGAAAAGAGAAAATGAATGAAAAGATTTTGAAATAGTTAACATTCTGGTAATCGAGCATTACTGGTATAGACAGAAGCTAAGTTATTGTCATGAATTTATTCAATAAAATCGACGCAATCAACTAAATAGTTATGATTTAATTTTGCCCTGCTTCACCCTGGTCCCACTTCACTCTTTCGTGGTTGTTTGTTGTAGTAGTTTTTGTTGTTGTTGTTTTTTATCTGAAGTTGTTGCTGTTGTTGTTTCAGCAAGCTCACATTAGTGCTGCGGCAAAACCGGTTCTGCTTTGTTTGCCATCTCGCTCCTGGCGGGTTCACAGGCTATCGTTGTTGTTACTGTTTTTATTTTTACTATTTGATGTTGCTTTGTTTTCCCTCGTCACAAAATTTCACCTGATGGATTTCTTTGTGGTGACCTGCCGTAAATTTTTTCTGGGTTTAGTCACAGTATCTTTCTGCTTAAAAGTCGTGTTTTTGAACCCATCGTCTCTTGACATTATCCCATATAGCTAGTAAACATTTACAATGGATCAGTAAGGCCTGAGGCCTAGTTGTCTTGAGGGCTTTTGCGATTAAGAGCTTATTAATAAACATATAATGTATCCTAATTCAATCGTAGAATTAGTTAGAAGCTTTTATTCTGATCGTTTGAGTCTTTTGGGATTTCTGGCTCTGACTCGAGCCTAAAACAAGATGTAAATCATCTAACTTTGAAACTTGGGCGGTAGACATCTGTCAACTTCTTAACGGGCAACGGTTTTTGACGGTGTTATTCGTGGATTATGCCACTTTCTTAAATCATCAAAAAATATATTATTTTGGAGGGAAAAAAAGGCACTTTGTATTATCTTAGAAAGATTTTAAAGTAGTTTTTAGAGTGTCTCCGCTCACCTCAAAGGAATTCAATCTTCTTTGTTCGTTTTTCTCTTAGTGTGCAAGCCCGTCCTCGTAACCCAGGGTTTAATGATCGGGTGGGAGGGAAATAAAAACGTCCTTTGTCCATCGAAACAGCTGTTCTATCTTCCTTTAGCCTTTTCTAAATACTTCCGGGTCTCTGAGGATGATGCTAGTCCTAGATAGTTCGGCTTTGTCATATTCGAATGTTTAACTATCTTTTTTATCAGAAGACCACATAATTTTTTTTCATGTGAGGGAAATTTTCCCGAAATAGTTTATAATTTGATTTTAGTACCAGTTTGATTAGGTTCTTTCAGTATTCGTCTATGACTATGTACGCATTGCGTCCCTATCGTTTCCTTTCGGCGCCTTCAGTCTCTTCAGCGGATGCATTACGAAAGTTGTTCCTTTCACGTGTGCTTTCCATCATGGCGCACTACAACTTCAAGAAGATCACAGTTGTACCTTCGGCAAAGGTAGGGATCGAACGACAATTATAGCTCTTTTTCGAGTTGATATGTATCTAAAAAACCCGTTTTCTATTCAAGGATTTTGTCGATATCGTTCTCTCCAGAACCCAGCGGAAAACACCGACCGTAATTCATCGGTAAGTTGTTTATCTTTAGCGTCAGCTGTTATTTTTGGTTGGGATAAAACGCATCGAATTCAGTGCGATTTTGGCCTGGGTAATTGCTGAAATCTTGGTACACAAGCCTATTAAATTATTTTTGTTTTCTGACTTGTTTGATTAGCTTATTTAAACCTGTGTGCCTTTCATTCGTCGACTTGAGTTCGAGCTAGCGTAAGCTTATTGTACAATAAAATTTTTCCTACTCAATCAGTCTTACTCTTTCTCCAAAATGTTCTTTTATTTCTTGAAGCGGCTGATAAGTAGCATTTTTTCTTGAACTAGAGGTAACTTCCAGTTCAATTTGTATCATCAATCAGACATACAGTCTTTAATGATACTTGTAAATTGCTATAAAGTTTTAGCTGCATTGCATTTCCTACTGTAGTGTCTCTGTTACCTCGCAGAAAAGACGTATTGAATCTGCAATTTAGAGAAAATTTTTATTTTTGTCCGTACAAGTACTGGAATCACTTTTTTTCATAGGTTCCAGTGGTGAAGAATTCCAAGTTGACAATTTAATATAGTTTTCTTGATGTATACCATAGCTGTGAAAAAGAACTGTTCTCTGAGGCAGTTAAAGCTCGCATGTAGCTGATTTTTTCGACAAAACGAGTTTAAATCAACCAGAGTTGACCTTCACATTGCTCATTCCATTGCAATTGGGCAATCACGCTCATTACTGATATTTTCTTGTTTTTATCATTCACTGTATATTTGATTAGAATCAACTTCTTGTTTTTCTGCTAGACACTACAAAATCAGCCGGATTCGTGGTTTTTACATGAGAAAAATCAAGTACACCCAACAGAATTATCATGACAAATTGACACAAATCATCACAGATTTTCCAAGACTAGAGGTAATTGTGTAAATTTTGGATAATTAATTTTAACTGTAGTCAGTTATTCAGGTGATCCTGAGGCAATCAGTGACTTCAATTTTAACCAATTATGACTCTGTCTGACTTACACCTGTATGAACAATAAATTAAATGAAAGTTGTGTTTTTCAGGATATCCATCCTTTCTATGCTGATTTGATGAATGTACTCTATGACAAAGATCATTACAAGCTGGCTCTAGGACAAATCAACACTGCCAGACACTTGATTGACAAGTAAGCACATTTGAAGATACAGTAATGTTGAAGCGGGGAGCCTTTGTTTTGGGACTCTTCTCTTGATGGCTACTTCTCCATTCTGTGTACACAACTTTTGGTCTTTAATAATAAGATGAGCACAAACATGAGCATAGTATCCTCACTTAAGAACATTTCCAAAATTCGGACTTTGGTAGTAATCAGTTTCCAATGATCTAAGAGATTGAATTCCAATATAAAACTTAAATTCAAGTTTGTTTTGATCAATCTAATTTTGCTCATGTTTCTTTTCTGTCAATTTTACTTTACAGTGTTGCTAAGGATTATGTGAGGCTTATGAAGTACGGAGATTCACTGTACAGATGTAAACAGTTAAAACGAGCAGCTTTGGGAAGGTGGGTACCCTGTGCAAGACTTAAATGTGATATTTTCTTTAATAATTAGTCTGTATTTTGTACCAGATCTGCACTCTACTGTTCAGACTGACTAACCTTATTGTAAAATGGTATAATGCATGTACAGTGTACATGTTAAACAATAAAACAGCAGAGATCAATACATTATTTCACAGCAATCATTTATTGCACACATCAATGTTGGTCTCTGAGCAACCATTCAGGTATCCCTCCTCTATCCCAAAAACACTCTACTGATACCAAGTTAGGGTTAAGTTTGGATTAAGGGAGGGGTAGGTGTTCTCTGTTGAGATACTGACATTGACCCTATCACACTAATACACATACATGTATCTCTTTGTAATATTAAGTATACCGAAGGTTTTAATTGTCATAAATATGCTTTACAGCCTTGAAGTGTACCATTTAAAAGTACATGTAAGAAGTGCTGTTTAACCTCAACAATGTTGGCAGTTAATAATTTTCATGTTGATTTTTTTTCTAAGGATGTGTACAATTATGAAGAGGCAAAATCAGAGCTTACAATACCTGGAACAAGGTTAGATTGTTTTTACTGACCTATCAACAGCTAGTTTGCTGGATTTCAAAATATTCTTGGAGGATAGCAAAATATTTTTATTGATTTGTTTAACTTATGTGAAAGACGTTTACTGATAAGAATCGATTCTGCAGACTTGTATACATCTGTGATGTTTCTGCATCAATGGCATATGTTACATGTTTTATTACACCCATTTTGAAATCACTGGTTGTCCCTCTAATTGCTGCAATTTATTCACGAATTGCACCATTTTTTGCCTTAAATCACATCTTTTTCCCAGCCAATGAGGAGGCTACACTAAAAACAAACAGCCAATTAGATTTCAAGGCTTGTTTTAAGTAATCAATGAAATTGCAGGAAAATGAAAGACAAAGAGTATCATGTGGCAAATTTTGCAAATTTTGTTTCCAAAACTCTTATTTTTTACCCCAAAAAAATGGAAGATTTAATTTCAAACCAGCTCAGTACTACATTAATAACATATTTGAACTGACGAAATCCTGTATGTGGGCAATTTCAAAATGGATGTAATAAAGTGGTAATTGAACTTCTTTTTGTGCAATTTTGGTCTGAAATCATACTTGTGATTTCAAATCAAACTTGCACAGTGTACTTGTTTGATTTTGAAATCATGCGTATGATTTCAGCCCAAATTGCACTCCACTCAGTTCAATTACCATTATTAATGCTGACTAAATCTTGATAGAAATGATGATATAACTTAATTATTACATGCATTTTATCTACCATACTGAAAAATTGCAACTTACATAAATAATACTTGTAAACAGAGGTAAAAAAGGTGACATATCTGTCATCCATTGTTTACAATGATCACACTTAAATGACTGTTTATTAACTATCCTTTTATTACTATTTATTATCATTTTATTTCTGCTTACGTGCAGTTCGACAGCATGTAGCAAGACTTCCATCAATAGACCCAAACACAAGAACTCTACTAGTCTGTGGGTAAGTCATAACTCTACTGATAGGTACCTGTGTTTAAATTTCTATGCTAGAACTTTATTAGAATACATGTACAGTGTACAAAGAAACCTCTAAATACATAAGCTTTAGCATTGAACTTCACAGGCAAATGTTTCTCCAAATCTCTTCTTATGCGATAGATACATGTACTAATAAGGAAACTAAAAAAAATTCAAACAAGATATTTGTGAAATTTTAAGTGTTGTGTCATACTTTTTCAGCTTTCCAAATGTGGGTAAATCAAGCTTCATGAATAAGGTAAGATACATGATTGTGTAAATGAAACACAAATTCATATTCATACAATCATATTTGTGTAATTACATGGATGTACTCTGTAGTTACTATTAGTTTATTTGAAGTAACCTTTACAAGATATGGAAAATCTCTATATAGCAAAATTTGGGAGACCATTTTTTCATGAGGAAGTTAAGGGGATTTTAAGCAATAATTTCCAAGCCTTAGGAGAACATTATTTTGTATATGATAATCGATGAGAAGAGCTACTTGTACTAAGCCATTTTTTGTGCGTTTTGAAATAAATCTCAAATCAGCCACATTTAATAGATACATGAAATGTACCTGTAAATGTGAACACATTTGAATGAATATACATGTACATATCAATATTGACACACTTTGTTCAATTTATCCTCCATCATTAAAAAGTATTGTCTACAGGGAAAAGGAACAAATTCTCATCAAATGTTTAGATGATAGTTTCAGTGGGAATATTTTTGTTTACATTTTTATTGGTTGGTTGATGATACCATGATCAAAGAAGATTGTTAACACTTGTACGCCTAAAGTTCACATGTTCTAAAATAAAGTTTTGTAGATGTAAATGTAAATGTGGCACATGCTTTATTTGATATTAACGACACTAAGTGAGGGCTCGGCTAAAGCTGGAGTCTTGTATGATAGGAAAATATTTTCATTTGTATTTGTTTGTGTTTTAAGAAGAGCTGTGTGTTGAGCTCTTTGTCCTTCACTATTGTTTTGTGTGCAATATTTAGATCGTTTCTCAAAACTGTGAATCAAGATCTTCAAAAAGGTCTTTAAGCATATCAATCCTTAGTACTTGATACTCGATACTCGAGCCTTGATTCTCGATAGTTTCAAGTATTGAGGATCAAGTTTCCATTAAGTCCTTCAAATTGTTTTTGAATGGTACTGTAGGTGACTCGTGCAGATGTGGAAGTCCAACCTTATGCTTTTACAACCAAGTCTTTGTTTGTTGGTCACATGGATTACAAGTACCTCAGGTGGCAGGTGAGGACTACTTATACATATACATTACTGTCAAGTGACTTTAACACTGTAGCAGTGGAATGAATAATGTTAACATTTTATAGCTATGAAGTTACTCAATTCTGAGTTCCTTCTTATGAACAAACTATTTAGCCTTTCATTTGAAGGAGCTATAAAGCTCTGTGTGAATTGTGAAAAAATTCAACTAAATTGTTTAACCCTTAAACTCCCAGAAGTGATCAACATTTAATATCTCCCTGTGTTATTCATACATTATCCAGCAAACACATAATGAGAGTACTCAAACTTACCAGGAACATCTACATATAGATTCAAAACCAAATTCTAAATTCTCCCTACCAATTTGCAAGGAAATGTGGAGCATCTAGATGGGAGAATGAACAATCAGATCTTGGGAGTTAAAGAGTTACATTTGTCAATTGCAACCTGTCTTAATTAACCTTCCCCGACCTTAGTCATCCCTGTTTATCTTTGCTTGTTTTTTTTTTTCCTTTCTTCTCGGAAGTTAGTTTGCTGAAAGGATATCATTGTCTTATTTATAGTGCAAATACATGGAATGTTGTGTCCCTTTTTTTTTTAATGCAATCATTTATTTACATTATAATTCAGATACTCTAGCTGCATTTTATGTCAAAAATGATTGTGATGATATACAATACAACAGCTATATTGATAATTGAAATTTGTGCAGGCAATCTCTTAATGTTTCAGCAAATAAAAATTTCTTTTGAAATTAGGTTGTTGATACACCAGGAATCCTTGACCACTCCTTAGAGGAGCGTAACACAATAGAGATGCAGGTGAGGGGCATCTTTTTCTCTGCTTTTTGATAATTACACACATTGAAGATAAGCCATGCAGGGTAAGAAATGATACAAGAAAAATAATAATAGATAAGAAAAGAAAAATTGAGCATTTAAAAACTTTTCAAACAAATATCTCAACACTCTCTTTCAAACACTCTTTCAGCATTTTTGCATAATTACCATGAGTGACCAAAACAGAATTTCTCCTTACAATATCAATACAATATCAAGCAGATAAGAGATGAGAATAAAGAAAAACATCAGTTAGGAGATTATAAGTTGATCCAATACCAAATTCTGCAAACTAACATCACAAGAACTGTATGGCAGACAGTAAGGAGAATTACTAATGAGATCTTGGGAGTTAAAGGGTTAAGATTAAGATCGCTGAAGATAGCACTCAGCCACAGTATGTAGGTCTTCCATTTCACCACTTGTTAGATGTGAACAGATGAATGAAAAGAAAGTAAATGGGTCAAAATTACTTTTACTGGACATGAATTCAAAACTTTTTTATTCTTTTTATTCAATTAACTTTTTTGTCTTTCACCAGGCCATCACAGCCCTTGCTCATCTGCGTGCTGTCATTCTTTACATTATGGATGTTTCTGAGCAGTGTGGGCACACGCTTGAGGAACAGATTGAACTGTTTAATGGTATTAAACCTCTCTTTGCTAACAAACCACTGATAGTGGTGCTGAACAAGGTGGACGTAATCAGACCAGAGGAACTGACTGAAGAGAAGAGAGAACTGCTCAATGTTTTCAATCAGGACGGTAAGCTTATGTGGCCATGTAGACACACATGTACAGCTTCATGCATGTGATCACCCTTCATTATTAAGGTTTGTCAAGGTTGTCTCTCCCAATGAAAACTTGTCTGTTACTTATAATACTTTGAAATCCATCGCACATCTGTGTCAGAAATGGGACTTAAGAATCTGCCAAGAATCTGCCAAAATTTCATGTTTTATTTATAAAGTCAACTTGGTCTCCCTCTCTCTTCCACCATTTTCATCTCATGCGCTGGTCTTTCTCATTTTTAAATATATGATATGATCCTATTGTTCAATCATCTGTCACTTATCGCAAAAAATCAACTGGAAATCAATTAATGCTGAATAATCTCTCACATAGAAGTCGGATTTTCTCATGATTTTCTCAGCATGACTGTTTGATGTGCCCTGGGGGTGGGAAATTAAAACCTTGCCTGAGTAGGGTAAGGAATCTGAACTGGTACACGTGTTCTAATTTTAACTATGAAGAAGTTTATAGATAAAGAGTCCACTTTAGTGTACAAGGAAACAACTATACATATGCACCAATAAACTAATACATAGTGCTGCCAAATTCTACAACATTAGTTGATCACACAAAGAATTATTCAATGAAAAAATTGTACCTGAGTGGGTCATTTGAATGCAAGTTTTGTCCCGGGAAACCAATCTTCAAAAGTTTAAATGCCGTGGGGTTGCATTGGAGGGGGTGAATGTTGAAGCTTCAGTTTGATCAATGTGATATCTAGTGTGAAAAAGAGAAGTGTACAGTGGCAAGAATGATCATCTCCTTCTGCTGTAGCCTGGTTTGATTCCTTTCCTGGGACATTATTTGAGTTGAGTTTGAGTTTATTGTGGGTTTTATTATTTGTTTTATTTTATTATTATTTTATATGTTATGTATTTGTTTTATTAGGAGTGACACTTCTTTCCATGAGCACCGTTAGCGAGGAAGGAATAATGACAGTCAAAACTGAGGCATGTGATCAGCTCTTGGCCCAGAGGGTTGAGGTTAAAATGAAAAGTAAAAAAGCTAAGGATGTCATGAACAGACTTCATGTTGCCATGCCAACTCAGCGAGATCAGAAAGAAAGACCTCCTTGTATACCACAGGTAAATTAATTTTAAATTGTGCTCCAGCAGTTCATTTACATGTTTGTATTGTGTATAGTCATGATGCAAAATTGTAAATGCATATTAAAAAACAAAGAGCTTAGTGATTCGGGATTTGTTTTACGATTGACCAGTTAAGGTGTCTGTTATTCCGAAGGAGTTTGAATGAAATTAAACAAGAGCTGTACTTTTGCAATTTTTGTCTCTAAGACTGAAGCTAGTGGTTTTCTTATGCAGTATGAATATTTTAATTGACCGTATATCCCATCTTCCCAATCGAAAACCTACATTTAGTTGTGATTGGTGCATTTCGATTATCTCAGGAAACATAAATGCGCCAATTACAGCTGCTAAAATCACTCAGCAATTGCAGTAGAGCATAACGCTGCATGAGTCGAAGCAAGATAACTGTAAGTCGACTTCATCGCCGGCAGAATATCAGCAGTATTCACTTGTAATTTCTTGATCCGTACCTGAAGTAACTCCTTTCGTGCGACTAGCCATACTCGATGCATAAACGTTGTATTTTACAACGAGGTGTAACCCAACTTTTTGTAACTGTTTGGTTAACTGTACCCTTAGGCTGTTCTTGAAAAGAGACAAGCCATGTCAGTGGAAGGAGCGGAACCTAAGAGAAAACTTGCAAAGGATCTTGAGAACGAACTGGGAGAATATTATTATATGGACTTGCGGCAACACTGGGACTTGAAGAACGACGAGGAAAAACATGACATTATACCCGAGATCTACCTAGGAAAGAATGTAGCTGACTTTATCGACCCAGACATTATGAAGGTGAATTTTAAGTGGTATTTTTTGGATGATATGTTAGTGAGGAAACCAGGTCTAATTCTTAACAAAAGTGCAGGTACAAGTTTATTTGTTAGAGTATTCTTTTTACGGTGGCACGAGTATCGCGTGCGGAGGATGTCGACACGCTGGACTCGCGAGAAACGAGTGTCACATTTTGACACCCTCGATTCCCAATACTCTATATTAAGTGTCGACTCGATGTGGAAGGCTTTAAGTCTGAAATAAATAATGAGAAAACGGTTAACGCCTTGATTAAGGACTGCTCTCGAAACTTCAGAATGAATGTTGGTGGAAGCAGTGGTAAACCTAAATTTCTCCATACCGAGGTACCTGGTTAAAGTATAGACCTAAAAAAAAAGGCAAAGGTCGCGGTCAGTTATTAGAGTGATACTCCTTCATTTGAGCATGCACTCCAAAAATTTTTTTTTTTACTTTTTACCTCACGTACATGCTAATTTGCGTCGTTTGTTGCAGAAACTAGAAGAGTTGGAGAAAGAGGAAGAGCTGCGTGAAGCTGCAGGACTTTACGACTCAGAGCCTGTGAGTGACGGACAGATTATAATTATAGATATTCACTCAGTGGATATTCACTCAGTGGTATTTAGTGAAACACTTCTCTACTGTGATAACGGTCAGTCTTTAACTCCTAAATAAGAATTCTCTAATCGAAGAAACCATAACAACCGAAGACAAATCTCTACAGAGGTATTGTGCTGTTGCCTTTTTCCCTCTTTTCCTATTTTTTATGTAGTATCATTATTTTTTATTTTTATTTTTGCAGGAAGAACTAACCCCTGAACAAGAAGAAATCAGGAAAACAGCACAGCAGTGAGTTCTTAGATTGTTCTTCATGCATTTTATATGTTTTCGGAATTGTTTTACTTCAAATAAGCCTTGTATCGACGCGAATTCGTAACTCCGTTTTTATGAGTGGATGTAAAAGTTTTGCTATCTCGTATATCTAGAAGTACATGTAATACACTGAGCGAGATTAGGTGACAGATTCAGATCGATTTAAATACGTTGTGGGAGGTGGAACAACTACAATTGGTATTGATCACAGATTTTAATTTATACACGTAGTTTCAAGCAATGGATTTGAATAGAGTTGAACTATGAAAAAGCTTAGAACTGAAAGATGTTTTTCCAAGAAAACGAAACTTAAGGTGTGAAAAGAATACAAAAAAGAAACTTAATTACTAAACTTTAGCGAGGCGATTTATCTGAAAGGAAAAACTGTGGAGGAAGTTATCAGATGACAAAATATTACCTCGCGTTATTTGAAGTAATTAATTATGAGGGTAAAATTCTCAAGAAATGTATGGGGTAAATGTAATCTTATACTTGGAAATAATGTCAGTTTAAGTTAGCATGTGACTCGAGTTTCTGTGGATTCGAATTCAACCCTGTCTAGTTTTAAAAATACTTTTTTTCTGATTATTTTCTTAATATATTTTTTCGTAGAATTCGAGAGAAAAAGAAGCTGATCGTCCAAGCACATCGTGAGATGAAACCGAGAAACAACAGGGCGAAGTTGCCACGTTCTACATTTTTGAAGGTCGGTTTTTTTCACGTTCAGTTTTTCAGGCCTTTTATTGCACTTTAATTTGTGGATTATCTCTTCTATTTGATGCGTTCTCTCTGAAGAAAACCTTAACACGGCAGGATTTTTGCTAACGACTAGTGCATTCTAATTTTGTTGTTTGCGCTCATTTTCCTCATCATTTTTAACTTTCAGAGTAAACCTTATGGACTGTTGTTAATATATGTGATAAAGCTCTTAATAATTATATTTTTCAAATGCTTCGACGTCGATAGATCTTGCTAACAAAGGTCGATGGGAAATTTTTTCCGGCCTATCAGATAGTGGAAAAATCCTCCTTTAATTTTAAATACTTTGATTATAACTACAAAATTTTGAATGACACACTTAAAATTCTCCGACGATTTTGTCGTTGCCGAGGACCGTCACAAGATTTTGGACGGCACTAGGTAGTTAGAGAGTTTTAGTTGTCTTGCAACCTGATTGACTACCAACCAACAAAGGGAACTTCCTGTCAAGCTGGTCCTCTCTTACTTTCACTTAGATTGCATTCGTAGCGTTATGTTAGATTTTCTTTGTAGTTTTATCATATAGATACATGTGTCCTACTGTCTGATATCTGTTTTGTTTCCTCTACGTTAAGGCTCAAGCCGCTCGCAGCAGAAAAAACATCACAGAAGAGGTTGGTGGAGATGTAGAGATGGAAGGCATTGAGGAGGTGGGCTACAGAGTTGTTGTTATTGTTGTTGTTGTTGATGTTTATTACTTGATTCCTTGTTTTTGTTTTGTTTTGCCTATATATGTGTGTTTTGCTCTGCAGTATCAGTGAGAACAGGTAGAATGCATTGTCGACGTCTTTCATTCCAGAAAATGTCAGTTCACTTTTAAGTATTTCGTTTGTTTATTGTTATTTTTGGTCGCATCTCTTAATTGATAGAATAGTCTATAGATACAGTAGTTTGATTGATTCGTTGGTTGTTTCCAGGGAGACGTAGCCGAAAAAAGATCTCGTTCTCAGACCCCGATGAGCCGTAAAAGGAAGAGAGCAGCCAGCAACGGCGCGCGCAGCTTATCACGTCCACCACGTGACCAATCAGGCATTAGTTCTCCCGAGGTGAGAAGTTGTGCGAAAGGGGAGGCTGAAACTGTTTTAACAATCTTTTTCTGGTTCCACTTGCGCTCTAGTTTCTGTACTTCTTGGTTGAAGGAAATATTCATGTGATGAAAATAACGAAATTATTGAACTCTCCAGACTTTTCATTGTCCCTTTCAATTAGTTTTCCCTCGCATAAGTGAACTATAAATTCGATTGATAAATTATTACTGATGATGACGGTAATGAAAGCTGTTAACTTATCTTCGATTGAACAAAAAACATGTAATTTATAAGTACTCACCATGTAAATTACGTTAAATCTTCTAAAAAATATTTTGACAACTAAGATGAATCAAATGAAATTAATTTCATTAAAAAAACATACAGCAAAAACATTCAGCATTAAATCTTTTTGGAACCAAAGGTGAGTAAAAAAGAAGGCTACTTTTTTGCGCAAAAGGTAGCGTATTTCAAACGTTTAGTTGCGTTTCGATTTAAACCTTAAACCGGAGGCATTTTTGACCTTACGCTCGCCAAAAAACATGCATTGGCGGCACGCTGGTCAAACGAAACGAGCTGATGAATGAAGGGTAAATGTGAAAGGACGCCTTATGATAATTGAACACTTTATCTCGTCTCCAACGGAAGTAGGTTGTGGTTCTTTAAAGTGTACTGTGTAAGAATCTTCTCGTGTTAATTCTTGCCTTTTTTTTGTTTTAAAAAAGAAAAAGAAGAAAGCAAAGAAACTGTCAAAGGTTGTTCAAAGAGGCATCAACCGTATGGGCAAAGCAGGTAGGATTTTCGTGGAAGAAAAAAATGCCTTTTTTTCATGATAACTGTCGGTTTTATTTAGGGAAACCCTGTGGTCACCAGGAAAGTGTAAATGATTCATTTAGAGTGGCTACTGTGTGCAGCCATATGCCTCCTTATTCGTCGCCTCTTCCTTTTTCTTCAAGGGCTGTTTCCCACTCTTCCCGTCCTTCTTAGTTCTTCGTCCATTGTTTCGCCCTCCTTCTCTGTATCCATTTGCTCGTCGTCGTCTTCATTTTTTTTTCCTTCCCTCTAGGCCGCTCTTCCTCTTCCTTCCCGTTTTCGCATTCCCCATCTCCTTCTCTTACTCTAGCGGTTCGTTACGATGATGTCCGTATCCAGACTCTCTTTCAATCAAATGTTTGATAGATTCTGTCTCAGAAAACTTAAAAACGAAGTTAAACCTTGTTCAATATTTGACACTGTTACAGATTATCATGCGTTGTTTTTGTTCCACAGGTGAAGCTGACAGAAAGATCGCTACCAAAATGCCTAAACATATGTTTGCCGGCAAACGTAAGATGAACAAAGTCCAGAGAAGATAGCCTTGGATTGGTCGTATCTCAATATATTTGTATTAACACCATATTCTTGGGATCCAATTTATTTGGAAATAAATTCCTTGCGCAGAAAAACTTGTCATCGTTGTTTTCGTTTCGCTCTCTCAACTTTGCGTCGAACATTTTATGTAAAGGTCGGCCAACTTTTCACCGGAATTAAAAGGGAAAAAAACTCGGGGAATTCTTGAGTGCTTTAAACGATCTCTTGTCCTTACTTTGGAGCTTAAACTTTCAAATGCAACAGCAAGTATTATAAAATAACTGAAAATTTATCTTAGGTTTATGACGAAAACTCGTCGGAACAATTTTAGAGTGTAGCACACAGTCTTATCCAAGAAACCCAAAATATATTTTCCACGAACCCTTTTGAGAGGATAAGCAATCTTTGAGTCAGTTTTGTTTCTTGGAACATATTCACGAGCATTCTGTGAGGACATGTGCGCTTTTCGTTCTCAATCACTTCTGAGTGAGGGGGGGGGGGGGGGGTGACCATATTTTGAAAATGTTTCATTTTTGGCCACATTTGCTCTCAACAATCATGATTTAAACAGTTATCTTTAACATATCATTGCAAACAAATTTTCCCAAGTAATCTTTTCTCCTCGCTAACTTTTATTCCAACTCTTCATTTTACAAAATGACGCCTCCTACACAGCTTTAAACCTAAATGAATCTTGCAGGAAGTAACACAATTTAAAGGGACACAGAAGCCAAACACAAGTTAATATCTGGCTAAGTATGAGGAAGGGAACAAATCTAGATCAACATCAGCAAAAATCTTTAAGTCATTATGGAAAGTTCGTAAAAAGTGTCAGACTTCTAAACCATTCGCTCCAAACTAAAACTGAATATTGTATTAAGTACGTAGCACTCTATTTTATCCATCCACTATTCGCTACTTGTTACGTGTTTATTTTACTCCTTTTGCCATTACAATTACTCATGAATAAACATCTACTGTGTATCAACTTACATCGTCGCCGTTTTAGCGCTTGTTTAATTTACGACAAAATGAGGTGACATTCTATTGTTTTAAATCTGCTTATATAGTCATATCACTGCAGTTCGCCACTGGCGAAACGGCGATAGTTTTCCCTCTTCGCCGAAAGAGTAAACAAATCCTCATTGTAGAGCCGAGGACACTGAACACACAAACGCACACAAACACATAGGTAAAGAGTACCAACTGTATTGGGGTGATAAGTGAAATAAAGCATTACGATCATAAAAAGTTTTCTAATACAAACAAAATATGTGAGGAAAACACTCTCATGGTGGTCTCATGGTGACCAATTTCTTCTACACTTATCGATAATTCTACTAAGTCGTATTCTCTTAGACAGTGAATGCCCATAAACAATATAGCTAAGGAAACATTAGAGGTATCACAGTCAACTTTGTCTCTATTCTGAATAACAGTCGCTATTACTACCACACAAGAATGAAACATTAACACCGCAATAACCCACCACTTGTAGCTGTCAGTGAAATAACAGATGGCGAACAGTCGACTGCTCAGGACAAGTAAATGAGTTACATACAGTGCTACTTGGTGACGGTTTAGCATTTAGGTCACTGCTACTGAAAGCTGAGCGCAAAAGCCTCTGACTAACAGTGCAGCAATCTATTTCAGTAACTAAACCTGTGTCAATACACAGACTTACAATTTGATTCTCACTCTTCGACTTCTCACTGATCACTAACTACTGACTCAATGACCTTGGCGAAGTAAATTCTAAAGTACATGCTTATATATTTGCTATCGGTGGGCATGAGCGCGCATGCTGGCCAACTGGCCTTGGAAGATTAAACATTCGTCGTCAGAACGCTGACCCAAACTCGTTTATAAGAATCTCATAAAATAAAAAAAGAAAACCGCGCTTAATGCTTTCGATAAACAGAATCGATCTTTGACCTTGTAAACCACAACATGTGCTCTTTTTGGTTGGTCCGTCTGTAGATGCAGATTTAGTGTTTCACTTATAAATACGATAAACACACCGAGGAACAACCGTCTTGTACGCCGGCTAAATATGCCTTAAGCAAGTATTTGCCTTTGTCCATAATGAGAGGACATGGTCAGTATTGTAAAAGCTTTATAATTAATTTATCAATCACTAGTTCAATAAGGCAGTGTGCTAATACAACTTAGGTTTAACCAGGCAAGATCGCGATGAAAATTTTCATTGTAGCGGGATGGTGGAATGGAATGAAAAATAGCCTCCCAAGGCCAGTAGTCCAACTACGCACGTTTAGTGATGGAAGTTAAACAAGATAGTCACAACTTCGAAACTCATCTTGATAGCTTAAACCTAACTTCGGACTTCGAATTCAAATAGTAGCTACAGACTAAATACAAGCGAATGACTTGATTATACTGAACTAACATAATACTTCGCAACACATGCATTCACATCACCGCTGCTCGCAGCTGGTGAACCGCCGGCAGGTTTCTTGCTTAGCCAACGAAGTAAGCAAATTCTCATTGTGGAGCCAAGAACACTGAACACACTAACACAAACAGTAACTGGTAAAGAGTACCAAGCGTTGGAATGATGAGAGAGAAAAAACATCAGGATCATAAAGAGGTTTTCTGATACAAACAAAATATGTGACAAAAACACAATCAAGGTTGGACCAATTACTTCTACTTTTGACGAAAATTCTACAAAGTCGTCTCTTAGACAGTGAATGCACATGAAAAATATAGTTGAGAAAACGCAGCAGGCATAACATTCAAGTTTGTCTCTATTCTGAATAAACTTCGCCATTAATGAAAGAATGAAAGAAAGAATGAAACATTAACACAGCAATAACCCACCACTTGTAGCTGACGGTGAAATAACAGATGGCGAACAGTCGACTGCTCAGGAGAAGTAGGTGAGTTACATACAATGCCAGTTGGTGTTTAACATTCAGGTCACCGCTCCTGGATATTATTTTGCGCATGGCAAGAGAGATCGGTAGAGAAATGATTTGGATAATTGCAGCTGGTTCCTCCTGAACACTGATGGCGTACAACTGAATTATAAAATGTGGAGCGGACTCAAGGACTGCCTCAAAGAGCACAACAAAGTCAATGTAATAGAGTACATTGTCAGCTTTTACGGAGCGGACCGGGTTGATTTCACCTCCAGACCACCATTTCTTGAGACAGAAAAGAAAAGCTTCTACTCTCGCGAAGGCTGCTGAAAATGGATGAAATGCACAAAGAGCAGTTTTTGCCCAACCAGAGGGTGAAGCAGTTAATTGGGCACGAAACAGAATAAACAACGCTGGAAACGCCAAACATGGCAATAAAACAAAAGTAAGCCCCACACCAAACCATATTTTGTGATCCGCGCGGTAGAATTCTACCAATGTAAGTATGTCGGTGATGGGATCAACAAAACTTAAAATAGCTCCAGCTGAGAACACGAAAGGACTGTACCACGTAAGATCTCTCACTTCCATATCGACGGACTTTTCGTTTGTTCGCCTTGCAGATCGACCTGTATTGACATAGGTTCAGTTACAGTACTAAAATAGATTGCTGCAGTGATAATCAGAGGCTTTTGCGCCAGGCTTTCGACTGAAAAACTGCAAAGTTTCCTTTAGTTTAGTCTGTTTTCACTCTTGAGATCATGGAAAGTAGTTTGCCGTCTGTATCAATTTTAGTGTAACATACGAGATCCTGGAAACTGATTGGTTCTCAGATTGTTTTTCCTACACAGTCTGGGAGAGCTGGAATGCTCATTTTAAAATCAAAACTTCCGAGTCTCAAATAGTCCTCATAAGTATATTCAGGTGAACATCATAGTTATTTTACGGTAAGTAATTGCAGTTAGCTTCTAAACGATCGCCTGCTAAATGCTCATTTAGGATGTGCGAAATATTCAACTGTTTTTTCACGTAAAAGTGACACATATGGAAAAATGAGTTTGAACGATTGACAAAATCAATCCGGTGAACTGACCTTACCGTCCAAATTCTGTCAGTCAGAACATAAAACATTTTTTAGTGCGGTACTCACGCAACGCCTCACGTTGTCATCAGGGTCGTCCATGGTGATAATGACTCTGTTCTTCGCCGCATAATTTGAGGTAAAGCACCATATTCCTTAAATTTGAGCAATTTACCTCACTGACACGTTAAATATTAACACCACCCAATAAATTATGACTATTGGACAACATTTAAATATAAGAACAAGAAGTGATTTTGAAAAGCATTTCACTATAAAGAATTGCGATAAAACATTTCTTAAAATCATTTCAAGATTAAAAAAATTGGGTAAAATTTCCGCATAGTCCCATCCTATTGTAAAACAAATCTGTTTTCCCAATGGCAATGTATTGTTTTTGTCGTTGTTTTCTCTATCCAAGAACTGAATGCATAATGTAGTATGGGGCTGTGCGGAAATTTTACCAAAAATTGCTAAAAAGCGACGACGTTTCGACGTTGGCTGAACGTCATTATCAAGTCAAAATAAGTAGTGATTTTTGGTCTATAAATACTAAAAAAACAACAATAGCTGATAAAAAATTGTAACGTGAGAAAATATCAAACAAAGAGTTTCGCACGTATGGAGTCCGTCTGAATATTTAAATTGGGCTTAAGTTTCTTGATGAAGAGCATTTCAAATACTAAGCAATCAAATTTGCTCTGGCACTTTCGGTAGACATTTCTTAGAAGCTCATGGTAACAACAACCTTTTGAGAGAAAGCCAATTCACGGTTTTAAGAAAGTGACTTGATAATGACGTTCAGCCAACGTCGAAACGTCGTCGCTTTTTAGCAATTTTTTTAATCTTGAAATGATTTTAAGAAATGTTTTATCGCAATTCTTTATAGTGAAAAATTTAAATATAAAACAACCATAATTGTTTAGTTACCTGTTAAATATCAATGTAAATAACAAATTTTCCCTATTTTTTTATTTTTAATAAACTTAACCAAAATTCTTGCTTGTTATTCTCTTCCCTCGATCAGGCTGCTACAGAAAAATTGAGCACACTGAATGTCGAATTTAGGGACTGAGGATGGATGTAAACTTCCCTATTCCTTATACGAGGCACAGCCGTGTATCGTCCAACCTTTTTGAGTCTGTTGCTTTCCAGTACTTCGCGTCTTCTTGTAAAAGAGATTGAGAAAAAAAAAACGCATATAGTATGCACTCTAAGAAAAGGTAATTACCCTGTGACAACCAAGATAGATAGACCATGTCCGATTTGGGAATTAACTACCGACAGCCAGGTGAAATTGATCTTCCAGCCATCAGTTTCCCGTACGAATAATTTATCGCACAACTCAAATGCTAAACGCGGCGGCAAAAAGCTTCGTTACAAGACTTCTCCTCTTTTTTTTCTAGTGAATAAGATGATAGAACGGTGGAATGGCGAGATAGCGAAATTGCAGAATATCCTTAACACACGAAATGTCTTGTTGTGAGAAACAAAAGTTTTACAAAAATGGAATTGTTATGAAATCAGAAAATAATTTATAGTTGACAGGCAAAATTAAAGAATCGTAGCTTAATCATTATTGGGGCTTTGAAAATGGAGGAATAGTGAGGTTCTTAAAATAGCCCCTCTAAATTATTATTACTATTACTATGGTTATCATTTTTATTGTTATTGCTAATATGATTGTTTGTTATCATTGAATCATTAGTTGCATGTCAATTAGTCACTATATTCTTGGATCATCTTTCTCTTGTGTAACAGGCCACTCATCACTATGCGTATATGTGGGGATGCGGAAGGTTTTCTGCTTTGAATGTGACGTAAATATTCTTCAACACTACCATCTAGCGACATCAGAAAACTTCTAGTTCTTTTCGATGTTATAAAAATTGAGCTATATCAGTAGCCACATGTAATCTTAGACTGTATGTTTAACGATTCGGATCAGTAACCTTCAGTTTTCCCATTTACAGATTTTGAAACGCCATGATCTTGAGACATTCTCAGTACTCAAAGAATGGATTTGTTTTCATGTTAAATGTAGATAACTTTTATTCTAATTCTTGTTTTACAAACTGTCTATTTGTACACAGCTTTATATGAGAATTAAATACTGCGAGTAACTAGACATCTTAAAGTGCTGCGCTAAATGCAAATCAACAACTTTTTTAGGATGAGTGTCTGATTCTAGAGCAACATAGGTCAAAGTCCTAGATTCATAATCCTAAACTCGTTGAAAGTATCAAACCTCTAAACCACTAACCCCTAACTAAAATCGAGTATTTTAATAAGTATCTTCAATCTACTCTATAATATCCTCCATTATTTACAGCTTGTCGTGTTTTATTAATTCCCTCTACATTCTGAGTTCCAAATTTAAAAGTATCTATTACATCTAGCAATTTGTAGCAAGTCCTCCGCCATGCAAGTATGTCGGGTTACAATGATGAGAAAAATAGCTGCAGACCGCAACACGCTTTTACAAAAAGCACCAAGGACTCTCGACTCTCTTTTATCTCTCGGCTCTTTGACTAAAACGTCTTCTTTCCTTTAAATTTGCTTCCCTCTGAGCGACTCTGGCCGTCCTGGTTGTCTGGCTCTTATTCTGATTAATCTCTCTTTGATATTCACACTTCTCACACTTTGATTCTTACTCTTCTACTTCTCACCGACCACCGACTACTAATTAACTCAATGAGTTTGGCTAAGTTGACTCTAAAGTATATACTTATTTATTCTATACCGAGCGGGCATGCTGGCCAACTGACCTTGAAAGAATAGCTAAGATTAAACATTCGTTGTCAGAACAATAACCTAAACACTTTTATAGGAGTCTCACAAACTGAAAAACAACGCACTGAATGCTTCTGATCAACAGAATCAGTCTTTGACCGTGTTGGACCCTCCTCTTAGACTGCGTAAGCCTGAACGAGGCTAAACTTTCGTGAGGGTCATAGTCCAACTTCGCACGTCCAGTAATGGACTTAAACAAGATAGTCACAACTTCGAAACTCGTCTCAATAGCTTAAACCTAACTACGGACTTCGAATTCAAATAGTAGCTACAGACTAACATAAACGAATGACTAGATTAAATTGAACGTTTATAATACTTTGCCTCACACGTTGTCACACCAGGGCTCTTCACAGTCGTGAACACACCCAGCGTCCTCTCGTTCATACCTTATCGTAAAAAAGTGCTCTACCTCACTCGTACTCTGACAAGAGCTGTTCGCGGCTGATAAACCGCCATTAGGTTTGTTGCGTAGCCAATGAAGTAAGCAAATTCTTATTGTGGAGCCAAGAACACTGAACGCACAAACATACACAGTGACAGGTAGAGAGTACCAAGTGTTCGGGTGGTAAGTTAAATAAAACATTAGAATCATAAAGAAGTTTTCTAATACAAACAAAATATGTGACAAAAACACACTCATAGTCAAACCAGTTACATTTACACCTATCGAAAATTCTACAAAGTCATCTCTTAGAAAGTGAATGCCCACAAAAAACATAATTAAGAGAACATAAGGGGTATTACGGCCAACTTTGTCTCTATTCTGAATGAAAGTCTCTGTTACCACGGCACAAGAATGAAACATTAACATGGCAGTCACCCACCACTTGTAGCTGACGGTGAAATAACAGATGGCGAACAGTCGACTGCTCAGGAGAAGTAAGTGAGTTACAAACAATGCTAGTTGGTGTTTAACATTCAGGTCACCGCTACTTGGTATTATATTGTTCACGGCAAGAGACGTCTTATCAGTGGCTGTGAAGGCCCATGCCAAAGCGAGGAAAGAGATAGGTAGAGAAATAATTTGAATGATTGCAGCTGATTCTTCCTGAACACTGATGGCGTACAACTGAATTATAAATTGTGGAGCGGACTCAAGGACTGCCTCAAAGAGCAAGGCTAAGTCAATGTGAGTGAGTAAACCCTCAGCTTTGTCAAAGAGTTTCGAGTCGATTTCATCTTTATACCGCCATTTCTTGAGACAGAAAATAAAAGCCTCTACCCTCGCGAAGGCTGCTGAAAATGGATGCAATGCACACAGAGCAGTTTTTGCCCAATTAGAAGGTGAAGCAGTCAATTGGGCACGCAGCCGGACGAACAATACTGGAAACGCCAAACATGGCAATAAAACAAAAGTTAGCCCCACACCAAACCATGTTTTGTGACCCCCGCGGTAGAATTCTACCAGTGTGAGTATGTCGGTGATGAGATCAGCAAAACTTAAAATAGCTCCAACAAAGTACACGAAAGGACTGTACCACTTAAGATCTTTCACTTCCATATCGACGTAGTACTCGTTTGTTCGCCCAGCAGAACGGCTCTTATCGACACAGGCTCAGTTACTGAAATAGATTGCTGCTCTGTTGGTCAGAGGCTCTTGCGCTCAGCTTTCGACTAAAAAAATGCAAAGATTCCTTTGGTTTAGTATGATTTCGCATTAAAAGTCAAGGAATGAGGTTTGCCGTCTGTATCAATTTCAGTTTAATACACGAGATATTGAAAACTGAATGGTTCTCAGATTATTTTTCTAACACAATCTGGGAGGGCTAGAATGTCCCTGATAAAATAAAAACTTCCGAGTCTAAAGAGTCGTCATAAGTATATTCAGGTGAATATCATAGTAATTTTACGGTAAGTAATTGCAATTAGCTTTCAAACAATCGCCTGGTACATGCTCAATTAAGCTGTGCGGGATATTCAACTGTTTTTCCAAGTAAAACTGACACATATGGAAAATAAGTTCAAACGAATGACAAATTCAATCCAGTAAACTGACCTTACCGTACAAATTCTGTCAGTCAGAACATAAAACATTTTAGTGCGGTACTCACGCAATGCCCCACGTTGTCACCAGGGTTGTTCAAGGTGATCATGACCTCTTCTTCGCCGCATACGTTGAGGTAAAGCACCATATTCCTTACATTTGAGCAATTTACCTCACTAACATGTTTAATGTCAATATCACTCGATAAATTGTAACTATTCGACAACATTTAAGTTCAAATGTGACAGTGACAGGTGAAGAGTACCAAGCGTTGGGATGATAAGTGATATTAAGTATGAGAATCATAGAGGAGTTTTCTAATACAAACAAAATATGTGAGAAATACACACTTATGTTAGACTAATTGCGTTTACATTTATCGATAATTCTAAAAAGTCTTCTCATAGACAGTGAATGTCCATAAACATGAATATTAAGAAAACGTGGGAAGCATCGCTGTCAACTTCTTCTCTATTTTGAATAACAGTCGCTATTGCTACCGCACAAGAATGAAACATTAACACATCAATAACCCACCACTTGTAGCTGACGGTGAAATAACGGATGGTGATGAACAGTCGACTGCTCAAGAAAAGTAAGTGAATTACATACAATGCAAGCTGGTGTTTAACATTCAGGTCACTGCTACTTGATAATATTTCGAGCTCGTCAAGAGAGCTCCTATCAATGACTGTGAAGTCCCAGGCCTGAGTGAGGAAAGAAATAGGTAGAGTAATGATTTGAGTAATTGCAGCTGGTTCCTGCTGAACACTGATGGCGTATAACTGAATTATAAATTGTGGAGCGGATTCAAGGACTGCCTCAAAGATCACAGCGAAGTCAAGGTGAGTGAGCACATCTTCAGCTTCGCCAGAGCGGTCCCAGTCGATTTCATCTTTGTACCACCATTTCTTGAGACAGAAAAGAAAAGCTTCTAGTCGCGTGAAGGCTGAGACTGATTGCCTGATTTCACACCAGATATCATGGAATAGGGTTGTCGTCTGTATCAATTTTAGTGTAGTACACGAGATCCTAAAAGCTGATAAGTTCTCAGATTGTTTCTCGGACGCAATCTGGGAGAGCCAGGATGTCCATGATAAAATCAAAACTTTTGAGTCTCAAAAATTCCTCATTACTATATTCAGGGAAATGTCATAGTTTTTTTACGGTAAGTAATCGGAATTAGCTTCTAAACAATTGCCTGCTGAATGTTTAATTAAGCTGAGAGGAACATTCAACTGTTTTTCCAATAAAAACACATTGCAAAATTAGTTGAAACGAATGTCAAATTCAATCTTGTAAACTGCTCTTACCGTCAAAGTCTGTCAGTAAGAATATAAAATAATCAATTTTAATTTAAGCACTCACGCAATGCTTCACGTTTTCGTTTAAAGTGATCATGACCTTCTGCTTCGCCGCATACCAAATTGTGAAAAAAAAAGTATGTGGCATGTACTCTAAGAAAAGGCAATTACCCTGTGACAACCGAGATGGATAGACCATTTCCGATTTGGAAATTTACTGCCGACAACTAGGTGAAGATTGGTCTTCCAGGCATTGGTTTCCAGCACGCAGTTAGTTATCACCCAGTTCAATTACTAGACCTGGTGGCAAAAAGCTTCCTTCTTAGAATTTTCATCTTTTTCCTATTTGACAAAATGATGGAACGGTGGAATGGAGAGATGGCGAAATGGTAGAATATCCTTAAACACGGAATGTCTTGTTGTATGAAACAAAAGTGTTACAAAAATGGAATTGTTATAAAATCAGAAAATAATTTATAATGAACAGGCAAAATTAAAGAATCTTAGTTTAATCATTTTTGGGGCTTTGAGAATAGAGTAACATTGACGTTCTTTAACGAGCCCCTTTACGTTATTATTAATATTACCATGGTTATCATTATTATTGTTATTGTTAATATGATTATTTGTTATCATTTAATCATTGGTTGCATGTCAAGTGGTCACTATATTCTTGGATCATATTTCTCTTGTGCAACAGGCCACTCATAAATATGTGTATATGTGGGATGCGGCAGCTTTTCTGCTTTGAATGTGGAATAAATATTCTTCAACACTACCATCTGGCGTCATTGGACAAATTCTAGTCCTCTTCGATGCTATAAAAATTGAGCTACATCAGTAGCCACATACAGTCTTACATTGTATGTTTAACAATTCGGATCAGTAACCTTCAGTTATTCCCATTTACAGATTTTGAAACGATATGATCTTGAGACATTCTCAGTACTCAAAGAGTGGATTTGTTTTCTTGTTAAATGTGAATAACTTTTATTCTAATTCTTGTTTTACAAACTATTAACTTGTACATAGCTTTATTTGTAATTAAATACTGCGAGAAACTAGACACCTTAAAGTGCTGCGCTAAATGCAAATCAACATATTATTTAGCATGAAAGTCAAATTCTATATCAACATAAGTCACAGTTCTCAATTCATAATTCTAAGCTCGTTGAAAGTATCAAAACCTCTAAACCACTTACTCCAAGCTAAAACCGAGTATTTTAAAAAGTATCTGCAATCTACTCTATAATATCCATCCATTTTTCGCAGCTTGTTGCGTTTATTTAATTCCCTCTACATTTTTAATTTCAAATTTAAAAGTATCTATCACATCTAGCAATTTGTACTAATAAATGAAAACGAGTAGAAACTCCTAGCTCCGAATCTTATCAATCTTCAATTTTGCCTCACTCTGTACAACTCTGGCCATCCTGGTCGTCTGGCTCTAACTCTGATTAATCTGTCTTTGATACTCACTTTTATTCTTACTCTTCTACTTCTTACTCAATACGGACTCAATTACTTTGGCTGAGTAAACTCTAAAGTACATGCTTATATATTTGTTATTGGTGGAAATGAGCGGGCATGCTGGCCAACTGACCTTGGAAGATCGATTAAACATTTGTTGTCAGAAATCTCAGTAATCCAAACTCTTTTATATTAGAATCTCACAAAATGAAAAACAACGCACTGAATGCTTCCCATCAACAGAATCAATCTTTGAGAGTGTAAGCCAAAACATGAGCTTTTTTTTCTATAACATTGATGAATTCTGTTGCGTCTCTGAGGCGTGCGATTGGCTGAAAAAAATATCATCTATGTAACAGAATAGCTTTTCTGTTGGTCCTCCTGTAGGTGGAGATTTTACGTCCCTCTTATAGAGACTATAAACACACCGAGGAACAACCGTCTTTTAAGCCGGCTAAATATGCCTTAAGCAACTAACTCTTTGTCTTTCTCCGTAATAACAGGAAATTATTCATATTGCAAAGGCTCTAATTTATCCATCACTGGTTCAATAAGGCGGTGAACTAAAGCAACTTGGGTTTAACTAGGCGAGATCGGGATGAAAATTTTCATTGCGGCGGGATGGCGGAAGGAATGAAAAATAGCGGCGGGATACAGGATTGGACGCTCATCTTTAGCTGCGTAAGCCAAAACAAGATTGAAACTTTCGTGAGGTTCATGGCCAAGGACAGTAGTCCAACTACCCACGTCCAGTGATGGAAGTTAAACAAGAGAGTCAAAACTTCGAAACTCATCTCGATAACCTAAACGTAACTTCGGACTTCAAATTCAAATACTAGCACAGACTAAATGAAAACGAATGACTAGATTATACTGAATTAACATTTAGCATGTATTCACATCACTGCTACTCGCGGCTGGTGAACCGTCGGCAGTCTTCTTGCTTAGCAAACGAAGTAAGCAAATTCTCTTTGTGGAGCCAAGAACACTGAACACACAAACACACAGTGACAGGTAAAGAGTACCAAGTGTTGGGGTGATAAATGAAATAAAACATTAGGATTATAAAGAAGTTTCTTATGCAAACAAAATATGTGAGAAAAACGCACTCATGGTTGGACCGATTACTTTTACAACTATCGATAATTCTAAAAAGTCATCTCTTGGACAGTGAATGCCCATAAACCCAAAATATAGTTAAGAAAACGTAGAAGACATCACAGTCAACTTCGTCTCTGCAGTTTGGTCTCGACAGCTTAAACCTAACATCAGTTCGAGCAAAGACCTATCACCCTTAATAAATAACTGCAAAAACTGTAATATATGCTGCTAGGCCGCTTTGAACTTTACATTATATATATATTTGATATCATCTAAGCTTATTTTGCTAAGTTCTTATGTTTCATTCACTTATTAATTTATCTATCTATTCTATAAACTATGAATTAAAGTGTAAATAATTTTAACTTTATGTAGCTTAGATATATTGTCATGTATAAACAGTGTTACCAATTAGTTTTCTTCAAGCTAAACACTATTGAAACTTTAATAAAGTCCTTCATTCATTCATTCATTCATAACAATAGGATCAAAAATAAGTTTTCTAATACAAACAAAATATGTGAGAATTACGCGCTCATGGTTAAACCCATCGATAATTCTACAGAGTCATCTCTTAGACAGTGAATGTCCAGAAACAATATAGTTAAGAAAACGTAGCAATCACCGCAGTGAACTTCTCTTCTATTCCGAATAACAGACTAAAGACATTGTCAATATTGCAAGGGCTTTGATTTATCCATCAGTAGTTGAATAAGGCGGTTTACTAAAGCAAATTTGGTTTAACCAGGCGAATTCGGAATGAAACTCCTCATTGCAGCGGGATGGCGAAATGAAATGGAAAATAGCAGCGGGATACAGCATTGGAAAAGTCTAATTTGGGCCCTATTCTTTGACTGCATAAGCCAAAACAAGACTCAACTTTCGTGCGGGTCATGGCCAAGGCCAGTTCTCCAACTACGCACGTCCAGTGATGGAAGTTAAACAAGATAGCCACAACTTCGAAACTCACCTCGATAGCCTAAACCTACTATCGGACATCAAATTCAAATAGTAGCAACAGACAAAATATTAGGGAATGACCAGATTATACTGAACTAACATAATATTCAACAAGTATTCACAACACTGCTACTCGGCTGGTGAAACTCTGGCAGTTTTCTTCCTTAGCCGACGAAGTAGGCAAATTCTCATCGTGGAGCCAAGAACAGTGAACCCACAAACACAAACAGTGACAGGTAAAGAGTACCAAGCGTTGGGGTGATAAGTGAAATAAAACATGAGGATCATAAAGAAGTTTTCTAATGCAAACAAAATATGTGATAAAAACACACTCATGGTCAGACCAGTTATTTCTAAATCCATCGATAATTCTACAAAGTCATCTCTTAGACAGTGAATGCCCATAAACAATACAGTTAAGAAAACGTAGAAGACATCACAGTTAACTGCGCCTCTCTTCTGAATAACAGTCGCTATTACCACCACACAAGAATGAAACATTAACACAGCAATAACCCACCACTTGTAGCTGACGGTGAAATAACAGATGGCAAACAGTCGACTACTCAGGAGAAGTAGGTGAGTTACATACAATGCCAGTTTGTGTTTAACATTCAGGCCACCGCTACTTGGTGTTATTTTGCGCTCGTCAAGAGACCTCTCATCAGTGGCTGTGAAGGCCCATGCCAGCGTGAGGAAAGAGATAGGTAGAGAAATGATTTGGATAATTGCAGCTGGCTCCTCCTGAACACTGATGGCGTACAACTGAATTATAAATTGTGGAGCGGATTCAAAGACTGCCTCAAAGAGCACAGCAAAGTCCATGTGATAGAGTACACCTCCAGCTCGTTCAGAGCTGACCGGGTCGATTTCATGTCTAGACCAGCATTTCTTGAGACCGAAAAGAAAAGCTTCTAGTCTCGCGAAGGCTGCTGAAAATGGATGCAATGCACAAAGAGCAGTTTTTGAAAGTGAAGCATGACGTAGGGTATAGTACAGTACTAGAAACGCCAAACATGGCAATAAAACAAAAGTAAGTCCCACACCAAACCATGCCTTGTGATCCGCGCGGTAGAATTCCACCAGTGTGAGTATGTCGGTGATGGGATCAGCGAAACTTAAAATAGCTCCAACAAAGAACACAAAAGGACTGTAACATTTAAGATCTTCCACTTTCATATCGACGGACCTTTCGTTAGTTCGGTCAGTAAGTCGGCTTTCTTTGATATAGGCTTAATTACTGTTGCGCTCAGCTTCGACTGAAAAACTGCGAAGTTTCCTTCGGTTAGTCACAAAATGAGGTGTGCTGCACGTCTGTATTAATTTTAGTGGAAATTGTTGGGAACTGATTGGTTTCCCGTTTTCTTTGTGACGCAGTCCTGGAGATCTGTAGTGTACAATAACAAAATTCAAATTTCTGCGTCTCAGAAATTTTAATTACCAATAGCAAATATCATTGTTAAGTTGTCGCGTGTTTTGGAGGAAAACTTGGTGCAGAGCGGACTTCGCCTCGGAAAAGGCATCAAGGACTCTCGACTTGCCCTTTACGGTCTTCTTGATCTCTCTCTGTAATACAATCCTAGTTACAACAAAATGACTTCACACGCTTCGATGCTCTTTAACCGCTCTGATTCTTAATAATTAATCGAATCCGATCAACTAGTTATGTAATGTTTAAAAAACGAGCAGGAGTGTTTTATCGGGTTTTTGACCCGATAAAACACGTGCTGCGAGTTTTTTGAACGGCTTCAAAAACATTCTTGGAAAAGCGTGTGTCAAGAGAGTTCATAACAATTATGCTTTTGTGAACGTTAGAAATTAGCATACGAGAAAAACATCGTAAGTCACGTGCAGTGTCTTTATATCTGAACAATTTGTTTAAAAAAGAGCAGCAGCATGTTCTTTAGCGAAAATTTTTTTCACAAGAATCCAAAATGCAAATGACCAATATTCAAAAATAGTAGATGTATTTTCATTCAGACTGAAATGTAAAAAAGAAAATAAACCAACATAACATCTGCATCACTTCATATGACAGAATTATAGACAGTATGTTTTATTGCTAAATTGTATTAAACAAAAAACACTAAAAATTAAATTAGCTATATGCCTTGCATTTCAACTAATTAAGATACAATATTGATTGTTATCATAGGAAGTGTTAGAGCCTAGCAATTTATCTTACTAAAGATTATTGTTTCTTACCACTATTTAGATAGAATATTGATTGTTATCATAGGAAGTGTTAGAGCCTTGCAATTCATCTTATTAAAGATTACTGTTTCCTACCATTATTTAGATAGAATATTGATTGTTATCATAGGAAGTGTTAGAGCCTTGCAATTCATCTTATTAAAGATTACTGTTTCCTACCATTATTTAGATAGAATATTGATTGTTATCATAGGAAGTGTTAGAGCCTTGCAATTCATCTTAATAAAGATTACTGTTTCATACCATTATTTAGATAGAATATTGATTGTTATCATAGGAAGTGTTAGAGCCTTGCAATTCATCTTATTAAAGATTACTGTTTCCTACCATTATTTAGATAGAATATTGATTGTTATCATAGGAAGTGTTAGAGCCTTGCAATTCATCTTAATAAAGTTTATTGTTTCTTACCATTATTTAGATAGAATATTGATTGTTATCATAGGAAGTGTTAGAGCCTTGCATTTCATCTTAATAAAGATTACTCTTTCATACCATTATTTAGATAGAATATTGATTGTTATCATAGGAAGTGTTAGAGCCTTGCAATTCATCTTAATAAAGATTATTGTTTCTTACCATTATTTAGATAGAATATTGATTGTTATCATAGGAAGTGTTAGAGCCTTGCAATTCATCTTAATAAAGATTACTCTTTCATACCATTATTTAGATAGAATATTGATTGTTATCATAGGAAGTGTTAGAGCCACAATTAATAACTTGCATAAAAATTAGTCAAGATTACTGTTTCTTACCATTATTTAAGGCATGAAGGCTCTGCTGGCAAATTGCAGCAATGAGTCCAGCAAATCTTTTTTAATGAGCTTTGTTCTCATCTATTTTCCTCGAGCCTAAAATCAAAACACACAACCTTGTTTCCTTCATCCACATATATATCCTTTGACCCTGAAGAGTGAATAGCATCTAATTTCTCTTTAGAATATCATAATGATAAAGGAAATGATCACTATCTAAAAAAAATCAAGGTTGTTACACAAATTCACAGTTTGGAGTATATATATATATATACACAGAATGATGTTAGGGTGTAAAGGGTTAAGAATCAAGGCTCACTAAACCAGTCCCAATAACACTAAACTGAAAAAAAGGAGGAGAAACAACTGAATACTTACCTTCCACTTCTGAAAGACATCTCAAATCTGAACACAACAATTTAAGACAATTTTCAATGTTTTTTCCTTTGTCATTATATTGGTGAAAGGAAAACAGAAAATCAAGCAAATCTGCCTCAAGCTAAATACAACCTTTAGTTAAGCAGAACCACTACAGTCTGTGAAAAACCCAAATAAATAACAATGACAAACAGTGGAAATTCTTGATCAGTAAATCAATTATTCATTCCATTGCTCACATTTTTCATTACTAACAATAATGAAAATGAATCCAGCGAAACTAATTAAGGATATATGATAGATAGATCAATTATCCCATATTAAAGGGAGCAGGTTAACATATATAAGTACCTGTGCAGAGTTTTTGAATCATGGATTACAATATTAATGTAAGACCACATTTTATGTCATAAAAGTAATATTTATTTCATTTCTAAAATAAGTCATTATTACTTACAGGGCAAGAAGATCTTCTTTTCTTTTCAACACTTTGGAATGGAAGCTATCCAATATAAGCCAGCCTTGGTTTAAGCTTTCAAACTCTTCTATGAGGTCTACAGACAAAAGTAAACAAATACATTGTTGGGCTGTTTAAGTTAAGCATGGCTTATAACACCTGAAATAAGAGTAAAAACCTGCGGTATATTCTCTACTTAAGTGAATAGCTGTTTTTTAACAATTGTTTTAGCAATTTCACTTCTAGGAGTGACCAAGACAGAATTTCTCCTTGCAATATCAAAACAATATAAAGCAGGTTATTAGTCCATCCAATACCAAATTCTCTGATCTAACATCATAAGAATTGTGCTGCAGGCAGTAATGAGAATTACTATTAAGATCCTGGAGTAAAAGATCTATAGCTCATTAATGGGGAAAAGAACTTAAGATAAGTTTTTCAATGAAGGAATGACTGCTCTGAAATTTGACTCAACATGTGAATGCAACATATTAATAGTATGATTTGAAATTCCCAGGCATTTCACTTTATCATATTGGAAATGGATCACACACCTGATGACAATTGGCTCTCTGTATTTCAAGTTTTACTTTAGAGCAGACTTTTTCTGAAGACAATAATTCATCTTGACCAAGCTTCATTTCAACATAACTGGCCAACTCTGAGAGAAGCTGGCATGGCTTCCACTAATGAGGCTGAACAAAAAAGGTTAACATCACTCATCAACAAAATAGTTTTAATTCAGAATAAAACAATATGTAAAGTTATGGATTTTATTCAGTGCCTATAACTCAGGGTTCCAAGAGTCTTACAATAAAACTGTTTGCTTGAAAATAAGTTAGATCAAACAGGAAAAAAAAATAACCAAATTTAAGCCCCTGACCCTTTGGCATGGGAGGCTGGAAAACAAAACAAAACTTACATGAATTTTCATCTCTCTTGGGAATGCACTTCTCTTTTGTTGCAACTTCATCTTTCTCAATGAAAACTGTTTCCCTGTAAACAGTTGGGGACAACACAGACAAGGAGTCCACGGTTTCTTCATCATCTACTACAGGATGTAATACCTCAGGCTGTTCATCAATTTGAAACCTGACACTTTTATGAAGGTTCCTTTTACTCTGCACCCCTTTTCTCTCTTCACTCTCTGGTGGCAGACCCTGGCTAGCAGGTGGGTGTGTTTGGGGTGGAACAGGACTAAATTGAGCATGATGAGGTGAAGCCTGCCTCCTAACCTTTCCTGACCCCACTTTGGTATTGCTGCCAGATGAGGAATCCACCTGAGGTTCATCATTTGGGAAGAAGCCACCTTGTTGCTCATAAGTTTTTTTGTCTTCCTCAGCAGTATTTTCTGTACCACTTGAGCAGCCAACTTCACTGTTTTTAGATTTCTTTCTGTCTTCCTCAGGGGCAATACCTGTACCATTTGAGCTGCCAACTTTGTTGTTTTTATCTTGTTTTCTGTCTTTCTCAGCAGCAATGTCTGTATTATTTGAGCAGCCATGTTTCCTTTTATTTTAAAGCTTTTAATAATTTGCTGCCTTTCCCTCAGCTTTTCTTCTTGCTTGTTCTTCCCTGACCTCCTGCATTATCTCTTCCCATATCTCTTCATCTGTGGGACTGTAAAGGTAATACAAATATAAAGCATATTCAACAGCAAAAGAGTTAATGGAATTTTAAAATACAATTACTTTTAGAGAGGAAAAATAATAATTATATTAATAAAAACCATTGAGAAAATAAACTTCATATCATAGTCAACTCTTGTGCTCATGGAGCAAAAATGATAATGTCTCATTTTGAAAGTTTATTGATCAAGTTCATTGATCTAAAATATAACATTATGATAGAGTAATTGACTTTTAAATGCCACTCATAAGCTAGATCATCATTACAGGAACTAACTATGAAAATAAATGAAGAATCTTCCTGCATAACCCAGGATAATTCAAATTCAATTTTACCAGAAACAACTTTCTTGATTGCTGGCTTAAGGGTGACAGTAACATCCACTTTCCCAGGCGTCTCTGTAATGTAATTGCTGATATCAATACAGCCAGTGGCCAGAAGCTCATAACGACCACTGCGGGACACCTAATGATTTCAGAGAAGCAAGAGGAAGATGAACAGTGTTCAGATTTACTCCAAACTGTGTGAAGTGAATATAATATCAAAGGCAAAGAGCATCTACATGCTCATGTAAAAAATGAAAAGGGAAAAGGTTACATTACAGATGAAAATTTTCCACTGCTTTTCTTGATATTCTGTCATTTCATCTTCTGGGTTCTATGAACACAATAAATATTGTTTCAAAATAGAGAAAAAAACTTGATAACAATAATATTAGGGACCTTGAACAAACCATAAGAGCAACAGAAATGAAGATGTAGCTAAACAAAAGATCAAATGAGCAGAACAATAGCTAAGCACTAGTGTTTAGAACTTTGTTTGTGATGAAGCTGTCTTGGGCCAAACAACAAGGAATCAAATTTGGCATGGTCTGTATACAGGAATACTGACAGAAAATTATTTCAGTCTCGATATGGAACTCAATGCCACTCACATTCATTTTTCAATCAATGTCTTCCTTTGGCATCACTGTTCTGAATGCTTAAAAGTTTATTTTTTTTCTACGCAGAATTTTCTAACCTCAAAAGAGCCTTGTTGTGAAATAAAGTTCATATGATGGTATGTTGCGGCAAAACGTTAAATAGAATCAGGATTCTTTCAGATTCGTTTTTTTCCTTTTCCAGTGGTTCTGCTTTTAACTCTTACAATGAACATTATAATAGCTTTAGCATTAAGACTCAATATGATATTACATAGTGAATCCAATGCAAGAGGCAAAGCGATAAAACTTTGCAGCTTTGAAACTCTCAACAACAAAAGATGGAAGACTTCAGTAAGTGGGTGTAGCATGTTTACAATACCTAAGGTTTCAACAAGGTTGGCCATGATTTCCACACTGCCCCATACTTTATTATGAATAGATATCTTGGATAAAGAAAACAATCACAAAAGCAAGTCTTTTTGACCACAATTTGTGAATGCTGTCTGAATGCTGTGGTACTTTAGGGAAATCTGTTCCAAGTTTTTATTTCATTTTACCTTTGCTTAAACTTACCCTAAGGAGAGTAAGTTTGGTATCCACTGGATCAGGCTCAAGCCAAAAATGAACACCACGATAACCATTTTCAATACCTCCAAACCATACTACTGGCTGAAAGCAAAAGTAATCAAAAGAAATATTTCTTTAACTCAAACTCAGAAATCGATAACGTTTAATGAGCTAAGAGAGAAAGAATAGCGATCTCAAGTTTAAATTGACTACCCTTGTACTGTATTTCACCTTTCTTTTTTTCCAAAAAACTCCAAGCTTGTGGGGATACCTAATTGTGGAACAAAACACGAATATCAGCATAATGTGAAAAAGTTGCCATAGTTAACCATACTTCTGTTCAGTGCAGATTATTTCCTTGTAGAAGCGATTGACGTTTTACAATTCAAGAGACGAGATACACTTACATCCTTTGTTGACTAAAGTCAAAAGAGTACATCGTATGTTCAAGGTGGCCGCCATGTCATCTTCCTGCCAAGACTGGTAACTAGTAAAAATGACCCCTCCCTCCCCCTCGCTATCAACTATTGACCGTTTAAAGCTTTAAGCTTACCTAACTTTCTTGAGCTGAGGAACAGTAGACTCAATTCTCTCCAGTGTAAATGTCTGAAAGAAATTGATACAGGAGCTACATCATTCTATAGAACTACCACTTAATAGAGATTGCATCAAAAATTTTGCTCATTATCACATTGCCTATTGAAAACAAGGTAGGCAGGCATAAGGTAAAGTCTGTTCTCAAGCCAAGTGATCCTGATGATCCAGCAAGTATTTACTACTCCCAAGGCATTTGGTCAGCTTTCCCTGACAGTTTGCTAGCATGATTTTCTACTCTATTGAAGAGAGGCATGAGGAGAGTAAAGTGTCTTCAGCCCATAAAACACAACACATTGACCTTGCCAGGTCTCCAACAAGAACCTCGACTCAGAGTCCACCAACACCACCAACAAAACATTGATGAACTGCTACATAGACATCATTACTATTACAACAATGTAATTACCGTAGGTTTATACCTTTTTTCCTTTATCTACCACCAAAATAAATTCCTTCGTACAACTTCTTTTGGAACCACGATAAACAGTGTTACCAGAATCCTATAAAATAATGTAAGAATATCAATATAAAAAAAGACCTTGAGTAAGATGACACAAATAAGTAATTCAAATACACTTGTCAATAATGTTTCAACAGTTTTCAAAATTGGACTTAGTATAACAAAAATCTACAGGTATTATTAACCATAAACTTCCAAAGGTCTTCAGACTCTTGTCCCATTTAAATGTGTTTTTTTTTCACTTTTGAAGCATGGCTATATCTTTTTTTAACTTAAAACATACATGGGCTTTTTAAAATCAAGAAAATCAAACAAAAAAAAAAATGCACTGTTTTTAATAAGAATATAAAATATTTCACAGTTAGAGCTAGCTGTGTTATTCAACTTTTTCCTTCAGAGTTTGTACTTATGAAATCAAAGAGGTTGTTTGGTTACCCTGTTACTCCTATTTTCTTAGTGAAAAATACAACTTTTCCAGGGATATTACTTTTGAAAGATGGCTACTAAAAGGATTTGACAGCAGCCAAGTTTTAAGCACTTAGATGAATTGATATAGTACCTGTACAATAGGAATGGGACTGTGACCTCATTTTTGTCACCTACAACAAGCTCTGCCGGTCTCGAGGTGTCTACTGAGGCTGGTTTGAAGTCATCTGTGGTAAAATGTCAAATGCATAACTGAACCACAAATAAATAAATTAGGTTATACATAACTTATTGATAAAAAGTTTGAAATGGATAAAAAGGCCAAAATTCATGAGTTTCAGCAAGGAAGACATGATCATTCACTATTTAATACAATATTTTCGGTTTATTGAGCTTATTGTTGAACTACAGCTGTACCGAGGGTTTTGAAGAATTTTTCGACGCACTATTACTCCACAGAATATTTAGGGAATAAAGACAAAAAAATTACTTCGAAATAGGAAAGTGTAAATGAATATGTTAACGGAAAAAATCATTGAATTCAGCTGTTCGTTCACAACTTGAAAATGTAGTCAATTGCGAATGCGTATGAGAAAAAAAGGTTTTGCTTCACGAAAAAGAATGGAAAGTGACAAATAAGTGAGCTCACATCTGATTGTATGAAAGGCCGTTTTCGGTCCTCCTTTAGAATGAAAACTACTTCCAAGTCTCAGTTCGAATTCTCGACTGGTATTGAATGGAAATTCTAATTCGTTTTCGCTCGATTGGGCCGCCATCTTGAAACTAGAATAACATGAGCCTGCAATTTTAAAATTTTCTCCCTAGTTGGACATGCGTTTTACATGCTAAACAATCAAGATGGCGGACGAGGCGATGAAGATGAGGGTGAGTAGCATTAGCTGGTAGAGAAGTTGGAAAAGGAAAAGAGAACAGACATTGAATCATGTCATTGTTAAAAACAAGGGAAGTATATATATATATATAATTATACATAACAACTTTATTTAAATAATAACATATAACATATTATTATTTAAAAAGGGTTATAGAAGGGAGGAACTTAATCCTCATATTTGTAAACTATACCCCAGATATAAAAATTTAATACTATGCAATATACATATACATACTGAAACATTTTACATACAGGCATATATCTATATAAATATAAAATCTAAATAAAGAAGACATATCTAAGATAACTATTTTGTTTAAAATTATAACTAAATAATGTATAATACATAGAATAATTTAATTTTTAGTTATAGGCCTAGTTAAAAAATGTTGATTTAAGAGCTTTCTTAAAAGCATTAACTGAGTCAAGTTCAACTACTGATGACGGTAAACTGTTCCATGTGTCGATATGTCTGTGCCAAAAAGAGTACTTAAAGATATCTGTACGGAAAAATGGTTTATATAGTTTAAACTGATGACTTTTTCTTGATTACCTGTTACTGAAGGATATGTAATTATTAGTGTTTACAGAAGAGTGTCCTTTAATGAACTTAAAAAGCTGAACCAAACTAAGAAACTCTCTGCGCTGAACTGGTGTCGCTAGTTTCAAGGATTTCAGTCGGTCTTCATACGGAGTGTCTTTATCAATGATCCATCTTGTAACGTTCCTTTGCACGCATTCAAGTTTTTCAATCAGATATGCTTGGTGAGGATTCCACGCTTGACAAGCGTACTCGAGTATTGGACGGATCATGGATCTATAACCAGTAAATAGAGCCCTAGAGTGAGATCCAAATGTCCGTTTGAGTAAGCCCAATAATCTGTTCGATCTTGCAACAACAGACAGTACATGGGGTTTCCAAGATAAATCACTGGAAAGAACCACCCCAAGATGTTTGTGTGTAGATACTTGGGTAAGTAGCTTGCTATTAATAGTATAGTTGCACGGAGAGGGAGTTCTAGCCCTGGTGAACTTCATGGACTCGCATTTGTCAGCATTTGTTCCTAAAAGCCACGAGCCACACCAATCAGTGACTTTATCTAGACTCTCCTGGGCAGTGATGGACGTTTGAGATGGAGTACAGTAATTATAGATTAACATATCATCAGCAAACATTTCTGCAGGACTTGATAAAGATTCAGGGATGTCATTGACGTATAGGATAAATAACAGGGGGGCAAGAATGCTCCCCTGTGGAACACCAGATGTGACAGGCGCCCAGTCAGATTGGCAGCCCTCGATTACAACACGTTGAGATCGACCTTGGAGAAAATTGGATAGCCAGGAAAGTAGAGAGCTGGTAATGCCAAAGCGTTCTAGTTTGAGTAGAAGACGGTCGTGAGGAACTGAGTCGAAGGCCTTTTCGAAGTCCAGAAATATTACATCGGTAGAGAGGTGTTTATCTAGTGCTTTGGCCCATTCATGGAAAAGGTGTATCAACTGAGAGGTACAGGAGTATCCAGGACGAAAGCCATATTGTATGATGGCCTTTTCCGTCCACAACGTCCTGATGGCTCCCTAAGCTGTGGATCTCCCCTGACAATTAGAACCTTCCATATAGCTTGCCTGATGGAGCTGTCGTCATACGATGGTAAACCGTCGGATTTGTCTGGCAATGAAAACACAGAAAACTGTGATGTCCACCTGGGAATAGTCCTCATTATCGAGCCGTTCTATGGTGGATCACACAAACAATTAAATGATTTGCTCATTAAAGAAGTACCAGGCTGCAAGTTGTACTCTTTACCTGCGAAGAAATGGCATTGGAGAATGAGAACTAGTGCACTTTATTTTTACCAGAATATACCGGCTGCTTGCAACAGCACGTACAAGTGAGTAAGTTTTAATTCTTACTAAAGAATTTGGAGAGATTTCTGCACAAACCCACACAATTCCAGGGATCCATATTAGTCTTTTTTAAGAAGCGTCAGCTGGTCAAGAATGTCGAAAATTATACTTGCGCAGAGACAGAGCTGAATAACGTATGCAGGACAAACCGTCTATAAGGCCTTCTACAACTGTTCAGCACATAAAATTGAACTTGCATGCACAGACAACCAATCTGTCACTAACTGATGTATGGGGACATGCTGCTACACATATATATATATATATAAATATTATGAGAGGAAAAAAGGACGCAACTACATTTCCCGACAAGCCTGTTTCGTGAATCGCTTCACTCTTTAAACCCCTGAAGAGTGAAGCGATTCATGAAACAGGCTTGTCGGGAAATGTAGTTGCGTCCTTTTTTCCTCTCACAATATTTATTCTGCTCTGCTTCAACATATTGAGCACTGTTCCACGCGAAAATCGACTTGCAGACTTCCTATATATATATATATAAATATATTTATGTATGTATCATGTTGATTTGTTAACATTGCATACCCCCATTTAACGAATGAGTGTTTATTGTGTTCTTCTTTGAATCACCCTAGCCAATGATGAGTTGGGTCAACCCATGCAACTTGCATTGATTGTTCAAAATTTAATACCCTCATTTAATGCATTAGAGTGAAATGTGTTCCTCTGCAAATCAACTTCCTGTGAGACGGATGGACCTAAATGTAAGCAATTCAAATCCACTTGTGTGAATAATGTCCATTCCTCAAAATATCTTACCCCCTTCTAACGCCTTAAGAACAAGGAAGATTCATCTGTCTTGTCTGTAACCTTCAGCCAATGGACTTCCAGCTCTATCACAGTTTAAGAACGAGGAAGGTTCATGTTATCATTTTCTCATGCTACTCATTTTCTCATATTGCTCATGCCCCTTGACTTCCAGCATGTAAACCAATGATTGCACTTCCAGTGAGTTGATTTGTCAACTACTATAGATGAATCAATTCAGATTGGATGTAATGGACAAGTATGCTCAAGCACAGATGCCCATTATACCATCCACAGCTGCTTATGGAAAAAATTACCAAAACCCCTTGGATTACTTCCACAGTTGATAATGCATACTGTACAGTGTCCTTAAATTGCCCAAAGAGTTTTGAGTTGTTTCTTTTTTATTCTTATTTTTGTTGTATTTTGTTTTTTCTTGAGGGTGTTGTTTGCCAGCTCTGTCTTGAATTTAGCAGAACTAATGGCACTGAGACCAGATCTTACTCAGTTAAAGAAAGTTCTTTACTTCCATGAGAATCAGCTGATTTACCCAGTCAGGAAGCAACAGGAAAGAGACTTTCAGTTTGGATATAATCAGATTTTGTCATGGTGAGAACAATGAAAACAATTACTAATAGAAACTTAAATGAATTAAATGAATTTAAAATTTCATATTATTTATGCAGTGACAGAAGAAGACATGAGCTGTAGAAGCCTATGTGCTGGGATGTACACCTTCTGGTTCTGGCCTAAGATAAGAACTCCCAATAGACTCTAGGGCGTGTACATTAAGGCAGTTTTACTGTGGCTGGACTTAAGGGGATTGAGTATAGTATGTATGTGTAATGTGAAAAATAGAATGTTATGTTGTCTGAAAGTTGTAATCTTGATACTGCTGTACATAAGCAACCATAATTATTTTAATGTAGTAAATTTTCAATGTTTGTATTAGTGATTGTTTCATCCTCTTTGGGACTGTTTCAAATGAGATAATCAATATGTAGAAATGCACGAGGGTGTCTATTATCATCAAGACATGTGTACATTCATTGTGTGTTTGTTTTTTTCCATCTTCTTCTTGTTGTTGTCATTATTTTTACCTTTACTATTATAATAATTATTGCTATTACTTATTTTAACTTGCTCTCTCTAGCAAGTCATCAATATTTTAACTTTTTTTGTTACTTGTACATGTAGCTTTATTTCTGTTTGCATGATTGTGTTTGTTTGTTTTTCACTTATTCTGTTGACTGTTTGACCCCTAAGAGTGACTACTATCTAATTTTCCAATATAAATCACTCCTGAATCAAACAATAATGTCATAAGAATAAAGGAAATTATCACCAAATAAACGTGCTCTTGATTGTAACACAAATTCTTCCCATCTCACTTTTTAAGAAATATAAGGAGAACAGTATGGAGTATAAAGAGGATAAGTTTCTAAAGAAACTGTGGTGCTGTGTTGGTGAGAGACTATAACAGGACAATTTAGTATTATCAACTAAGTTGATAGCATAAATTGGCCACTATAAAGAGTATGAAAGCTGACGTTTTTAGGATTCACCCTTGATCAGAGTGAAGAAGGAAAGGCTATGACATTCAAAATGTCAGCTTTAAAACTCTTGGTGGCGGCCAATTTACGTCTGCTTATCCACTCAGTGGATAATAGTATGGAGAACATGCATGCTGTTGTTGGATGTTAAGGTTTAAATTAATTTCCTTTATTTTTCTCTGACAGTCTTGTTGCTGATGTAATGGTATTTAACTCACAGTTCAACATGGAATCATTTTTATCATCTATCAAAAGCTTTCTGAAACTAATGCCAGATAATCAACCCAAGGAATTAGACCAAATAATCAGACCAAAATACAGGGTTGTGCACTTTCCTTTGATGGAACCTGAAATAGGTACAGCAGAATACAAAGGTGAGCAATATGAGTAGCTCTTAACCTATTAATCTTAAGCATTGCAATTTCCTAAAATGTGATTGGTGCATCAGCTACTTTATTTTTTTCACTAATCATTCTGTACAGTTATAATTGGACAATGTAATTAGACATTTGGCTGTAATCAGACACCTGTAATAGGACAGCTGAAGCAGCCAATCATACTAAGTTCTTTCAGTCAAATGCAACAATCACAGAATTGATCACAATAATCACAGCAGCAGCCACTTATCCTAAAAAAACTGTGGAATTTTTTACTCTAGACATTCTCTCTACTGGAGATATTTGTCCTTTATGTATTTTGTTGTTTTGGAAATTGTGAGGGTCATGATTTATTGCCAATAGGACTTTGGTTTGTCCAATTCAGATGAATCAGACTCAGGCTTCACAGAAATTAGATTTTGTTTATCACTTGTATGATTACTGACCATATTGGACTCCACTCAGTCCTATTACTCCCAACAGTATCACCCCTACATCAAACATCAAGGTCTTAAGGTAGCTCTTGATTGTTACACAAATTCTCCTTGTCAGCACCTTAGGAAATGTGTAGAGAACAGTATGGAGAATATGCATACTGATGTTAGGGTGTAAAGGGTTAAATAAAAAATATTGCTTGGAGAAATAACATGAGATTTGGATAGATATTGAGGTGCCATGTAAGTGGCTGTTTACAGTTCTTAGTTTTTTTGCAATCTAGACATCAAGGTGTATTCTTCAGTGTACATTTAGCTTTGAAATAACTCCTCCTATGTACTGTTCCATAAAACTGAAAATTTGTGTTTCAGTGAATAACATAAGGATTACATGTAGGTCATATTTTCCCACTACAATATACATGACTAACTCTAAACCCCTTTACTTCCATTATGTTAAGGTCAATTGTCCTTGATATCTACAATACCTTACTTGTCATTTCAGCTCTCTTTACCAATCCCTATTTAGACAGTGTACTTTTAAGCAAGGAGATATTTTGTCTTTAACATCATCACCTTTTGTTGGACAGTGTATGGATATTATAGGGACAAATTACTTCTTAGTCATGCCTTGGCATGAAAGATGTAATTTCCACCATTTTAGTACTCTGTATCTCTTACTTGAATCTACAAATGGATACTTGATGACATACCAGCATTCCTTTGGAACAAACTTTAGATGCAGAAGATGAAGAACTTGATCAGCCAGTGGACTCAACAGTGTCAAGACCTTTGCATGTTGTTTGGGCTCATAGATGGTATGGTTTGTGTCAATTGATTTTTACCTGGTCTTTCCTTAAAGGTAGAGAATGTCATAACATTAATTTTACTGCTCATTAAAACTCAGGTTTTAACCTTTTAGATCCTAAAATCATAATGCATATTCTCCATACTGTTCTTTACACATTTTCTAAGGTGCTGACGAGGAAAATTTGTTTACTGATCAAAAGCTTCTTTTGTTGGGCATTATCTCCTTCATTCTCATGACCTTAATGTGTAATTCAGGGGTGATATTGTAGGAGAAATTAGATTTTAGTCACTCTTTTGGGTTTGAAGGGTTAAACAAGAGCTCATTAGCAGCAGTTTAGTGCTGCCTATAGGACCTCCCACTGCCTCTGTTTAGGCTCTCATGTTTGGGTTTTGCCTTACATCACAGTGACCCATTGCACCATTGGTACATGTAATTGCCTATAGAAGAAAATTACTGGAATATTGAGTGTTCATCTGCATGTACTCTGAATTTCAAATTACAAAATGTTGTGGGGATATAGACAGATAATATGTTGAATCAGTGGTTCAGTACTCAGAAATACTTTTGAAGTACCAATGTGTGCATAGTAAAACATGAAAAAAAAGTCAAACATGAGGTATTGTGTCCTCTACATATCTGTGGTGGCTAACCCACTGATCCAAAATTGCCAAGGCATGGGTTTGTTCTCATTGCAAGTGAAACTGCAAATAGGCTGTATGCATTGATGTTTTTTTCTAGGTGTTCCTACATGTATTACTATACCAAACTTTGGGTAGCTAGATTTAATTAACAAAACTACTTAAAGTATTAGAGTCTCTATGGATCTTAGTTTACATCTGAATTAGATAACCATATTAACTAGTTAAAAGGTAGCTGATTGGTTAAATTTGTACAAACCAGTTCATACCAGATTCTTTTTTGGTGTTCCAAAAAGTTTTAGCCAGTGTTATTTTTGGCTGCTTTGTCAAAGACATGGGTAGCCATAGCAAAATCATAATATACAGAGGAGCCTAGAGGTCAAAAAGCAAATCTTGTAATCCAGTATAACTGTACATTTATTTTGACTTCTTGTACTGAAAAAATGTTATACTAAGCACACTACTTAACACTAGCTATAAAGGCCAGTGTACAAGTTGGATTTATTTACTTTGTTTTAGTTATTGTTTTTATTGGTGTTATTAGGGAACATGACAAAGGTCCTGAGTTGTTCTTTTGCACACTGTATCAGTTGGCTGAGCAAGGATTGGATTTCAAGGTTTCTGTATTGGGAGAAACATTCTCTGAAGCTCCAGGTATTTGTGTCACAATAGTACACTGCACCCAATTCATATCAGTGGGTGAACATACATGTATGACTCAGTCGTTGTGAGAAGGTGGTAGATGGCAAAAACCTTCCCATTATCAGACCAGACCTACTCAAAGCAGAAAATAAGTATTTTTCAACATTTTCTAACAACAATGTTTTGCAAAAAAAAGTTACCCAGAATGCTGGTCCCCCAGAATGCTCCGTGTCCCGGAATGCTAGAAATCCCAACTCAAAGTTTGAATTTGCACTTGGGCCTCCAGGACCAGAAAGGGCCTGTTGCTACGTTAGAGTAATTCAAGTCAGCCAACTAATCAGTTCAGATCATGCATCTATTACATATTCTAATGAAAACCCTGTAAGTGGACATGACTTGTTAGTGAGTTGATTACCTCTATAATTTGAGGGTGAGAAGGTAAGGTAAGAGGAACCATTCATCTGTCTGTCATTGGTTGAACAGTGTTTTCCATAGACTGAGAGACTTCAGGCTTGAGGCTGTGTGCTATAGATTGTCTTTGAGATTTTATTCATTCTAGACCCCCACCTAGCTTGAGCTATTGATGAATATGCTGGCTTAGAACAGGAGATCAAAATCTGAAAAATTTAAAAGCTATGGGTACTCGTGACGCACTCAGAATTGTCTTGAGAAAGGGATAAACATTTTGTTGGAACTTGTAATTTATGTGCCATCCATATCATAACACACTAGGTATTTTTGAGGAAGCTTGTAGACGAATCCATGATCATATCCTTCACTGGGTTTATCAGGAATCTCGCAAGGTATATATCTCCATACTGAAGGCTGCTGATGTAGCAGTGTCCACTGCAGAGCATGAATTTTTCGGTGTATCGATGTAAGTTTCTATGAATTGAATATGTTGTTGTAGTTGTCGTTGTTTTTTTGAGACTAACTGTAATTTAAGCGAGGTTAAACCCAAATCAATTCAGGGCTTTCACTGACGTGATGTGGAGAAGCTCCAGGGAGGTTTGAAAAGGGATTGCCATGTGCTTTTTTCCAAGTTGCTGTGTTACTTTGCTTGCTCTATGTCCCTCCCTCCCTCCCTCCCCCTCCTCCCCTCCCCTCCTCCCCTCCCCTCAAGTTTTTGAGTGTAATTCGTGAACAGGATAGATGAATACTGTTACGTACAGATATTTTTTTTTAACCAAAGTTAAATGTAGTGGTGATTATTTCAAAATCATAGTTTTTCTTTTTAGGTTAGAGGCTGTGCAATATGGTTGTTATCCACTTTGTCCAAACAAGTTGGTTTATCCTGAAATATTTCCATGTTAGTAGATACGCCGTTTATTAATCTATTCCGTGCACCTCGTTGTTGGAAAGTATATCCACATTTAACTAGAATAATATTATATGTTAGAATTTTAAAGCTATTATTCAGCATCAGTTTTGCGTGAAAAGCCGAGGGACAAAATACGAATTTTATGTGACTTTTATTATTTGTCTTCTTTTCCTTTCCAGCAGAGTATTTGTACTCAACACCTCAACAGTTATCCAAGAAGCTACGATACTTCTGTAGAAATCCAAGACACGTGAGATCTCACAAAGTCGCAGTAAGTCATTAAGACACGGCATCTCAGCCTATGCCGAGCTGTAAGTGTAGACGAGGTTAAATGCGAGAAAAATGACAAGTCAAGTGGACGCGGTGGTTGGGGTTTTCAGGAAAACGTGTCGTTTTGAATTTGTCATCGCAATCCTGCTATTTCTCACGCGCCCACTTTTTCGCTCGTCCCCACTGACCGTGAGCCGCCACTGTAATTCTTCTAGAATTCGCCCAGAATTTCCGAGAATACGAAATTCGACTACTACTGCACAAAATAGAGGCTATGTTGCTAAGTAAACTGTGGTGGTGCCTCGGTGGGAGAGTATATTAGGGTAACTTTATATTATCAACTGAGTTGATGATGTAAATTGATCTCCGTAAGGGGTTTAAGTGTTAAGAGGAATCTGACGAAGGGCTAACGCTCGAAACGTCAGTTTTTAACTCTTTACGGTGGCCAATTTACGTTATCAACTTAGTTGATAACAGTAAATTACCCTGGTTTACTATTGCTTGGAAGACTGACCGTTTATGCAAACGATCACGTCATGCGTTGGTTGAAACCTAGCTTGGGAGTAGGCCCTTATTGGGTGCTTCGGCACGAGCGACTCTGCGCCCGCGGTAAAATATAAGCCCTTGAGTAACGTTAGCCAGCGGAAGGTCTGGAAGGGGTACTGCACTGGTAATGAGTACCAGATCCCGGAAAAACCTCTCGGTGACTCGTATTAAGTCTTCACGCGGACCGAGATACGCGCGTCTTACAGCGCCATTAATGAGGGCCAGTTCGCAGGCTAGGTAGGATCCTTTCCACAAGACGAAACCGCATTGAGTAGTTATTGTGGGCTTAACGTTGGTGGAACTTTACTTTCCACCGCGCCTCAGCAGGTGGAAAAGTTCACCCATCGACCACTGTGGTGGCATATGAATAGAGTATCGCATTGGATTTCAACAGGAGCGAATGCAACTGTTTGGGGATTGTCGTAGGAGATGCTGTCAAACACGATTTATCTGCTTCCTGTGAATTATCCGGATCATACTTTGCTTAAAATTGTCGAGTGTTCCTACAGTGATAGAGAAGTAAAAAAACGAAATATCTAACTCGGAATTTATGTTGCAGGTTGATTGTGAACGATTTACGTGGGGAAAATTAAAGGATTCTTTTTGCGATCTCTTGTCACCAGTGGATCAACATGTAAATGAAAACTGATGCTAATCTTGGGATACAGTCTTAAATCGTTGAGCCCAAACATTTGGCGATCCTTCTTGTCCAATGAGATGGTGGCATGTCAATATACTTATATTGTGTAGTCATAGCGACCGGCTGCTGAAGTCTTGTTGAAGGCAATAGCTTTACCGAATGAATGCTCTCATAAACGCAAACTGATTTCTGGGAACCGAATTAGATTTTGAAGCACAATCGAACCAGGACAGATCTAATACAACTCTGAAGCAAGCATACTTTATTTTGTCTTAGCTTCTACTTTCTATGATGAAATAAATGAATAAAATAAATAGCAAGGATCGATTTATTACAGTGCATCTATGAGTTTTGAATACGATCTAACGGCGAGAAAAACAGGAATGACAGTTCATGCTTGATCTTAAGCGCTTTTCGATCGATTATCCTAAACCAAAGTACGTCCTATCAGAAGAAAGGAAAACACCTTAAAGAGCCAATTAAATCTCACAAACTTAGTAAAGCAAAACCAAAGCAATGTTTCGACAGTGAATTGAGAATTTCTCTGTATACTCACTGACAGACTTTAAACCGATGACCTTAAATCCCTTACATTTACGTTTTCATTATTCGATACAGTCTTATTGTACCGAGTATACTACCTCCTTGCGAAAAATCTAGTATCTAATTGCAACAACATTAAATAGCGTGGCGCTCCTTGTGGTGAACTTGAAACGCAAATACAGTGGTACTTTTTGGTAGAGCAGGATCTTCAATATTATAATGTGGTACTTGTTCTTCCTTGATAAGCGTCCACAGGCCCTTATCTTCTAGCTCTTTCATGCTCGGTCGGAAGTCAGGAATTTCCTTGGTGCGAACGTTGAAATAGATAACGCCTCCTTTATAAAACAAATAAAATTTAATTGGAAAAATAAAGACACAGGCAGTAAACATCGGTTTTTGTTGTTGTTGTTGTTTTTGTTGTATAAATCCAAGCAGGAATAACTCGGTCCGCAAGTTACAGTGCAAAACTCGAACTCGGTTTAGTAAGAGGTATCGAAAAAAACAGCCAATCCTAAGGGCTGGAGGTCCTGACAGTTCTCGGTTGACCTCCATTGAGACTCTCTTGGTAGAAAAACTTGATTTGCACAGTCAGCATGGCTTAGAAAGGAACTAAAAGGAAAGGAAAGCACCACACTTACCATCGCTAATTACTCTCATCATCTCATAAAAGGCCGGTGGTCTAATATGTCCGTAAGCCGCTGTAACCACTCCAGATGAAATTATGGCATTGTAATCACCATCCTCAATGCCAGGGGTCCGTGCCTCCGTCAGATGGGCACATATAAATTTCGTGTAGACGCCCTTCTCCCTAGATACATCCAACATTTTCTGAGTGACATCTAGGGCGTCTACGTTTGTGTAGCCCCTCTTGTTCAGCTCCACTCCCAGAAGTCCAGTCCCGGATCCCATGTCCATTATTCTGACTTGGCATTTTGGTTTGCTTGGCATGGCTATCTTAATTGCTTCGTCGAAAACTCTAACCATTGGTTCATGTTTGACGCAACCCGCGGACATAAGATCCTGAAATGGAAAACATAGCAAGTATAAAGTCTTGGTGGCACTAGAGAAGAATCAGAACCCTCGAAGAGCCGCAAGCAACTTCGGAGTGCGGCGCATAAGGCTGTTATTGTTTTAGCTTTAGTTTTATTTTCCTTTTGGAATTAATACTTCAATCTACAATTTTATCACCTATAAACTGTAAGTGCGTTCCTCATACGTTATGAAATGTAAGATCTTCAAAAAAAGAAAGAAACAAACAAACAAATAAACCATGAAACCAATAAGAAAATAGAAAAAAACCGAGGTTTTCCCCCACGGCGTCCTCTCTTGCCAGAGGCAATTTATATTCCGCGGTAGAGGTGCGGAGAGGGTAGAATTTCTTTCCTACGAACTGAGCCCGAGAGGAGGTCCTCATTATCAACGCAGCAGGTCGCGCGTTTTTCCCTCGCGGGAAGAGTTGAGACGAGTCCAGGAGAGGTTTCCGGGGCGGTCTGGTACTAATAATACCGGCCCTATAGACCTCTAGCAGACCTTACTCTCTCGCTGGCTCGTGTGCTCAAGGCTTCATTATTTCCCACGGTTGAAAAAACGCGCTTGTGCCGAAGCAGCTTAGGCTTTCACTGGCGCCACGACACTAGCGGCGAAAGCCATGCGTTTGGAGCCTGCGACCCTACGAGCAATGTGAGTGCGCGAGGTTTCTGAAAAGATAATGAGACTTCTCATAGACCTGTTCGTGCCGCTGTTTGCTACTGAGAGCCCGCTTCCACGATGATGAAGTAAAAGAATCTACCGCTCACAGCAATCTCTTGCGACCGCATCTAGATACCTACCTTGTCATAAGCGTCAGCCCACTTATCATAACATTCTTCAATTTCTTCCCTCGTTGATGATGCATGTAAAGTGTGTAGTCCGCCAGTGAAAAACTTCTCGTATCCCCCTCTTGCTTCTCCTGGAGTTGTCATGATTATAGCTAAGGACAGGTGATCTGCAATTACCATGTAAATTAGGTGTAAGCATGGGCCATAAAAAGAAACGAAGACCGTACGTAAAGAATTTAACTTTACTTTAAAATATAGACAAGGATGAGGACTCCGATGAGATAAAAATTAAGCAGAGAAATTATCCTCGCAAGTGGACTGCAATTTGTTTGTTTAGAAGGAGATTGTACCGAGTCATAGTTTTAACTGGGACACACACTTCAACAAGCCTTCCCAAAGAATGTTTTGAACAATTTTTTCCTTTATCCGCCCATATTCTACACACTTACAAACACACCCATACCACAGCATTTCAAATTAGAGAGCTAATGGAAACAAGGAAAGCGCTTACCGGCGAAATGTTGTTCCTTGGGGGTCTCAAGGGGTTTACCGTTATTCGTTAGTCGTTAAAAAGTTAGGCTTAAAATTTTTTTGAGGCAACCGTAACGGAAAGAAATTAATTGTTATTCATAAAATGGCCAAAATTTTAACCGTATCCATAAAAGTCATCACTGCGAAAAAAACCTCAGAGAAATGACCGCTGAAAGAGTGTTACTGGCTCGCAGGTCAGGCCGCTTCACCATCGTCGCTCTTTTGTTTTTATAAAGATATGGATATAATAAGGAAGTGCATTGTTCAGATACCTGCCTTCATTTATAGTATCTTTATCAATTTTTATGAATAGTTTCATCTTTCTTCCCAAATTCCGATGCTTGGAAAAGTTGGACTCACCTTTGTACGAATTCTAAGTTGATAATAGAGAGCGCTCAGTGCGCTTTTTCTGGCTTTTATCAGTGATATAACACTTGAAGTTTAAACCCTATACCATAAATGTAGGCAAAATAAGACAATCACGAAAATCAGCTCCGGCAACTTTAGGGCTTTTATTTACCCTGCAACTCGGAAAGCTTGGAAAACTCGCAATTAAAACAAAGGATTACCCAAGTTGCTGCCTTGGAGCTGTTTTGATACCTCCTTTAAAATCCACTTTGTGTTTCCTCAAATTTCTGTTTCCTCAAATTTCTGTTTCCTCAAATTTCATAAACGGTAAATGTCAAAGCTGTTCTGGTAAAAGGGAATATAACCCCTTCGAAGCATTGAAAATATAATGACATAAGTTTGACAGGTGACTTCAGCTGAATGTAAATATCATACGCGACAAGCACAGACTGAACGGTCTAGTTTAAAAGAATTACTGTAACTTTGTTGAATAAGGACAGCTGCGCCGGTGAAATTTTAGGGTTTTAAAGAAAACATGAAAAATTTTCTTTGAAGAATTCCGTTGAGCCAGAGATAGAATGGAAAGAAGTTTCATGGCGCCACGTGTGCGCGAACAGCACCGAAAGAATTTCAACTTCTGCAAAAGGCTTTCAACTACAGCTTTAGAGTGAAAATGATTGCCTTTTTGTGCTTAAGAGATGTTTTTATGTTTACTTGTCGAAGATAAGAACAGCAAAAACAAAAAGCCGGTGGAACTAAAGCTAAACTTTTCCGTTGTTTTTGCTTATCGCCAGGTGGTTCAAAATCTATCTATAAAATTATATTAAGCTGAAAGAAAAAGTGACTCGATTTTTAGAATATACCGATTTGACAACACGAACTTCCAGCAAATAGAAGTTCTTTCAAATAATGTGAATCTCATTAAAAGTTTCATATGTATCCGGAGCCAGAAACTTCAAGCCTAGATCTTTATTGATCTCGGGGTTTCTTTCAGTAAGCACTGAAATTGAAAAGTTACCACACTTCGGCTCTTTCCCAAGGATAAATCTAAGCTTATTCGCTTGACATATTTGAAATCTACTTCAGTGACCATAAATCAACACAATTCGACTGAAATAAGCTAACTTTTCTCTCGAGGCGCTCGCCAAACACTGGTTATTTTGCCAGCGAGCACCTACTTACGTTAAGAAGTCATTGCAAACTCAATTATTCGCAAATCCAAGCAATTACCTACCCACAAGACTCCCGTGGACACGAGCAACAGCTTAAAAAAGTATAGCACTTCTCCGAAAAAAGTAGAGTATACTGAATCTGGAGAAGCCGGGAATCTGCAAGTGTGTGATCGTTATGTTTGATTCGTATAGATACATAAGGAACCCAACTCAGTTCTTTGAAACCGAAGATCAAGCCAATCGCCGGCTAGGAAAATGACAGAATGACAATAACGCTGGCGACGGACATGGCTTTGCTAGTTCAGGTGATCAGATGATCTAAAAGGGCCTAAGGCCCAGGGCCTAGAGCTATGATCCGCACTCGCAAAAAACCTATTTGACAGAGCCAGGGGCCTGCCCTCACAGAGCACTGAATTTTTTTCTTTTCTTAGAAACGAAATGTAGCGACTGAGCTCTTTCGGAATTTCGCCCGCACAAACTTCTTTTGTATAACACGTTGTTTTAATGAACTCCCTAGGATACGTTTCACAGTTATCTTGGCTTGGTGTTGCATTGAGATCAATAACAGTGACTACGTGAAGGTAATACGTGAAAGTCTCTGAATTGCCCTTTATTTTAACTATACTCCGCAAGGAACTATTCTGGGCATGCATTCAGTCTGACATAAACATGTGTTAAGAATTCGTTTCCTTTCAAAACCTGTTTCGAGCAAACTCCGAAGGATTTGTTGTAAGCAAGAGATCAGAAACTAGTTTGTAATCTCTTGTTTTCACCCTATATTTTGAATATAACGCAGTAAAATGGTTTGGACAATGTGTGTTTACCTCAATAATACTTTACTAATTTGCGACTACATTAACCAGAGCTACGTAAGACCGTGAATCAATCAGTTTACATAAAATGACTGATAAGCTCCAACTGAGTTCAATAAGCGCTTAGGCTCAAAGCCACCAAAGACGACAAAGAATTTCAATAAAACCGTCGCTCGTATTTGGTGACTTGAGCCCAGGCACTGATTGAACTCAGTTGGAACCCATCAGTCATGTTCTATAAACTAATTGATTTTCTATATTGCTAATAAAAAAAGCCGTAGTTAATTTTGCAATAGAAAAGGTTGCCATGACAGTCTATATGATAGTTTTCTATGTTCTAGGTTTTAGTTTATATCCTAAAAACTAGATACGCCTGTAACAAATGTAATTTAAATTAATCTTTTTCATTTACTTTATTTAACGATGCTGAGGAGAATTATGATCAGAACGGCTTAACAGACTATTTAGAAAGGATTCACACGAATTGTGTTCATGCAGTACAGGATGAAGATATATAAATACACAGCCAAAGGACGTGACGTAAAACTCAAAATAAAGGTGCTTTTTGATTTACTGTTATAAAACCAAAACCAAAGAAATCACTGCAACTATTAATTAAAGGGAAAATTTCATGAGGAGACTATCAGAAATCAAACTATAAGCAAAAAAGTCTTAGAAGAGCAAGAAAACCCGGGCCAAGAAGAGGCTATTTTGTATTTTTCTTGAAGAATATAAATCTAGAACAAAGAAAATTATCATAGAGCTTACCATGACAACCTTTTCTTTTTTCAACCTTCTTCCTCTTGCAAATTAAATACGGGTTTTTAGCAGTAATTTTATTGAAAAGTATTATTTCAGTAATATTAGGGGCCAACGCATAGAAGAAAGTAATAATTTATATTAGAGGCCAACACATTGAGAGAAAGGAAACAACAGGCTGAGGGAAAACTAAGAAAACTATCACATAGATTGCCACGGCAACCTTTTCTATTGCAAAATTGAATACGGATTTTTTAATTATAGTTTTATGTAAAAACATAATTTTGGGGCCAACACGTAGAGGAAAGATAAAGACGGGCTGTAAAATTATTAGAGTCGAAAATTAATACTATGTTGTTCGAAGCTAGCAAAGGTCAACTCAGGTATTTTTCTCGGCACCTCTGACAGCCGAAAAGAGACTAATTAGTATTATTTTTTTTGAGAAAGAAGGCCTTAGAATTCATCCAGAAGCTTTACAAAAGGGTAGAAAAAGGTATCTACGAGACGTGTGAAGGCCAGAATGAATTGATATGTGACGTGTGAATTTTAAAGAAAAGCGAGCGTGATTCCATGATCGAGTAGATGAACCAGCGTGAAGCGTAATTTGCCTCTTGAAATAAATTTGACCCATTAATTTTTCTCTCACTTTAGGAAAACCTCAATATTTCCCTTTCAACCTTTCAAACAAGAAGAGAGATTTTACGATTTCCCTTTCATATTCGTGACGCTTGAAGTTTTGGAAAATTTATGTGTGAAACAGGATAAGGATCTCTGCTTTGTTCCCCTCTTCAACCAGCTCAGTACAATTAACTAGAGTTTTCATTGTCAACATAAATTAACACAACATTAGAGCAACCAGACCAGTTTTCATTGGAGAACCCTTGAAGGATATTAGCTAAAACCTCGAACAAATAAAATTAGCGTGGAACTAATGGAGCTGTTCAATGTTATCCTGACAACCTTTTATGTCGCAAAATTAAACACTTTTTTTGTTTTCCTAGCGATAACAAGATTCCGTAAAATTATGAACAGGTGTGAGACTTCCTTTGCCTCCTGAAATAAATGTGACCTGTGAGTTTTTCTTCCTTAATATGAAAACTTCAATATTTCCCCGGAACGTTGAGATTTGAAGTTTTCCCTTTCATAAACGTAACGGGGTCAGTAAATAGGATCAGTACCCCCCCCTCGTGTAATGCAAGCAAAGGACAACGCGTCCTGCAAACAAAAGGCCCTGTACATGGCGATGCAATCGGATTGAGAGATCAAAAAGAGCCCATTCTGTGGTAGTAGACTCATCTCATCAACTGTAGTAGAGAACCATCGTTTGATAAATTGAATTCTTGAGAAAAGTTTTAAAACTGATTAAAGATTAAATAATTAGGAACGACCATGGTAAAAGATAGCGATTATTAGCAAGGTTTTTCATACAAGAATTTGCCGGGACAAAGCAAATTTTTTTCCCAGATGGGTAAATCAAGAAAAGTGAGGTAGTTACCTTCAAATTATTTTTATCACCTTGGAA